TATTTTTTATTTAGATTTTAAGCTAAAGACGCTAATATTATTTAACTTATACCTAAGTAGCTAAGGCTCTTAAGACCTAAAGATATTAATTATAGTATATAATATTATATAAAGCTTTATATTACTTAAAAAAAAATTTATAGTTATTAATATAATTTATTAATATATTTATATAAAGTAATTAACTTATAAGCTAAAGGTATTATTAAGTTAATATATTAATTAGCTTTTTTTAAGGCTAAGAACTATAGGTTTTATACAGTAAATAAGGTATTAAGTAAACACTAAAAGGCTAAAAAACCCTAATTATATTTTAAAGGGTTACTTAATATAGCTAAAGCTAAAGTAATTTAAATAAAAAAGAAGGTTATTAATGCTAAAAGTAAAAATATATGTTAAGAGGAGGCTTATATAAAGGGAAGTAAATTATATAGTTAATAATATAGTAATTATAGAAAGACTAGATATAATATATAAATATAATAAGTAGTATAAGAGACCTCTAAAGAAAAAAATAATAAGTAGTTTTAATCGATTTTATATAATACTACTTAATTAACTTATATAAATAGCTGGAGGGTAGGTGGAAGTAGGTGACTTACTATGATAAGCGACTTACTATGTATGTATATTAATATTTATAGTAGTTTTTAACTGAGGAAATAGTTATTTTTTCGTTAAAGGTAGTTTTAATATAATTTATAAGTTTTTATAGGTTCAAAAAGTCTTTTATAAGTTATTTTATTTAATTAATAAATATATTAATAAGATTATAAATAATTACTTTTTTACTTATAGTAATAAATTCTTAAAAATAGTTTTACTTAATTTTAACTTTTTGATTTTTTATTAATCTTTTTTAAAAAATATTATTATTTTTTAGTTTATATTGATTAGTTAATAGTTATTTTAGTTTAATTTTTAATAAAAAGAAAATTATTTTATATTTAAATAATAAAATAAAACTAATATTTTAATTCCTTTATATTTTTAATAAGTATAAGCTATAATTAAAAATAGTAATAAGTAGTTAATAACCTATAATAGAATTTTTTTTTTTATATAAGTTAAAATAAAAGTAACTTTATTTTAAACTATTTATATAATTAATTTAAACTAATGCTTTAGAGTAAAAGCTAACTATAACGTTTCTAGTACTTTCTATTATATATTAATAAAAAGATCTCTTAGTATATATTTATATAGGGATTTTAATTTTATTATATAAATATATTTTAATAATGTTTTTTAAATTAAGTATATTTATATTATTAAAAATATTAAATTCATAGCCTATAAGAATTCTAATAAATAGTTTTTTTATTATTTACTTTTAAAGGTATAATATAGCTTTTTTATTTTGCTTATAGATTCTTTTAAAGTATTTTATAGTAAATTTAGCTTATTTTAGAGTTAAGGATTTTTTATTTCTTAGAAGTAAATTTAATAGTTAGTATTTAAGGTATAATTTAGAATTTAATTTAAAAGATCTTTTTATATTAAATATTTATTTACTTTAATATTTATATAAGCTTTAGTAGTTATAGTAGAGTTTTTACTAATACTTATATAAATATATATATAAGTATAACTATAAAAAATATAATATTAATTAAAACTAGCTTATAATAAGCTTTTTGTTTACTTATTATTTAGAGGCTTAATAATTATATTTTAATATAAAACAAGATATTTTTTTAGGCCTTTTGTTTTTTAAGTAATAAAAAGTTATAAGTAAAATAAGCTATAAATAAAAAATATTTATTTATATATTTTAGTATTTATTAATAAAATTTATTAATAGCTAGATTTAAGTAAAAGTTTACTAACTCTAAAAAAGTTATTATTTTATTTAAAGTATTTAAACTACTTAACTATTTTACAATTAAATTTTTATATAAAATAAGTTAACTATTATAAAACTTAAGTTTTATATATATAAATAAGTTTTTAAATTAAAAGTACTATTCTTTTTTTAAATATTTATATTTATATAATTGGTTTTAAAATTTATACTTATTTTTAATATATATTAATATATTAGCTATATTAATTAAAAATCTTATATTAGGTTATTAAAATTAAGGTTTTAATATTAATTAAAAAAAGTTTTTTTTAAAATACTTTTTATATTATTTAATTCTCTTTTTAGTTAGTTTTTTATAGTATTAATATAATTTAGTTTTTAATAGTTAAAATTTTTTTTTTTTGTTATTTTAGTATTATTTAATTTTATATTTAAAATAGTTTAAACTTTTTAATAGTTTCTTTTATTACAAAAGTTAACTTTTAACTAAGTGTAATTAATTTTAATAATATTTTTGTTTTAATTAAATATTTTTAGCTATTATATTTTATATTATATCTCTAATCTTTTTAATAAGAAATTAAATATTAGAGCTAATATATTTAATAAATATCTTTATTTAGTTATAATAGACTAGTAATAGGATTTAAGTTTATTTTATTATATATTAATAAAAGATATTTATTTTTTAGTTCTTTAATAGCTTTAGTTAGCTATTTAACTTAGGCTATAAAGTAGTAAATATTTATATAATCTTTAATATTCTCTAAAGTATAATAAAGGTTTTTAAGTTTTTGTTTTATTATTTTTTATAAAATCTTAAATTATTTTATAAATAAGTTTACTTATAAATCTAATTTATTATTTAAGTCTTATAATTCTTTTTAGTTATTTTTATTTAAATCTTTAATATATTTTTTATTAGCTATTCTTTTTAAATAAATATATATGTTTAAAGGTATAGCTTTTATATAAGTAGTAAATATATAAGTATATCTATAAAATAAATTAATAAATTAATAAATATTAATTTATATTATTTTTATTTTTTCTAAATAGTTATTTTTATTATCCTTAAAAGATTTTAATAAATTAAACTATTTAAAAAAATTTTTTTAAATTAAAAGCTTAATTAGTATTTATATATTTTAGAATTAATTAGCTTTTTTAATTTATTTAGTTTAAATAAGTAATTAAAAATTTAATTTAATAGATTTAATAGATTTTTATTTTAGTTTTTATTAAAATTTTTTTTTAAAAATTAAAAACTTTTTATTTTTTATTTATAGTATAATCACTTTTTATATAAAAGTTACTAATATATAAACCTTTTTTATTTTATTACTTTTAGTAAACTATTATTAAAGAAATTTATTTTAAGGTAAAGATTATAGCTTTTTATTAGTTTTTTTATAAAAGAATAAACTTTTTAGTTTTAATTTTTTTAAAATAAACTTTTTTAATAAAATTTATAGAAATAAAATTAAATTATTTAATAATAATAGAACTATTTAAAAGAATAAAGTTTTTATTTTAAAGTCTTTATTTATTAATCTTTTATAAAAAATATTTTTTTTAAAGAATATTAATAAAAGATTCTTAGTATACTAAAAATAAAAATAAAACTAAAGTTATTTTTGTAATTAATAAATATTATAATAGATTCTATAAGTATATTTATATTTTATTTAAGTATTTAGATTTAGTTATAAACTAAGTTTAAATAGCCTTTTTAAATCTTTAAAAATAAATTACTTAAGTTAATAAATATATTATTAATAAAAAAATGTTAATATTAAGTTTATTATAATTATTAAGTAATTTAAAAAAAATTATATTTAATTAATAAAAGTATTTATTTATATACTTTTAAATAATATAAATATATAATTATTAGTTAAGCTATTTAATATAAATTTATTAATAATAGAATTTAATTTAAAGTTAATAGTAATAATAATAATATAAATATATTTATTTATAATTTAATAATAATAAGTATTTTATTTAATTTAATATAAATATTAAAACTAATAAAATTTAAAAAAAAGCTTAAACTTTTATTTTATTAATTTTATTTTATTAACTTAAATATTATAAAAATAATTATTTTTAAATAAAAAATAATTATATTATTATTTATTATTTTATAATATAAATAAAATAAATATAAAAAATAATAATTTTTATTTTATTTAATTAATTAAAAATTAATAATAAAATACTAAAAGGTTTTTATTTAAAGCTATTTAAAGTATAAAGAAATTACTAAGAATCTAATAAGGATTTCTTAGTAGATTCTTTATAGTTATAAAAGTAGGTTTTACTAGGAATTTATAGTAAATTCTTAGCGGATACACTGCTACTGCGTAGGTAGACCTGCTGCCACAGCGTGGTGGATCCACTGTGATTTCCTGGGGATTTCCTGAGGCCGTCTCTACCCGTGCAGGGAAACCTTTCTTCGTGGATTCACTGCCTCTGCTTGCGACTATTGCGTAACATTAAGGGTAGAATTCTTAAAGTATTATTTCCTATAGTTTAACGCTTATTAAACACTAAAACAAAAATCTTGTTATATTTTTAGCTTAAAATAGATATTTAATAAATAGTTAAAAATTAAGGGTTTTTATATATAATAAGAAGGTAAGCGACTCACTCTGACAGGCGACTCACTATGTATATACGTTAGTTATATTTTACATTATAATTTAACTCTTATAAAAATCTAAGTGTTAAGTTACAGCTATTTTAAAGAAAAATTTAAATTCTTAGAAATAGTTAAGAAAGTACTTTTTAAGGTATAATAAGTAAATACGCTACTTACTATAATATACCGCTTACTATATATAGTTATACGCTATAACTAAATATAATAATAAACATAACCTTAATATAACGGTCTTGTTTTATCTTATTAGAATATACCTTTTTTAACTACTACCTAGTTGTATAAAGTAGCGTTCCTTTATACCTAAGAAGATAAGCGGAACTACGTACACGTGACTTCCTGTGCTCTTTCGCGTTTTTCTCCTTCTTCAGAGCTTCACGACGCGCTTCGTCGCGTCGATTCTATACTCACACCGTCAGTAGCGACCTAGGTGTAGCGAACTCTTGACACCAACCACCATTAGTTCTGTAACCTCTGAGAGTTTTGCGATACTTCTTCGCATTCGATAGTCGATCACGGGCTTCTATGGCCCCTCCCATTCCATTAGCCGCCCGTCAGGGTAGCCGTCAAACTGCGCCATTCACAGGTGTTGCACGAGACGATTCGGACGACGAGCTCGGTGTCGACGATCTCCCTTGGGAATGGATACACGACTCCACAGATCTCGGGCTCCCGGAGCACACTGGTAACGATGCTTCCAATAGCCGGAAGCGCAAAAGGACGAGTGTCGTGGCGCGTATTGTGGGCGCCCAGATGGGTAACTTCGTGTGTCACATCGGCGACTGTGTTCTTTTGAAGGCCGAAGGGTCGAAAGAAGCCTGGGTTGCCATTATTTGCGACTTTTTGGAGGAGGATGACGGCGAAAAGGCAGCAAGTTTCATGTGGTTTTCGACGGAGAAGGAAATCCGTAACAAGGAAAGGAAACGGTCGGATGCCTTGCCTGTATGTCGCTTCAACGCAAGACCACCTACGTCGACGCTTACCATCTGTAGAATGAACTATATATATCGCCCTCGTGGGACGTAAACCCGCTCGCCGCCATCAATGGCAAGGCTGTTGTCTTATCGCATCAAGAATTCATCTCACAATACCCGTCAGGGAAGGTCCCACGATCCTCGGCCGACTACGAAAAGACGTTCATTTGTCGCCGTGCCTGTAACACAAGAACAGCGACGTACTCGGACGAGTTCGTATGGGAAAACATATACGATGCCAGCGAGCAGGGCGTTTACGACCTGATTGAATATGTGAAATCGCACACAAAGTCGAGCAGAAGACGCCAATCAGCAAGAGATTCCACACCAGAGCAGCCATACACTGCCTCGGATGCAGTCCGGGGCGTTGTAACTCCTAAACGGGTAGCCAGATCCGTTGATTCTACACCTAAGGGGGTAAATCGGACAGTGACTACTCCTTTGTCTCGGAAACGGTATGCATCACTCGGTTGCCTCCCTGGCCGATTGTGACTTTCTGGCTGACCCTGATTGTTTTTCCTTCTAGAATTCTGGTCAAGAAAACACTCGAGTTCACGCCCTTGGGCACCAGAAAGCTGTCTCTGACCCGCCTACAGTCGTCACCTTTTCAGCTGGCCCGGTCTCAATTACATGTTGCCTCTGTACCAACAAGTTTGCCCTGCAGGGAGAGCGAGTTCAGCCTGGTATATTCGCATTTGGAGGCAGCCATCGCAGACGGTATGGGAAGCTGCATCTATATTGCTGGAACCCCTGGGACTGGGAAGACAGCAACGGTTCGGGAAGTCATATCTCGGCTGGATGACTGTGTGAGGGCTGATGAACTCGACGACTTCATCTTTGTGGAGATCAATGGCATGAAGATCACCGACCCTCACCAGTCGTACAGCCTCTTATGGGAGGCTCTCAAGGGGGAACGCGTCAGTCCCACGCAAGCCATAGACCTTCTGGAGAGGGAGTTCAATAACCCCAGTCCTCGCCGCACGCCATGTGTGGTTTTGATGGACGAGTTGGACCAGCTGGTGACTAAAAATCAGAGCGTCATGTATAACTTTTTCAACTGGCCGGGCTTACGACACAGCAGACTCATTGTTTTGGCTGTGGCAAATACCATGGATCTCCCCGAGAGGACTCTCAGCAACAAGATTAGCAGTCGTATAGGTCAGTCAGTCCAGTGTTGAACGTTGGTGTAGGGTCTGCGTCCAGGGGGCTAAGTTGAAATCACAGGTTTGACGAGAATTACCTTTCCCGGCTACAACCACGAGCAACTTATGAGAATCATACAGTCCAGGCTCGAGGGAGTGCCTGGAAACGTTGTCGAGCCAGATGCCATTCAATTCGCTAGCCGAAAGGTGGCTGCGGTAAGCGGTGACGCCAGGAGAGCGTTGGACATTTGCAGGCGAGCTGTAGAGCTCGCCGAGGCCGACAGTCGCGCAGAAACTTCAGCAACTGGGCAGAAGGGACAGCGATCTGCTGCGAGCAATGGCAAGGCACTCAGAGGGCCGGTCATGGTCACAATAGCAACAATCAAGAGAGCGATCAACGAGGCAACCACCAACCCCACACAGCAGTACTTGCGATCTTTGGCATTTGGGCCCAAGCTACTTCTTAGCTCCCTCTTGGTCAAAATGCAAAGGAACGGTACTATCGAGACGACATTTGGGGATGTTATGGACGAACTATATCGTATCATGAAGCTTGATACAGGAGCTCTGGACTCTAACGTCATCTCGGCCCTGACAACTGGACCACCAGGAGTCGACGCAGGCTTAGTCAAGGAGGGTACGCGGGTAGCTGAGGCTCTGGCGCTCCGGCGGGCGGCGATTGAGCTGGTGGGCGCAGGTATAATTGTCTTGGAAGCACAAAAAGCGGAGAGGCCAAGTAAGATGCGCCTGGCTGTGGGAGATGAGGAGATCAAAATGGCATTTCGGGACGATGGAGAGGTCAAGGCCTTAGGTCTATTTTTTTAGAGTCACTATGATACGATCGCATATGGTAGGTAGACTCACATGTCGGGTATCTATTAGTATGACTATGTTTGTCTTGCTACTGTTGTTCTTCATTATGTCCTACGCTGAGAGCTAGTATTTGCGTCGCGCCAGTGTCGGCTGCCAAACAACTGGGTGCGATTCCGGTGTCGCCTTCTCATCCTGCTTCCAAATCTTGATCGTCTTATCAGCCTCCCCACATATCAGACGCAACCCAGAGCGATCAAAGGTCGAGCTCATGATGCCTGCCTCGGCGTCCAAGGATCCTGGTTGTGCCGTGGTGTCGAGGGCTTGGAAGCGGTGGCCTGTCTTCCAGTCCCAGAAACTCATAGAGCCGTTGTCGCCGCCCGAGAAGAGTACGTTCTCCTGGTTGACACTCAGGGTGTTAATGATCGCGTTGTGCCCGTCAAAATTTTGCATGAAAGCTCCCTCGGGGCATTTCCACTGCTTGATACTGCCGGTGCTACCCGAGGCAAATGTGAACTCTTGGGGATGAGTCGCCAGCGCCCTAACTCCCTTTTTGTGATGCGTCAATACGCCCATCGTTTTCCCAGCAGCCAAGTCCCACAGTCTCACTGTTGCGTCCAACGAGCCAGTGATGACCTGAGGATCTGCCTCCTGACACTTGACGTCTGACACGGTCCCGGTGTGCCCGGACAAGACATGGATGTTGCTTCTCGTTCGCATGTCCCAAACTCTAGCAACGCCATCTCGACCACCAGTAACCAGTACGTCAAGAGTCGGATGGAGGGCGAGAGTGTAGACACCACTGAGATGCCCATGGTAATGGCGGATGACCTTGTTCGTCTCGAGATCCCAACATTTTACCATCTTGTCCTCGCCGCAAGAGAACAGATAGGGATGGCGCGGACTGACAGCAAGGCCGCGGACTGTTGATATATGTCCAGTCAAGGTAAGGCGTAAGGAGCCTGTAGCGAGGTCCCATATCTTGATGGTCCTGTCTCCAGCACCGCTGGCAAACCACTTGTTTCCAGGCTCGACCGCCAAGCTTCGCACCCAACCCAGGTGGCCGGAAATGACCCTCATCAATTTCCATGGGGGATGCCACTCAGGTCTGGAGCCGTGCGGTGTTGAAGTGCCTGCCTGGGTAAGGCTTGTTGAGTCGGATGAAGTGCGCTGGGAGCCGTCTTCAATCGGAGCCACTTGCCCATCTTTGAGAGTAGACGCGGGACCGTTGGAGCTCTCGAGGAGCTTTTGGATGGGTCGCTGTCGAACAAGCGCCTTTTCCGCGTTGGGCTGCGCCTTGATTCTCCGAGTTTTGGTAGGTACTGGTTGTTTGGCTGCGAGTGAAGGCGGAAGCTGCTGGACATCGACGTACTCAAGTCTGAAGCGACGTTCAGCGGCCGCCTTGTCGATAGGTTTCTCTAAGGCGAGATCGCCAAGTTCGGTTCGTTGTCTTTTCCTCGTGGATACACTGGGCGAATCAGAGTAAATGGATTTGGTTGTCTTCTGGTTGCCATTAATGAGCGTCCCCAAGAGGGAGGTGTCAGCTGATGGACCAGCCGAGTCGGACATGGCGACGTCCATTGCAACGGAGGTTCAACCTAGACTTGACCAAAATCGATTGGAAACAGCTAAACAATCGGCGCCTCTTCGAAAGATCGCCCCTCGTTGTTCACAGAGACCTGGTGTGCTGATGTGGTTGATGGAGATGCGGCTGGCTGTAATGGTTTCTACAGTAGACAGCCTTACGCGCAAAACCTCGACTTGAAAATAGGCGATCTCTAGACTTTCCATTCGAGGTACGTACCTCGAAGAAGAGCTGCACAGACCAAGTCCCCTTGACTGGGGACCAAGCGCCATAGCATCAAGCTACCTAATGTTGTCGAACGCAGTATGTACACAGTGTGAAATGCAAATGGGAAGGGCACCATGTATGGCTAGAGAAACGTACCTCGTGTTAAGGTTCATTTATTACCTTATCCAGCACCTAAGCTTCTCACACTTGAGACCCCATCTCTTAATACTCGCGCTTTTACATCAACGCAAGTAGCAACATAGATCGTTGTTATTTTTCGTCACTCCGTTGTCCATCTCGTCCCTTTGGCCACCCTTTGTCTGTATAGTTTACGCACCAGTGTTCTTACTACTCATTCCCGCCCTCACCCTTCTTCTCACCCCTGAGCTTTGGCTTACTTTGAACTACACCCCACCAACGACAGCCTCGACCAGGTCAGAGCCGCCACTGTACCTATTGCCCGTCTTCAGTGCCCTGTTGCATCTTTGTCCAGAACACGAAGCGCATAGATTTTCTCCTGTGATATTCGTATTATCTGCATCGGGATAAGAGAACACCAAGACGTAATGGACGAGTACCAGGATCGGTTCCCCCTCCACGCCGCCGCTCGAGAGGGAAGAGGTAAATCGCCAGACTCTCAAAAATGCATCTATTTCAACTCACAACCGTACAGTCTCGGTGGCAGAGACCATTCTCAAGGTAATTCGAACATGGATGCTTCTCTGGAACACTCTCCTGTGCTAATGGTGTGCTTTAGACAGAGCCCAAGCTTGCCACTCGAGAGGATGATGATGACAGGCTGCCGATTCACTGGGCTGCGTCATCCAACTGCGTTGACATAGTCATTCTGCTTGCGCAGTACCGCAGCTTCGACCCGGACGTCCAAGTAAGCCAACTCGCCGTATTGTTTCCTGGCTTGGCCAAATTGGCAACTTGCATACTAACCACGACCGTTGGTGCATAGGATGGCAGCGGCTGGACGCCACTTATGATTGCTGCAAGCCTCAAGGACGGTGAGGCCCTTGTTAAATTGCTGCTTCAGAAGGGAGCCGATGTCAACTTGAAGAGTAAGACACTAACCACTTGTCTCCTTGTCGTGTATTGTCATTGAATATTCTAACATCCAAATGGCCTAGACCATAACGGACAGGTCAGTAAAGCCACACTTACACCAAGGCTATGTATCGTCGTTCTAAAGCTGGCGGCCTAGAATGTCCTTCACTTCGTGGCTTCAAAAAACAATCTAGATGTCGCAAGGACGCTTATCAGTCACGACCCTCCCGTGTCTACCAGGGTCCGTGATAAACGCGGCCAATATCCCATCCACAGAGCTGCGGCCATAGGCTCAGTTCCCATGGTGATACTTCTGATCAAGAATAAGAGCCCCATTAATGCTACCGATGCTGCAGGCTACACGGCACTGCACCATGCCATTGCTGAAGGTCATGGTATGTGCTATACAGAACGCAGGTATCGTTTGTACATGACGCACTGACTGCTTACACATTTGACCAGGTGATGCAGCAATGGCACTGCTTAAAGCTGGAGCAGAGTTCAACAAGAAGGACAATGACGGATGTCTAGCCTTAGACCTAGCTCCAGACAAAGAGGTCCGTGAATATACCAGTCTCCGCCACGCTGAATATCGAGAAAGACGACACTAACAAATGGTGTGTAGGTTCGCCGCTACATCGAGCGTACCGCCGAGGAGGAGGGCATAGATCTGTGAAACAGCCAGATCGCAAGCTGTGGTAATTGGATTATGCCTTCTGGTCTTGGCTGGATTTGGGGGCGGGGCTTCTTCACAATGGGACTGGGAGTTTGTTTGTTCGTCTCTATTATGGGCGCTCGAAACCACATAATCCCATTACCTGACTGTTCGCTCTACCAGGTCGCGATACATGGCCTTGACATCCTGCACGTCAGCACGCAGCTCCTCTACTAGCTCGCTTTTCTCCCCGAGTAACTCTAGCGTTGTCTGATATCTTGAATTCAGGTCGTCAACTTGTCCTTCCAACTCAGCAACACGTTTTGATGCCGTCTTGCTCGATTCCAACTCTTTCATTAGCAACACAATCTCTGCCCTTGCTTCATCTCTTTGCCCTGATATTCGCGCCAGCTCCTCACGCGAAGTTACCTTTTCCGCTTCAAGCCGACGGATGGCCGCGCTCATCCTCTCCACCAGCTGCACTGAAGGACCTGCGCCAACTGTTGACACTGATACCATGTCCTGCATCATCTGTCGAGGAGACGAAGAAATCTCAACTCCTTCAAACATGTCGTCTTTCTCGCCTGCATGCGACGTGGGCGTTGGCAGTGAGTCAGGTGGCAGCTCGAATGATGTAATAGATGGTGCCACGGGCAGGCTCGAGCCGTTGGGTAGCATTGGTGGCCTCGTTGGAGGTTGGCTCGATAATTTTCTTCCGACCGATGAACCCTCTTGAAAGCCGTCCAATCCGTTGGACGGGGTTGAGATCTTGCGGCTCTTTCCAGACACACTTTGTAGCAAGAGGAGGTCATTACTCATGGTCCGCGTGGGCACAGACAGCAACGGTGAGTCTGGACGGCTATGTACTCTAGACCCAGGCCCAGGCAAGTGGTCTTCTAGCCAAGGTCGACGGTCTGAATCCGTCCTTTCAGCCTTCCATGCTGTTTGCTGCTGCTTCTCAAGCTCGGACTTAGCCTGGGCCAAGGCTGCCTCCGCGTTTTCTGCCCGTTTCTGGAGTGCCTCGATACGTGGCTGGTACGCCTCAATGTCTCGCTGGTGGTTGGAGAGCCTGCCCGTCAACTCCTGCAGCTCCTCGTCCTGACGCTTGCACCGGGTTGCCTATCAAATAGTTAGAATGAAAACATACCAGCTGGGGCCTCGGCCGATGACTCTTGAGGTAAGGATCGTATCTTACGGTTTCCCTCGCCTTTTTCCTCATTTCCGACTCTCGTCGCAGAGCATCATCCCTCTCGCGTTCAAGGTTGCCGACTCGGGCAACCAGACTCGCCTCGATGCCTTGCCAGTTCTCCGCAGCAATCGCATGCTGTGTCTGCAATGTTTCCACTTGGCGCAGCAGCTTGGCCTGAGAATCACCGACGGCGCCCGAGGACGCCTCCTCTGCGAGCGCACGCATCGCTTCTAGCTTTCCTTCCATCGCTTGGAGCTCCGTTTTCATCTCAATTTCCATTATACGGGTGCGCTCAGCCGCTCGCGCCACTTTTTCATCTGCTTCAGCGGCGTTGGCCTTGGCCCTGTCGGCAACCAAGCTCTTTTCCAACTGTAGGGCAGCGACAGTGCCTTCGAGATCCTTGACACGACTTTTCTCTGCCGTGAGCGCCTCTTCGGTGGCCTTTGTGGTGTCCGAATGGGCCTGGTCTGAAGCCTTTCGCAGATCGTCCCGCAACCTCTGGATTAAAGACCTGTTGGCTGAAGCCTCGGCGCGCAAAGCGTTCAACTCGTCTTGCATTCCGTTAGACCTTATCTGCAAGTCTTGGTTCGATTGTTCGAGCTCCTCAACGCGACTGGCTCGAGTACGCAACGCATCCATGTCGACCGTCAGCTTGTCATGGCGTGCGCGTAGTTCTGCCACCGTCTTCTCGTCACCAGCAATTTGTGACCTGAGTTTCCTGATGATAGTCCGGTGTTTCTGCTCTGTGGCAGCCAAGTTCCTTCCTTCTTCCATGAGCGCTGCAATCTTTTCGTCTCTTTCGGCGAGCTTCCGCTCTTGGCTACCCGCCGGTGCTGTGCCAGCAGACTTTCGGGCGGCGTCAGTCGCATCCCGTGCCAGGAACTGCACCTTTGCCTGGAGGGCCTCGAATTGCTCGACATGGCGATGTATTTCCTCCTGTTGCTCTTTTGCCGCATGTTCCGCCATAGCTTCTAGAGCTTCGACACGCGCCTTGAGTACAGAACACTGATTGCATGTGTGGCTAGTGTCCGCTGTATCCTTGGATGGTGGGGGTTGGGACGTCTTAGACTTGACTGTTTTGTCAGTTGCATTGGTTGTATCTGCGTGTGTAGTCTCCAGCTTGGTTTCATTCTGTACCGTAGTCCGAGGTTGCTGGCTATCCTGGGAGCCTCTTGGGGTAGTCGGCTTGGGTTGGAGTTGGGGTTGCGCGGGATGCTCGGGGGCGGCGGCCTGAGTCGGGGGGAAGCCGAGTGCTGGACTTAGGACCGGACTTGTAGCAGCAGTACGATCCTTCTGTGGCGTACTGGCTTCAGGACGGCCTCCGTCAGCGCTCGGCCGGGCACTCTGAGACTCTGAGGTTATACTGCGAGCGTCGGATGATTGACTGTTCTTGGCGGCCATAGCCTTAGCAAGGCGCTCCTGTAGGCGGTCATTGGTACGGCTGCTGGTCGAAGAACGGGGCTGGTCTGTCATGTCGAGAATCAGTATCAGGACAGCAAGGTCATGCGAGAAACTGTACAGCGCAATGATCAATGGGAAGGACGAGGGCTGCTCACTAGTTGACTGGTCCTTGGCGGGAGCTGTGGCAGGTTGGGCAGGTTGGGACAGATTGGGCCCGTTCTCGCCTTCAGCGAGGATGTTGTCGAGCCGGGCTTCCACACCGGCGACGGCCTGCTGAAGAAAGGAACCCCAGCGCGTCGACTTTGCGGGAGCTGCCATGGCGACGACTGGGTGACTCCTAAATCTAGCTTCCAAGCGGAGGTGGATATGAGCGGGCTATGCCTTGTGGCTGGTGCGGGATCCGACGACCATGTACATTTCGAGTGCGGCCCCAGAGTTGAGCAGTGGGATCGGTTGGAGTTCTCGTGCTGTTGGTTCGCAATGTATTAGACTAGCCTCGTTACGAACGTAGTTTGCCTTGGGCGCTGCTCGGAAGGGTGCGTGTTATTAAGTCGGTAGACTGAAATCAGATGGCGGATCGCAGAGACAAGATATTTGGATGCTACTGAGTGATTTGCGGACCGGCGGCGCTCTCAATGCCTACAGAGCAGTGACTGTATGTTTGATGGTTGGGTGCGATGACAATACGCAGCTCTCGTTAAAAGACGACAAAGGTCTAGGTGGCATGTAAGGGAGTCGGAGCAATGTCGGCTTCGGGGCTGAGAGGGCGGGTGTGAATTGTTCTGTGCTGCAGCTTCCATGGCACCTTACGTGGAATCATTGGCCTACGAGGCAGGCGCTTTTTGTTTTCTTACGGTGCCTTGCACAGCCTGCAAGCCCAAGGTACCTAGTGTACACCACCACACTACTTTGCCCAGCATTGAGGAACCCCCATAGAAGCGAAGTACCTGCCTCGCGGCGCGGTGAAAGAGCAAGGAACCCTCGGGCCTGTCGAGGCGGCACCTTAGCGTTGTGTAAGGGACCCCTGTCCAGCCAGAGCTTGCGAAACAGGACCATCTGGAGCGAGTTTAGTAGTGAAATGTAGGGAGGAGATACTGCGCGTCCGTAATTAGTATGCGAATAAACGAAAGTTACATTGCACGCATTCCTAGGCCCGGAGTGGGAAGCAACCCAAATACCAGACACTCGAGGTGACCTTACGGCTTGAAAACTGACTTGTACAACACCATCAGCTAAGTATGCCGTGCCGACCCCATCAGGTAGACATGCTGAGCTGCGGCAACGCGAATCTTTTGGGCCCAAACACTCTCTGCAGCCTTAGCGAGTCAGAGTGAAGTACTCTGCCGCCCAGTTTACACGATCAGGTACATCCATCCGTCTTTGCCGTGCCTTAAAATCACACAAACACACACACACACCACAAGCTCAGACAAGACACCCAAGCTATGGTACGTCATCCTGCTAGGCCCCGGAGCTTCCACAATACACCCGTACTTTGCTATCCAATGGTCCTTGTACTAGCGGCCAGACACTGGACCGGGCCCGAGTCGTGGTCCGGCGCACTTGCAGCTTGCAACGTGGAAAACCCACACACTGAGCGGACATGGTTCGGGTTGCAATTGCCGGCTTGCTCAGTCAGGTTCACATTCTTTCCTAGGAGCCACGTTACGGATCCAGTCCATATTGTTCTCTTGCGAGACGAGCCAATTGCCTCCCTTGCTTTTACCTTGCTTCTCTACCTCGCAAAATAGGTACTTCGACCTTGCAACCTGCACTACTTCTCCCCTCGTCTACCACATACCTTGCTTACTGCCTGACCCGGGTTACCTGAGGTCACTCACCTGCTTCTCTCCTACAGTACCTTAGTCCAAGGTATAGCCAATCAACCATTCTCGGGCAACGCCAGTACCTTATTATTCAGACTTCCTCCGGACTACCCGGAACATCACAAGACGGTGCCTCGGTCTTTCTTCCTCTAAACCCTCCCTCTCTGACTCTTCATCTCGCATAGCCATCTCTCGAAAGTCTGGAACCTGGAACTGCGCATGGGGAACCTAAAATAACTTTCAGACTCTTTGAAAGGCCATTTACGACAGCTCTGCATCATTTGTGTGCTAGGCCTAATCCCAACAAGTACTTCGTCGCTCTCTCTAACCAAACCGGCCCCCTCTTGCCTCCTTGCACCCCAAACGCTCGCTTCCTGTGGTGTCCAATATCGACCGGAGTCTACCCGGAGACACCCTCTGGTTCTTCGCTACATTGTCCGACTCTGGCTCAGCTTGGTCTACATTCAGCCGGCTCTATTCGACCGCAATGGCGTCGTCCCCGTTGTTCCAGGCCTTACGCTTAGCCTACAACGAGGACGTTCCAGATGGCTACTGGGGCGAGAAGACGTCAACTTTGAACTTTTGTGAAGAGGTGAGATGACTTGCGTACTGGCCGAGCCAGCGGGCACTGTGCTCTTGACCTTTGCTCACATTTTCCCAGGATTATGCAGTTTCGTACTACTGTGCTGAAGTTTGCAATGTGAGCACCAATCAAACCCGAAAAACTGTCCGGAACGTCGACGTTGCTAACTACGAACCTCTGCAAGACGTTTACGAACCTCCTGTTCCTCTGGCTCGGGTTTAAAGGCGTCCACAACTGCATCTCTCAAGGACACCCGCGCATATTCCTCATTGCCTATCTGGGTTATGTTATCGTTGGTCTCGGCTCCACGGCCTTCCACACATCATTGAAATGTATGGTCTCAACATCTAGCGGCGCATGTCGACCTTTTCTAGTTTTCAAGCACACCGCTTACAGAATCCGCCTAGATCCCATGCAGCTGATTGACGAACTATCCATGATTTACACGACGTGTTTGATGGTCTTTGCAACATTCTCTTTCTCAAAATCACCGCGGTTCGCCGTCTTTTTGGGCACTGGCCTCATTCTTCTGGCTGGCTTTATAACGGTGTGCACCATTCGATTCTCTGCCGAAGGGGAATGTCAACGTGAATGGAGGCGAAGACTGATTGCAACACCACCAGTTTTACTACCACATTACCAAAGATCCCGTGTTCCACCAAGCGTGCTATGCAGCACTTACAGCAACGGTAATAACGCCCATTCCTCGGGTTGCACATCGTTTTACTTTGTATGAACACTGACGCTATGCAGGTTGTTCTACGTAGCTTATATGTGATGGAGACCCAACTACGCCCGATCCTTGTCAAGAGAAACGGCGCCAAGGCTCATGGAATCCTCAAAACTATGTGGATCATGGTTGGCACGGGCCTTGGCGTGTTCCTCCTGGGTTTTTTCATCTGGAACCTGGATAACGCCTTCTGCAGTCAGATCCGACGTTGGCGGCGACAGCTCGGTCTGCCTTGGGGTGCCGTACTTGAGGGTCACGCCTGGTGGCACTTGATGACAGGAATCGGTATGTGTTGTGCTTGCTTTCCGACCGCCCTCGTTTCCCCGATCAAACAGTCACTGACATCATCTTAGGAGGTATGAGCCATTCGGCCTTCTACATTTAATGGTGGGGCTCCTGACACTACCTTCGCTGGGCTAACCAGGCATTAGCTTATTACTACATCACTTGGGGAATATGGCTCCGTAGATGTCTCGAGGGCCGCGAGGACGAGTACAGACTTGTTTGGCCTAGGTCACTCTTGTCGATACCACTTGTTGTCAAGGGTAAGAAGACCGAATAAGAGCCGGGCAGTGATGCGCAGGAGTACTATGCTGCCAGCCAAAGCCACCTCACAGATTGCGCGGATGAGATCTCCGACGACAACAGGAGTTTAACCACTGTAAATACTATGGCATTGTTGCTCCGGATACAGTCCTAGTTGGATACGGTGGCGTGGTCTTCATCAGGGAAGATGACACTTATGCAAGACTGCGGGCAAACGGATACCAAGTCCTTGTCTTTTCATCTACTGCAGATACCCTTTGAATTGCGTCGGCATTATAGAACTTACTTCTCATGCAGTATACGTTTCTCCACCATAGGGGCCCTTATGTAGTGAGCAATGGACTATACTGATACTATTCTGTGATGTCCGATATATCGTGCAGGTGGACGGCCGCGGCAGCCCCACATTCACAAACCTAGAAATTGCAGTTAAACACTATAGGTAGTAACGTAAAAAGGATAGTCCACTCCAAAATTGCAAGGTTTGTTACCCCCATAAGTAACTCAAACCCACACTGACCCTGAAGTTGCACCATATACCTACCTGAATGCCCACACCCACATAAGAGGAATTACCTGGCCTAATACATTACCACGGCTATCATCACTGCATTCATATTGAACCGCAGCAACGTTCGCCCGCTCCTGAACCACCCGACACCAGGTCGTGTTTCCTTCGCCACCGCGATCAAACCCCGCGTTTATATCATTCGGTCACATCGTCGGAACGAGTCACGATGTCTATCTCGAACCAAGCGCTCGAAAAGGTAGGAGAGGAGTGCAGTCCCGGGCTGGTTTACTTCCTGGCATAGTTTGATTAACTAATGCTCACTCACCTTCCGTCATAGTTGATTCGTGAAATTGAGAGCCAAGCGATTGTGGCCCAGCAGCAGATTGGCCAGGCTCGCACGCAGATGACGGCAAAGCAACGAGAAATGCGCATGGTGCGCCTGACCTTGGATGAGGTGTCGACCCTACCCGTGAACTCGGGTGTTTACGAGGGTGTTGGCAAAATGTACGTGGAACCCTCGTTGGCTAGTGTGTTCTTATTCTCCCTGCTGCAGCCGATATTGCGTCCTTGGCAGGTTGCAAAGGAGCGGAGTGGAAGAAGATGCAGCTCGGTACCGATTTTGCTGACACTTGGCCTGCCGGTGGGGAGGCGGAAAAGGTTCGTCTCGATGCCCAAACCGCAGCTGACACAGAAGCTGGAGGGCCAGATCAAGGAGAAGGAGGGAGAGGTTGAGAAGCTGAGCCAGAAGCTGCATTACTTAGAGACGACATACAAGAACAGCCGGCAGCACATTGACCAGATGCTTAAGGCACAATCATGACGGTTATTGTATGAAGAAGTGATTCTGGAGACAGATACAGAGGCACGAGTTTGTAGCAAAGGATATGGACGAAGGATGAGGCACCTATCCTAACTTGATCGACGAGCCAGACGACAAGACGGGCAATTGGCTCCGAGAATCGAATGATTGCCATTGCTAAGCTGGAGCCATGAATGGTCAACCTAACTTTTCCGAGCGTCCAGTTCAAACAGATTTAGTGTCTCAAATCTCATCAGGGTTGACGTGGCTCTTTTATACGTCCAATTCAACTCGTCTTCTGGGGACCCGATGATCTGAATACCTAGAATGACACGGGCGGTGCAGCTAGAACCAGATAGGCTGAGTCAGCCAGCAGATGCATGGCATGAGAAAGCCAGAGCCTTGCTCGGGATACAAAGTCGATATCATCTATGTCAGCAAGACAAATTATGTCCTTTGGAGTATATGACTAGTGGTCAGGATGAGGCTGCCTAATATGTCAGTATGTGTGTGTGTGTGTGTGTGTGTGTGAGTCTCGTGGCTGCGTTTAGGTAACTAAAGTATGTACAAGGGTATGAGGACAAAAATAAGAAATCATAGGCAAGGAACCCCCCTCCCAAACATACAAAGAGGGCCGGGGGCACAGGTCATAAACTACTTCCCGCCGAGGACCCTCGACACCGAACCAAAAATTGATAGACCATGCGTATGAGCACACACGCCTGAGGGCAAAGAGTGCTGCCGCGAGCAGGTGGGGAGACCAACAGATAGGCTGAGTAAGTGACAGGGTGAGAAGGGTTGTTCTTCAAGCCTGATAGGCCTCGCCCATTTAGGGTTGTTTCAGTAGCCGCCTGCGCTTGGAGCGTCAAATTACTTCAACAGTGTTACAACAAGCAAAATGAAGCTGGATTACTCAAGTGAGGATGAGTGAGTCGTGAGGAAGGCAACATAGCAGAGCAGGCAAGAGTCAAGGGTGGCAACGACAACCTTAGCTGACCACACGAGTTGACGCAAAGCTACGACGCTGCTGACATGGATCATTTTGTAGGATATAGGTATGGATTTCGCATCAGTTACTCGGAGTTTAGCCTGCGAGGGCTGAGGTTCAGCTCCGAGATTGTGTGCGTGTTGTTTCCATTCAGGTACACAACCTGCGGAGTACCTTGGCCCTACTTTACCGTACCTGAGGCCGAGGTAGGCGACGATCGACCTCTGCTCATGGGTACTGGAGCCGGGCTTCCCTTGTATAGTCAGTCACACAGGCAGACACGAGTGATACCCTGGCCGTCATCTTAACAAGTGTTGCCGTCCCAAGACCAGGAAAGTGACACTGCTTGCTTGAAAATGGCTGCCTGGCCAGCTGAAGTTGTCGACCGCCATCGGTGGCTGTTGGCACCATTTGACAGTCTCGTCCCGTTCCATCAGCGCTGTCCAGTCACGTCGAGCACCCGCACCTGAAAAATGGGACGAGGCATCCTGGCCCCCAATGCTGGTAAGGAGCGTGGAAGCTCAAGCCACCCGTAGCACTGCACCCTGGACGTTGGGATCCACTTTGTCAGCAATCGTGCAGCCCTACGGCAGCTACGCCAAAGGGCCAATCCAAAGACGGCTAGTAAGTGGAGGGATGGGAAGGACAGGAGGGGTTAGGAAACACTCGACGAGGAAGGCGGGAGCAGAAAGACAATCTCTGAAGACAGACAGACGAACTGACAAATAGCCGGCCAGTCTTATGCTTTACCGATGCTGACTGCCCCGCCTTCCTTCCGGTATAGGACGTACCTTAGACTTGCAGCACGTGAACCGTCACTGCAATGGGTGTCGACGTGCTCCGTCCGCCGTCCTCCGCCCTCGAGAGCGTAGATGGTGTTGATGGTTCCTCCCGTCTGTCGCTCGGGATCTTGGAGTTCTATTAGTCACTGGAACGGCCTTTATTATTCCATCAGCTACAACGTTTTGCAGTATCAATCAGGAGCAGAAGTAGGCAACACCGGTTCGACACCCCGATTGCCAGCCACTTGGAAGAGACCGTTAGACACCCGTGGCGCCCCTCCTAATCCGTTTCTCTTCTCGCTCCGAACTAGAGGAGTGCCCGCCTGCTTGGATCCCCCCCCGCCTCCTATTTGCTGTACGGCAGTAGGTACTCCTCTCTTTTCCAGTCCCTAGGCTCTCTCTCCTCACCCTCCCTCCCTGCCCCCCTCCCCCTCCCTCTGCTGCCCCCCTCTACCCTCGCACGCAAGCTCGCATGTCGACCGTCCCACGCCAACCATTTTATTCCTTCGACCATGTAAGCCGATCATCGTATCGTGCGCCAGACGGGGGAGGCATCTATCTCCATCGCCCCCCGGTCGTCTGATGCCCTAAGCTAGGGAAAGCATAAAGAGCCACCAGATCTCACCTTCTCGCCCCCAACGTCTTTTTCCCGCTTCCCCCCTCTTCTGCTTACTATCTCAGCTGTTTTTTTTTGTGCCATTTGCCCTCCGCCTCTTTTGTGAAGGAGTTGACGTTTCTGGCCTTATTCCCGAGGACCACCGACTAAAGACTATCCTTGATCCTGCGATAGTCACTGCAAACACCCCACGCAACCTGTCGTGCAACCTCTCCATAATGAGTAGCTACTACTCGGACTCGGATGATATTGATATCCGCTTCTCAAGGCGTCGAGCGCCGTCGCCTGGGCCCGTCCACTACGTTGAGGCGAGGCCTAGGGCCAGAAGCTACTATGCATCAGCCCCTCAACAACCTGCCTTCCTGGCCCCAGAGCGCACAGTGATCACCACTCGCACTCGATCGAGAGAACGCTCTAGCGAGCGTCGCTCTACTCCCCCAAGCAGTGCGCCCTCGGCGCCAGCACCAGGACTGCCTCCTGTAATCATCAACAACCGCATCTACAATGAACATTCCTCAGATGACGAGGATGACCGCCATATGCAGGTCTACCACTCTCGTCATCGTTCCCGTTCGCGCGGTCACTCCTCTCACTCTCGATCACCATCGTCCTCCTACATGACCCGAGAGGACTATGAGGCTGAAAGAGCTCGCCAGGAGCTGGCCGAGCTGAGAATCACCCAGGCTCGCGAGAAGGAGGAGCGAAGAATCCAAAAGGAGTACCGAGAAGAGGCTGAGCTCCAGCGTGCAAAGCGCGACCTGGATGATATCCGAAGTCGCGAGGCCCGCGCCACCGAAGAGAAACGCTTTAAGACACAAATTGAACTGGAAAAATACCAGGAGGAAATGCGGCTGGCAGATCTGGCTAAGAAGCGAGAGAAGGAGGCTGCTGATGCCGTGGAGCGTTACAAGAGGAAAGAGCAGGAGCGCCTCGCCCAGGAGAAGAAGGAGAAGGAAGAGCGCGAAAAGGAGTTCCAGAGAAGGTTGCAGGAAGAACGCCAAAAAGAATTGGACCGCTTGGCCAAGGAAAAGAAGGAGAAGGAGGAGCGCGAAAGGGAGTATCAGAGGCGACTCCAGGAAGACCTTATGAAGTCAGGTCTTGACCAAAAAGCCATTGCTGCCATTCTGAAGAAGGAGAAGATACCCGAGTCTCCCAAGCCCAACTCAAATCCCAATACCGCCAACAACGCTCTAGTCACAGGCAGCCGCCCGACCTACACGCGCATGGCCCGTAAGCATCTGTCAATTGAGACGCTGAGAACATACCACGTCGAATGGGAGCTGGATGTCGTACGCGAAGATCACCCTTCCACTGCTTCGAAGTAGTACTTGCTAATTCATGTGGTCCAGGATCCCGATTACGTGCTCATCAAACGTTGGGTTCCAGAATGGGAACAGGACACGCTATGGCGGCACACCAGGTCGCTTCGCGAAAAGCGTTCATCCAAGCTGGTGCTCGAGATCGAGGACAAAAAGTCTCACAGGCATGAGCCCGAATTTGAATGGGTAAGAAAGAAGAGTGACCGCAAGCGAAGCAAGTCGCCAGCACTTCTCATGTACCTTGCCGGCGCCAAGCCGGCGTGATTCATGAGAGTCAACTTGAGAGCTTGCCGCCGGTTAAAACGTGCTCGTATCGTATACACGATGGAGATTTAGGCGAGGCACTGCCACCGAGCAACTTGGAGCTACGGCTCGCATCACTCGCATGGTGCAATTAAGAGATGACGTATCGGGTAGTCACTCAATGGGGTGCTCAGTAGCATTGGATTATACCAGGAATGGGGCGTCAGGTATTTGCGGCATGGTGCTTGTTTGAGATTGGGATGAGGTGGGACTATCTATTTGGGGCGCGCGGACATTATGCTATGGCTCTGCTTCTGTCGTTGTCAAACTAGAGGACCAAGTACGCTCAGCTCTTCGAATCAATTCTTCATACACAGTCCAGGCCAAGGCCGAACTCATTGCTTTCCTGCTCATTCGGAGCGCTACCCCGTCCATGAGTGACCGTACACCCTCCTCTGTGACCATCTTGTGGCAGGCCTGGTACATGTTGCGGTAGATGGCCGGCTGCAGCTGAATCCTTGTCTTGACAGCATCGAAGGGGTTGGAGACAACAGAGCAAGCGGCCCCGGCCATGATGGCGGAGCTAAAATTTACCAACGTCGCATGCGATGTTGTGATGGTGATGGGGCGGGTTGAGTTCTGTCCTCTATTATCAAAGGACAGGCCACTCAGCCGCTTCTTGAGCAGCTCGTAGAATAATACATACATGCCTGCATACGGCGCATCGCGGACAGCCGTGGCACCGAAGCCAGCAAAGAAGCCTCGCAGGCCGTTCGTCCTGTAGATGTCGGATGATGCGCTGAGCAGTGACTGATAGGAATACAGGTTCGATTCGTATCGAACTTTGATAACGGTCAAGGGCATCAAAACGAAGCCTGCGAATGTTCGGGCAACGGCACCGGCCACGAGGTTAGCCGTCGGGGTGAGCGTCGGTAACGAGGACGAGTGGGTGGCCCGGCCAGCGGCGGCTTGGCCCAATAGGCGCGTTTCAGCGACATGTTGGCGGATGGAGTTGAGGGACGTGAAGTAGAGAGCTGAGCCGAAGCCGGTCCTTAGTGCCGACGGGACTGTACCGCGCCAGAGCGTCTGGATCTTGTTCGGGGCGGCGGCGACGTCTTTGAGATATGATGTCAGGGATCGGTGGCCTGATTGCTGCACACGCGTTTTCAGCAGGTCGAGCGGTTGCAGAAGCACCGCCGACGCGACACCGGAGCCAAGTCCAGCAATGAAATGCCGAGCTGGCAGGATGAGATGTACAGATCAGCTTGTGCACTGGTAAGGGATGATGGCTTGAGCAGTCACAACAACCGTAGTCATAATGACAACAATGCAAGAATGAAGCAGAAGCGCCAGGATCAAACAAGTTCCCGGGCTGGTTCTATCGAAATGTGAGTTCATCACTTACATGACTTTGTCCGGCCAGAGATCGTCGTCTGTTGAGACATGAGGCCCTGAGCGAAAGTGTGCCGTGCCGTTATGAGTGGATATACTGAACTGCACTAATCAAGAAAAACAGGCGCGCAGTCTGCAAGTAGGTTTATGTGTGAAGACAGGTATCGGGATTCAGAGCCATCGTGTATCTCAATGTTGAACTTCGGGGCGTGTGCGAGATGTTGTCAATGTGGTTGCGATGATACTAAATCTTGACAAAAGGGGATCACGAAGTCATGATGACTTTTATTGAGTGATTACAAGGGTGCTGGTGGCAGCTGAGCGTAGGTGTGTTCACTCACTAGCCACTTCAGGTCGTGGTTGGCAGATGATGGCCGGGGACTTGAACGTAACGGAGTTCCAAAGTGATCCATGATTGGATTTGTAGTGATTATGCCTGTGTTATGCTTCTATCCGGCTTTGTGAGTCCGGGTCGCCCCGAACCATATCGGTGGAACTTCTGGGGGTGCCGCCGTCAGCCTCCGGATCATCCGACAGTATCCCTAAAATTTCCAAAGTAGAAGAGGAGAACAGAGTAGGCAACAACGACTAAAGTGTGCCCGAATCTATGTTTCATGCGTTGGGTGTGGCGATGTCAGAAGGGATGACTCCCTCGCAAGCCATCGCCTACCTTCAATCCAGTTTCGACTAATCTACAGTCCCGTTTGCGTGGTTCAGGTGGTAACCCCAGCTATGGGGTCGATTCCCGTCTCTTTGGGCTGACACACCAGGTTTCCAACCGTTGATAAACAAGCAATAACCCTTGTTGAAGTCTTGCCACAAAAAGACCATCAAGGGTCGGCATGTTTTCGATCATCAACCGTCTTTGACCCCGGCTGTCTTGTAATCACCAATAACCGACTCGAGGCGCCCCGACAGTAACCGGTGTCGCTTGACAATATCAACCCATTCGGATTGTTTCGTCACTCCTTCGCCTTTGTCACCGAGCCCAGCCAACAGCATGCCAAAATCGCCCCCAAGTCTACCCAAGCTTCCTGAGCAGTACAACACTTGCGTAAGAATGCTATCTCGTGCGGCCTGGTCCTTTACAATAGGGAGATACTCGCCTAAGGTCTCGAGGAGCATCTCGACGAGATGAAGTGGGAACGTCGACAGCGTCGATGGTAAAGGCTGGAGAGGATCTTTGCTGTCGGCGTTGGGTCGGCTGACGTGATGGCTTGTGTTGGGGAAGATGCTCTTGAACATAGAGACGACTCCGAAACTTTGCTCGCGGAAGATCTCGACATAACGCTTGAGATACTTTTCTGTTTGCTGACCGCCGGACCAGGACTGGTTGCTAGCGTTTTGCTGCCTATTCCTCTCCTCGTCGGCCAATTCGCGGAGGGGCTGCAGAGCCCCTAGAGTCGCGTCTAAGGTAGCTACTCGGCAGCAAAGGAAAAGCAGAGAGAGAGTATGCTCCTGGGACTCGCGACTTGAGGAGCTCATCGAAGACAAATCAGGAAGTACTCTCCTGAGCCAGCTGACGGTCCGTAGTGACGCGGCCAACTTGAGACCCGGAGACTTGAGGGCGGTGATGAGGTCAGCCGTCATCTTGACGATGGCCTCGTCGGCCTGGCGGGAAACTAGATCAACCAGCGGCGAGTCTGGGTACAGGCCGTGCAGCCTCCGGATGTGGGCGTTGAGATCAAGCGCTGAGGCATAATTGGCAGGGATGGTGTTGATGGCCGAGGAAAGGAGCGTTGGGAGTTCAAGAACGTCAACGAGGCGCTCAACGTTGCGAAGCAGCAGCAGGGCTCGTTTTCTTTCGGCCAGGTCCTCATTGTCGCCGGATTTGCTGTAGGTGGTCGAAAAGCGCAAAGCTTCTGAGTCAAGTTTTGGGATTGCCTGGCGTAGGTCGGCAGTATCAGCGACCAGGGTAGGCAAGGCGCGGGTCAGAGTAGCATGGTGTGAGGCCGAGTCGATTACGGACTTGTGAGAGCGCTTCGAGACGCCTTGAAGTGAGAGGAGAAGCGATTGTGAGGACTGAGTTAGAGACTGAGGCTCTGTCGATGTCAGGGCTGCCGGACTTTGATCTGCGAGATGGGACAGATAAGCCAGCTTGGTTGATCGAGGTGTTGGGTTGGTATTGGCGCCGGGGGCCTGTCGCGTGTCGAGCAGATCAAGTAGAAGGTCAGCCATGGTTGCACTTGCCGATGCTTTGATGTTCACATTTGAAAGCGGCGATTGGAGTTGTGGGCGACGTCGCCGATGAGTGAGACGGACGCGGCCGTGTAACAGGCACCTAGGTACGTGGTGGTTCACTAATGAGGTGGTCCCATGGTAGGCATGTAGCTCCGTACGAACAGCATTTCCAGCTCTGTACCTGGAAAGGCCAGCGAGCAGTATGCGTGTAAGAGAGGTGGTTAAAAAGGTCTTGCACGTATCAGAATAAAGGATCCTTGCTGAGGTAAGCTTTCTGATGTCATATGAACGCTCCAGGTGCGTGTGCGTTCCAGAGTCCTGGTCGCGTCTCGGTTCTAGGGTACCGAATTACCATCGCAGTAAGGTACTTCCGTAACAGTGCTGCGATTCGAATTTTCCATGAGTTGCTTGCCATTTCATCTAAATCTTGGTGATTTCTTCCCATTCATCGTAGTATATGCCAGGAGGAGCCAAAGTGACATGCCAAATGAACTAGAGCTCCGTTCCCGCCTGACTATGTACAGAACCTTCCTCCCATTCTTTCGCGTATTCATGCCAAGTCCATCTGATGCCTTCACGGGATTACTGGTCTTACTCCAGCGTCCCACGCCGGTGTCATGGCTGCTGCTGTAGAAAACCAGAAATACTTGCTAAAGCTCACCCAGTTGCTGTCCGGGCCCAGCTGATGCAGCCAATGACACAAGCTCAGACCGCTAATGTACCCGAGAACCGCTTGACGCGACGCCTGGTCATAGACGACTGCTAAGCCGCTAGGGTACGTGCTTAAAGCCCCACCACAAACGTCTCCAAGGGTCCTCCTCCATCAAGCTTAGCTTCCCCCAACAATCCTCCCAGCTCCCCGCGCCTAGTTGATCATACTTACTCTTTCGCCTTCCGTACCTCTTCCCTACCTCACGCCGCCCACACAAGACCTTTGGTCACCTACGCGCCTTCTCAGTTCAGCCTCGTCCGCTTCTCAACACTTGACGGACCGACAACCTGATCCGGTGACACGGCTTTCTTCGTTCCATCGACCGTAGTGAAAAGGGACCAAGTCCCTTCACGCAGTCCCACGAGCGATCTGCGCGCCCGCCTTCGACCTCTTCCAACCGCCTGCATGCTGCTCGTTCGACTCGACGATCAAAACTAAGGACGATATAAAGGACGAGAGCGTAGAATGAAAGACCCTTTCTTCATCGAGCCGTTCCCATGGCTCGTCAAGGCAACACAGCCCTTGGCTGACTACTTCTCTCTCCCGACCCTGCCGATACACATCCACGAGGTCTTCGCCTCCGCACTGCTGTACTCTGTCATCTACTATCCGATATCGCCGCTACTGTCGCGCTTGATCGTTGGCCGCAAATATCTCGACCTGCCTCGAAAAAGACGGATCAATTGGGACGCTCACGTCGTCTCTCTCGTCCAGAGCACGCTCATCAACGCGCTGGCCCTCTGGGTCATGTTCGTTGACGAAGAGCGCAGCCAGATGGACTGGCAAGCTCGCATGTGGGGTTACACTGGCGCCGCTGGTATGGTCCAGGGCCTCGCTGCTGGCTATTTTCTTTGGGATCTTGTTGTAACCAGCTGCAACATGGATGTCTTTGGGTTTGGCACCTTGGCTCACGCCATTAGCGCCCTGTTTGTCTACTCGCTTGGATTCGTAAGTTTACCTCGTGCCAAACTCCCGCCTCGGTCTTTCTCTCCCTGACCATGATTCTCTAGCGACCTTTCCTCAATTACTACGGCTGCGTCTTCATTCTCTGGGAGTTATCAACGCCCTTCCTCAATTTCCACTGGTTCTTCGACAAGTTAGGAATGACTGGGTCTCGCGCGCAACTGTACAACGGCTTGATGCTTCTGTTCACCTTCTTTTCCTGCCGCCTGGTCTATGGGACCTACCAATCGGTCAAAGTGTTTTCAGACATTTACGCTGCTATCAACGCTCACCCTGTCTTGCCCAAGGAGATATCCCCCGAAACAAGCGCCATTCCTGCGCCGACAGGCGTGATGAGATTTGCGACAGAAGCCTCAACTGTCCCGACGTGGTTGGCAGTGACGTATCTCATGAGCAATCTGACTCTCAACAGTCTCAACCTGTACTGGTTCATCATGATGATTAGCGCTGTCCGCAAAAGGTTTCAGCCAGCCAAGTCGACAGACACGAAGGCACAAATTGAGCCCTCGTCTACAAAGGTTACCGCCCGAACCGGGCAAACTCCTGCTCGTCGGCGCAAGGCATAGAATGGTCCGGGAGTTCTACCTCTTTACCTTAGTACAGCTCGAAGCAAAGGTGCGCGCTTGACTGTGGGTGATGCAGCCGCGCGGAGAAGGCAATGCATAGTTATAATGCGCGATTGGGGGCAGAGGGGCTGTACCAACAGAACATTAGTATTGCTGCATTTGGGTGGCTTAAGGCCGGGAGTTTCATATACTTGGTAGACTTGCGCATATTTTGTTTGCGATGCTGCGTCATTGATCGTGTTTGGGTCGCGCCTTGACTTGTTTCCCTCTATTGTTGTCCTGTTCACATTTGTGGCTTGCCGGTGGTCTCCAAGGGATGTCTGTCAATATACATAAGGCACATAGGAGATGGACGACGCCTCAATTTTCAGAATCATCATAGTTTTTGATTACTGAACGGAAGATTCCGTTAGTTACAAGGCCAATGCATTTCCCTTTACAAACCTACTCGAAAAACATCAGCTGCTACAACAGAGCCTTTAAGAGTCTACGCCAGGAAGTCAATGAGAACACTATTGTATCATGCCTCATGTACTATTAGACAGGCATGTGTATCCCTAGCTGCAGCAGCACCTCCTGGAACGGGAGGCGATAGCAAACATGTTCTATAATTGCATCAGGTCTCATGCAAGACATTGTCACGTATCGATCATACGTCCAACCTGTTTGATGCAAGGTTATAAGAAATGATATTAAGTACATCTAATGCGTGTAGACTGGTATGACGGCGGGGAGCATGTCCGCAGTGCACCTATGCTATGCTGGAGTGTCCAGAAAATTAGAAAAACACACCAGAAGATTCGCTAGCTCCGACCCGGAACATACGAGCCATCAAGCACGTGGAAACATGTACAATCAGAAACCGAAGGGGTTGTTGGGAGCTTGGTATTAATGTTAGCCGAGTCCTCTTGGGTATCTTAGCCATGGCGTGCGCGGCATTGTTGACTTACTTGCTTGAGAGAGGTTAGCCCGCCGGCCTGTCGCCTGCGGCATCAACTTCTTCGCATCTCCTGTGACGCCGAATCTGACCGGCGGGGGAGGGCCTGTCTTCTGCGGTTGCAAAGGCTGAACTGCAGGCTGCACAGGGCCAGTACCACCCATACTGTTGAAGCCGCTCATGCCGGTTTGCTGAGGCTGGAATCCCGGTAGGCCGGTTCTTTGCGGCTCCATGGCAGGAGGCAAGAAGGAGTTGATGCTACCAGTTCGTTGAGCATTGAAGCCTTGCATCGCACCAAGCTGGAAGCCAGTAGGCTGTGCCTGCATCGGAGAGAACTGGCTTTGTCGCTGGGGTCCGCGAAAGGACTTTGAGAAGGCGCACCCGTCATCATTGGCTGCATTTGCTGCATGAATTGTCCACCAGTTTGCTGCATGCCCGGGTTAAAGCCCATGACCTCTGGGACCGGTTGCTGCTGAGGGATCGGGTAAGGATTCATCTGCTGCTGGGGCATCTGCTGCTGGGACATCTGCTGTTGCATGGTATACTGCTGATGCAAACGCGCCTGATTGATGTCGTTCAAGCTCTGGCCTGGCGGTGCGACTTGCGTCTGGAAAGCCTGAGGGGAGATGCCGGTCATCTGAGGCATCAAGGGCGGGGGAGCGAAGGCACTTGGCTGGGCCGATTGGGGCGCTGACAGAGGTCTCGCAGGCGGAGGAGGCATCAGAGAGCCAGGACTCGTGGTGGTAAGCGGTGGAGCCGGTCTTTGCCTTTGAATAGTTTGCTGTGGTGTCTGCATGCCAGTAGGGTTCGGCCGTATTGTATCGAAGAATGACGGTGTAGCTCCTGTGGGCTGGGGAGCTTGCGCCGGCGCCGGCGGTTGGCTGACGGCCGGACTCGGTCCCGTCGGCTGAGCTGTCCGCTGCGGCTCTAAAGGTTTTGTCAAAAGAGACAGATCCTGCATAGAGCCAGTGAGAGCTGGCACTTGTGCAGCCGGAGCTGGCTGTTCCGCAGGTTGGGCAGGATGTTGCACAGGTGCAGGTGTCGGTGGAGCTGCGGGGCGCGGCGGCTCTTGTGGTTGCTTCGACGGCTTTACGTCCCATGCATCGTCGTCGAAGCCGCTTGGTGTCTTGGCTGTCGCTGGAGTTGCAGAGGCCGAGGCAGGCGTGGAGTCAGCATCCTCGCTGGAGCCAGCGCCTTTCGCGGCAAACGCCTTAGGGTCAACAACGTCACTTGTCTGAACCGCAGGGGCTGGCCTGCCCTTTCTGGTGTTGTTCCGCAGGGCACCGCCGGGGCCGGAGAAGAGACCTCCAGAAGCGCCGTCGCCTTCACCATTAGCTTTATCGGCGCCGTTCTTCGTGCGGCCGAACTTCTGATCCAATGTTCGCATAACCTTGAGGACGTCTCCCTCGCGAAGACCCAAGTTACGAAGTACCGAGGCATCGACGTCCGGGAGAACGCTTTCGTCCATTGAGTCCTTGGTAAAGGCCTGGGCGTATCGTTCACACAATCCCACAGCAACATCGCAGGAAAGGAAAAACTGGAACCAATCGTACTCAGGCTTCTGCGGTTGTCCCACGGAGGCGCCCAGTCCGGCGGGGGGCGAGTCCCTGGCTGCACCGGTCTGGGAAGCCCTGGTCTTCTTGACGTTTGATAGCGGCTTATCCTCATCCAAAGAAATGCCCGTGACACGCTCGACATATTCGAGATCTTCGACCGACATCTTGGCAACAGGGACTGCAATCTTGACACCGTTCATCTTGTGCAAGTTAATCTTGCCGTCCTTGAGCCCCAGAAATTGCGCGTCGACGCTGAACGATTTCGAACGGTCTGTCCACGTGCGTACTTTAGCGGGATCGGGCTCTGGGATAAAAAGGTTAGCAAAAGAAGCACGCCACGCATGGTTCGCAACATATGCGCTTACTGGATTTGCCAGACCGGCCCTGGCTGCCGCCTTCGCTACGTCCGTTTTCTCGTTTGCTCCGCTGCCCATAGTTATTACCATTTTCTCTTGCCATAAGACTACTGCCTCGCTTTGGTAGAGGCATTCCTGGCCCTACCTGCTGTGAGCTGTCTCGCTGAGCGGCCTTGACAGCCTCTTTTGTCAACCTAATCTCTTCCAGGCGGTTCTGTTCGACAGTCGATCTCGCCGCGTTCAAACCGGTGTTGCTTGAGGGTGGTGCGATGGAGCCTGTGACCTCGATATAGCTGCTGGGGACGACGCCCTCCTTTCCATTCTTAACGCGTCGAACTTGCCACCATTCCTCACTCTTGGAGTCGTCAATGATGATGACATCGTCGCCAACAGCGACAGTCACCTCGTCGTCACCCTGAGCCATGAAGTCGTAGAGCACTTGACCCTTCTTTTGGGTCTTTCCGGAGCCTGCCAGGATGACCTCGCGCAGCCCTTCAGCTTTAACGGCCCCAGCCAGTTCGCCCAGAGCGCCGACGATCTCCTCGGCCGTGTCTTTGGCACCAGCATGGAAATCTACACTCTTGCTCGGCCTCACAAGCTCTAGGAAGACGTGTTTCCCTTCGCGAGAATAGTGTGTCATTTTCTCCGCCGTCCATTCTTGAGACGGACCGTCCGACGCACGTTCAGGGGCAATCAAGATGTTCCCTGTCGCTAGGTTAATGCCGAGGGTAGTGGGCATCTTCTTGCGCTTGCCCATTACGGACACCATTTCATTGATGTTGTACATATGGAAACCACCGGGGGCGCGGTAGGGTGGTTCCTCTATGACTTCCGGGGTGTCGTATAGGTGAGTGTCTATTGACCTCTGAGACTGGATGCGTGCGGGTGCAGCCTGGGAGGTCGGTCTTGCGGGCAGAGCCGGGCTTTTGACCGGCTCGTCGTCTGACAGCTCCGAAGCAGGAGACTGCGGTGACAAGGGAGGGGTCGCGGCACGCGGAGGAGGCGCAGAACGGCCGGCCATAACACCTGCAAGAGCTGCGGCAGGGTTGTTGGCCTGGGAGCTAGCGGGTGAATAGGTGGACTCAGGCCTTTCGGAGTAGCTGTCTGCGTCGGTAGCGGCAGACGCAGTACGAGACGGCAGCATTGGAGGGGGTGAGGGTAGAGCCTCGGGCTGCTCGGCTTCGCTCATCTCAATGTAGTTGGCTGGCACGAAGCCAAAATCGCCGTCTAGGCCAACCAAGATCCAATCAGGGTCCGACGTGTCGTATACGTCGAGGACGGCATCCTCGGGGAAGGAAAGCTCCTCATCGGTCTGCCGGGTGTATTCGAACAGTGCGCGTGCCTTTGCGACGGGTTGCGCCTAAGGTAGTGTTAGAAACACAAATCGACATAAACGATGTGAAGAGAATCCAACGCGCTTACCTCTTCAACGTAGTTGTTGGGGACGAGCCCCTCTGGTTCTTCTTCGTCATCGGCACTGGCCTTCTTCTTGGCTTTCCACCAGTCATCTTCGGCATTCTTCTCGAGTACATAGAGAACATCTCCGTCGTTGATGGCGAGCTCGCCCTCAGCCTGCGGCACGTAATCATATACGGCCTTGTAGACTCCCAAGAAACCCATATTGGTGGAGCTTTTGGGCAGCGTGGTTTTTATGCGTAACGTAAAGGATCAGGTGGGCGTGGGTGGGTGGAAAAGACCGCGGAGCATGGGATAGAATTACGCGTACGTAGGCAACTGTTCGCCAGCAAACACGGCACAGTCAATCCCTCTTCGGCGGGCTCGCTGCTCGCTGCCGGCGGCCCCGGAAACGGGCGGAATATGGGAACTCGCTTGTATCGGATGAGCTGATGTCGAAGGTCCTCCTGGAAGTACAAATGTGCCTTGGTCAACTCTTATCCTAGAAGACAATCGGGCCTCGTCATTAAGGGGCACGTGAAGAGGCGGGGGAGAGAAATCACTCGATTCAATGGAGTGCAAGATGGACGCGATGCGGTGCCAGTCACCATAGACTGCCACCGGGCAGACGATAAGGAATGGAAGGGCAGAGCACAGGAAGCGCAGACCAAGGTGGGTTGGGGATGACGGGGAATCGCAATGCGAGGTATGGCGGAATAGCTTACAAGGCATGAGATGTGGTGGCAGCTACACGGCGTATCTGTATGAGTATAATCGGATGGCGCTATCGCATAAGGCCGTCGGTTCGTGGAAGATGGCGACGCTGAACAGAGCAACGTTGCGGCGTCAAAGATGGGCAGGTCGTGCTGTGCCACGGGGGAGGGTGTGGGTGGTGATGTATCCGTAAGTGTAGGGCGGGTACCTGGGAAGCAGGCCAAGGCAAGACAGACGAAAAGGTAGATGCAGGTTTGCGCTCGAAGCAAAGCAAGGCAATGTGTGTGTCAGGTGTGGTAGTGGATGTGTGCGCGGTGGTGTGTCTATGTCGAAGTGCGGTTATCCGTAAGCATATTGTTACGTCGTTGCCGATGGTGAGTGGTAAAGAGGAGGTCGTGGCCGTGGCAGATCGTGGTGCACTTGGGGTCGGAGAAGCTGGGCTGGGCCGGGGGGGGGGGCACTGATTGAGACTGGGCCGGAGGCTGTGGAGAAAAAGTGACAATGAGGAACTTGGGAGGCTGGTGCTCGCCGGTACTGGCCGGGCTGACACCTTAACATGGCAGGGTCTGCCGGGAGTACCTAGATGAGAGACAGAGAGGTGACGGGCGACGGCCAGTCCGCTAAGGATACAGTGGATAAGTGGCTGAAGAATCGACAGCACGGGTACATGCATAAAACTACATGGTATATAAAACCAAGGCCCTTTCCATGGAAGTGATGAACCCGCAATGCAAGCTAGGTACATGACGAAATTGTTAAAAGTACCACCACAGCTGCCATCTGCTGCTGAAGTACTTTCATTTGTTCTTCATCCCCGGAACCAGCTGCACTAAGAGACAAGGCCGACGATGCTACGACGACCTCCCTTCTCAAGTGGAGGCTTGCAGCCCAAGTGGTCTCCCCACCCTACCTAATTGGCTGCCCAACACACCTGACTTGAAAGCTGCATTGCTTCATTCATCCAGCCGATCATTAAATCGCCGCTACAGCACGACAGGGCTTCTAAACAGCCACCCTGTCTGACTGATTAGGTGACGTTCATAGATTCTGGCTACACTAAGCTACCACTGCCCAAGGTAGCATAAAGCCCTGACCCAAGGTACTTGTTTTTCCATGCCATTTCCTGTTACCCGTTCCTAGACCTCAGCGATATGCCATCCAATCCATCATAACCTTGTCTCACCCGACGAGCCATCACCATTCCCTTACTGGCTGCTACCAGCCTGGCCTCGGCTGAAGACTCCGGGAAACAACTTGGGGTCTTGGCCTGATGTATGCTCATCTGTCGGCCATGACCCTTCTCTGGACAGTGCAAGACTGGCAGGAGAAGCTACTACACCTTTCTCAAAGGCAGCCCCCTTGCCGACACTGCCTTGCCTTGCAGTCTTCTCGCTTCGCTCACCGGAAGCAACAGCAGTAGCCTCACTACCCATACTGCCGTGTTCGCGGTGCACTGCGGGCTGGTGTCCGCCAATGATGCTTTGAGCTACGCTCTGTTGGTCAGCGGTGACAATGGACTCGAAAGACCCCTTAGCGCCATAAGCGATGTACTTGTGTAGCCTGCCATCTGGATTAGCATACTTGCATCCTCTGATTAACATATCTGCCGTCAAACTCACATGTCGCGCTCCTCCCTCAGAGTTTGGTATCTGAATTCTTCTCGGCGGTCTGGCACGTTTGTCTTGACCATGGTGTTACCTGCCTTGCCCGGAAGCTTGAAATTGGGACCCAACCACTGTTCCTTAATCGCACTCTCGAACCCGCTCTGCTTGACAGAGTTCTTCGCAAGCTCGCACATGTCCACCGGACTCAGCTTATATATCTGGGCGGCTACGGCGTATTCTTCCATGAGTGGTTCCTTGGTGAAGGCAAACTGCAACGGATCATCTGTCGACAGAGACACGTTCAACCCGCGGCGAAAGTATTGGTAGAACGGGTTTCTTTCGTAGGCGAGGAACAAGGCGTTGTTACTCAACGGCGACATGGCAATGCCAATCTGCTCGAGGTAGAAAATGTACTGCAAGAGTGGAACCTTGCGCAGCAGCAGGCCATGACTGATGCTGTGGCAACAGAGTAGAGCCACTGCAAGATGCTCGCTGTCACCGGCTTCACCGCAGTGCGGTCGCAGCACGAATGTGTTGAAGCCCCGGCGTTTTCGGAGCGCGTTGAGCGACGACATGTTGGCGAACAAATAGTAAATCCAGTAGCTGTACGGAGGGTTCTGTTTGGAGTCCCACACTTTGGGCACTGGAAACTTCTTGAACAGACGCCGCTCAACCTTACTCTCGTCATCGACACTATCGAAACCAATTACCCTTTGCAAGAAGATGTGAAGCTTTGGGTGGCTTGAAGGGTCTCTTGACACCTCGAATAGGGGTTCGAAAACGTTCTTCACCACCTGCTCAAAAGTGTCCATGAGGCCGCTCGCCTTGTACACATCGTACAAGCGCGGTATTTGAATGAGCCAACGGACGTTATGGGAGAAGAGCTTGTTGTCCACGACCCAGGCAGCGAGCTTGTCCCACTCGTCGAGCGATTTACCGTAGATGGAAATTCGCCATTCTACCATCTGGTACTTGCTTGACTCGAGATCGGCAATGACCTCCTTGGTAATTTCGGCCAAGTACCGCCCATTGATGAAGTTATCCGTTTTCAGGAAGATTGTTCGGAGCCGAGACTCGCCGATCGGATTGTACTTGAGGTTGAACTTGTCGAATCTGTGGAAAGAATCGGTGTGCGCCTTCAGGTTTGTAGTTAGTAATTGCGCTTAGGAGCTCCAAGTGGGGGTTTCTTATTCCATTGAGGTGCAGACTTACATGCATATCCAGGGTATCAATGGAAAGGTCGTATGCAGTAAGGTTGATACTCTGGAAAACCTCCGCTAGGGTGAGATGCCGATCATCGCGGTAAAGTACAACTTCATCAGGACACTTCTTCATCTTGCTCTTGATGAAACGCAGAAGATGTTTCTGGTTCATGCAGGCAGAGTGGTGAACGTGGGTGTCGACTTTGCGAACATTGTAAAAGTCTCTGTGGGGGACCTTCTTGCTGTCCGCCGTCTCTTGGTACTCGTTGAGGAGAGCGTACAGGTTGAATTTGCCCTCGAGATACTGAAGTCGGCGGAAGGCAAAGCTCTTGCTAGGCCCGTCTGAGGAAATACTAAGGATTTGATCCAGATCCATGTAGAATTCTCGAATGGTGGGAACACGAACAACAGGGTTCCCGCTGGCCTCGGCTTCTTCATCCTCAAAAACTTGGTAAACACCGCTGTCGTCTAGCTTGAACCTCATCCTGTCGGCCGAGGGAAGTGGGAGCAGATCATCCATGTTGAAGTCCTCGCCAATGTCTTGGCCAGGCTTTCGCTTCTTGGACGTCGACTTTGGCTCAACTTCAGGCACCTGACGGCCTGCAGGGTCATCAGCGGTAGCAGCAGCAGAGGGCAAGACCGTGCTACCAGCTAAGCTATTGGATGTGCTAATGGCGTGCTCGGCAGAGGCCACGGCCCTGGCGTGCTCCGCTCCCCAGGCTGGCTGGGGAGGAGGTGGATAAATTGACCAGGCCGGATCATCCCTAGGATTGTCGTCCGGCCCCTGAAGTGAAAGCCGAACGTATCTCTCTCGGAGGTCCATGATGCTCTGGATATTCTTGGAAATGGCACTGAGCTCAGCCGTTATGTGCGGATCAGTGTCAGAGAAGGCGGCTACACCAAGAGCGGCAGAATGGTTCGGGATGCCGACATTTGGACCAGTGTTGTGATCCAATCCCAGGTCAGGCGGGCCATGGTTCGCAAACGCTTGAGCGCCTTCTTGATAAGGATGACTTCGAGGAGGTGAGAAGCTCTCCATGCCAGGAGTTTGGCCAAGACGCTGCTGGGTCGGTTCTGGCAGCATCACGTCCTCGTGTGCCGGGGCCTTTCCTTTGGATATACCCCTTTCCTTGCCCAATGGGGACGAATCCATAGGGTACTCCAGCCCTCGGGGGCCAGCGGGGACATCGCGATGTTCAGAGCCGACGATGATGGGACTGCCATGGGGAGGCGTAGAGTGGCCCTGGGACCACACACCACTCCCTGTTTTCAGCTGGCCAATCTGGCTCCGCTGATAGAAAAGTTTGGCGTCTGTCTGGCTCATCTGACGCTCCGCAACAGGGTCGTAGAAAGCAGTCCGAGTGGGAAGGTCACGGGGAAGCATGCCATCTTGCAGGCCGGCTTCGTCGTGGCCCTGTCCATGGGATGACAAAGGGTCCGCGTCTGATGGCAGTGCGTCGCCCTTGGTTTGCTCTTCCGACCCCTCGGAGCTTGTGTCACCTCGGGAGCCTTGAGCGGCTAGTTCGCCATCGGAATCGGTGTCCACATCGTGAAGCAAGAACGTGGTGTCTCGCTTGGGAGAGGTCGAAGCCGATGTTGGATCTTTTGAAAGAATAAGTTGTGTGTCTGATGTAGAGACGTATTGTCAGCATGGCCACGAAGTTGAGGAGGAATAGTCGAGTCGACAGTTATATTTGGGGGAAGATGAGCAACTTACCAGCGTGAAACAAAACCACTATGTTGGGTTGGGGGAAGAGTCTTCAAAAGGGTACATACCAGCCATATCGAGAACTTAGCCTTTGAACCCTGCCGTGTAGTGTTGTAGAGCTCTTCCCCCCAAGAAGAAGAGAAAACCGAAGCAAACACTCGCGGATGACAGCGGCAGAATTACGGTGATAAGATCTTAGCCTATCGTTATCGCAGTACTCGATAATCGCATAAAAAGAGATATCATGTGGGGTATCGACTGGATACCTAGGAGGAGGGGCAACGGTTGGCTCCGACCTCCGTCCACGCAGTCACGGCGGGGTCCTATGTACATAGTTAAGGTAAACAGTGGAGGGGGCCGGAGTGTGAGTCTTACAAGCTGCAAGAGCACCATTATCTTGGGTGCTTGGGTCCTGGTCCTTTGACTCTACAGTGGGTATCACCGCTGTTGCCAACATATCACCAATGCATTCATAGTGCATACCCTATTCATCAGTCAGATGTACCGGTCATAGTGTAACCAAGTCCTTCGGGTATCAACCGTGGAAATGAAGCCACCTGTATTACTCAACCACGCCTCTCTCTTCATAGTTTCTCTTCTAAAACGGTCCCGCCGATTTACCATGAAAGATGGGTCAATTCGTATATTGTGCTTGCCAAGTGCAACTCTATGCACAACTTATAGCTCTATTTCCTGTCCGATCCATGCTGCACTCTCGAGGTCTTGGCTCTGGAATCTAACGAGTAAAGTCCACCAGCACCAAAGACGATGATTGCCCCGATCAGCGTTCCTACAGCCAGCCGGTTTCCAAATAGCCAAATACTCAAGAGTAGACTAACTAATTTGCGAATATTGAGCACGATGGTAACGGTCAGTGCCGAAGACACGGCGGCCAGGAGATTGACGCCCCTGATGCACGCGTACTGCGTGAGAACATTCGTTGCAAGATAAGCAAGTTGGCTCGGGATATGGTACTTGGTCATTCCTCCTCCAACATCTCCGCTCAGGCCAAGACCAGGAAGCTGGGCCAACGTGGGCAGCGACAGTGGCGGGCTGCTGGCCAATCGTCGGAATTGGCGGATCAGCGACGGCGCAAATGGGAGGAAAAGTGGTAGAGATAACAAGTGTGAGTAGAACAGATTCTCTCTCCACTGAGGGCCGTATTTCTTGTATGTCTCTTCGGTGTAGAGGCCCATGATGGCGGAGAGAACCTGCGCCACGAAGAGGATGATGAGTCCTGTCCCAAAGGCGGGTCTATCGCTTTTCTCTGTCTCTGACGAGTCCTGGTGTTGGTCCCATCGTCAGCACGCCTTACTTCGCGTCGAGTAATGTCACTTGCCTTGGATTGTGCGTCCGACCAAGCCGCGGTGATAACACCAAAGGTTAGGAGGATAACAGCCACGATCTGAATGCGCGAGTACTTCTTCCCGTAAAGAGTGCCAGCAATCATTGTCGTGATGCTCCCGCCGGAGCGGAGAATAATGTGGACGGGAACGGATATGTCGTAGCTGAAGGCGTGGTTGTTCAACACATTAATGCTGAAGAACAACACAATGTTTATGATCCAGCGGCGCAGAGGAACCTTGTTTTTCTGCAGAAAGAATGGAGGCCTCGATCGGTCAAATTGGGAGAAGTATCCGGTGATGGCCACGAAGAGGAATTGGACAAACGTCAGGAGAGTTCCTGTACACGGGGCTTATAAGCAGTCCATCGCAGGTGGGCGAAGCAAGTGAACGTACCGCTCGCGGGTTCGACTCTTAGGAGAGAAGGTCTGATCAGCAATTGAGGGCAAGCTGGAGGATAACTGGTACTCACTTGATGATGGCTTCCAAGGCGTATACCTGGGCACAGTAAGGTCAGTACATCTGCTGCTTGAGCAGCAAGAATGATCAAGTTAACCAACATTTGAGCAGCATCCGCCAAAGATCAGGCCAAGCATGACACCGACAGCGATCCATTGGGAAAAGAGGCCTGCAATGATGCGACCGGCGGCTTGCATGGGTTTTTCGGCCGAAGCGTGTCCGTTCATAGCGGATCCGTTGGAGTCGTCGGTGATGCTCTTCTCGTCATCGTGGCCCCGGGCGGTAGTTTCCATCTTCTCCGAGGGGAGCGATGAAGTGCCTTTCGGCTGGCCGCGTTTTCGAGTGGTCGCCAGGGAGGACATCGAGGCTGTCGGAGCCTGGGGTACGGACGAGACCAGGTGTAAGGATTGTACTTTTTTTTTTTGAGTTCGATGTGTAAAGGGAGTGGTGCAGTGTGTTCGGGAGACTGGTCGCAACCAAGACAGAGGGCGGCCAATGGAAGTGGGACAATCAACCGAAGCTGGCTGCGCTGGGACCCCACCTGAGACCCGAAAGGAGCAAGTGTGCTTTTTGATTTACCTTGTCTCGCGTTCGGGGGCTTTGTCTGCAGTACTGCAACTTGGCCTTGTCCGACGCTGTAGCTTCAAGTCTCTAACGTCAGAGATACAAGCTGTTGTTCGGTTGGGGTCCAGGAAGACAATAGATGTCTATTAGTGCAGCTATTCCATGCTCTCAGCAACCTGAGCGAAGCTCCTTACCTGTTCCTGCCAAAGCTACACCTCTCGAGTTTGATGGGTGTACAGAACAACGTGAGCTGTTTTCTGAAAGTGGCCGAAGGATAGATTGATGCGACGCCGCAGACAAGAGGCGATTGGCCGATAAGATAAGGAAATAAGCATTCCGGCAATCTATGGGCGCGTACCTAGGTACTCACTTGCATACTCTGATTTCACACTGCGGAGGCCTGGGCCCCCACACTGCTAACCTCTGGGTAGGTATTGACACATTGGTTGGAAGAGCGCCTCAATCGGGCTTCGCCCACTGGAGTCCAGCGAAGATGGGTGAAAGGGGAATTCTTGAGACAAAGTTGAACAAGCCGTATCTCAATACGGTAAAGCATGCACATTTTCCGTTCCGAATGTGAGAATCTCGTTGCCTTCGATTCTGCTGTAGAAATCAGGGAGGCATCGCCGACCGTGATGCGGTTGGCGGGTCCATCTATCAATAGTGCTTCTTTCATGACTTCCACCACCAAACTTGCTCGTTTCCATGCCCGCCCCCAGCACTTGTCGATGGCCCGTAGTAACCAGCAGGTTCCTTTCTCCTGCCTCGTATCGGCCTCCCAGTCCCAGTCCCAGAGTCTGGCAATGGCGGCGGTCGTATTAACCGGCCACAGCTGCGACGCAGATCGTAGACGGCTCGCCCCATCCACCAAATTTTCCGTGTCGTAGAAGCCAATGCCCTCGATCCACGTTTCAGAACTGACCTGCCGCGCTGTGTGCCGCCTATGAGCGTCCCCACTCAGCCTGGCCCTCCGATGCCCGGGTCCTATGCTGACTTTATAGTGCAGAAAAGACAAATAACTGTCCCAGGGGAGTGACATTGTTAGCACTTCATGCTTCGGCGATGACGGAGAAAGAAAGTAAGAAACGGGGCGAAGAGGTCTTACGTTGTTCGTCGCCGCAATCGCAATGCTATCCTCAAATGGATGCCAGCTCATGTGGAGGATTTTCTTGTTGAAATCGATCTGGTCGGCATCAGTTTCCTTGCGCATTCTTTGGCCCTGACCACCAGCTCCAGCAGCAGGGCTACCAGCACGAGAACCTCCCTTCTTGCCACCGTTGGTTGCGGTTGGGCTGGTAGATGAGTTGATGGGTGTCGGCACGCCAACCTTCTTGGCCTTGAATGCAGACTTGTCGGCCTGTAGCACCACCTCAACTTCCTTCTCCGGATCCGATGGGTAAATCATGAAGTTGTTGTTGTAGCTGCCGGTCATGACATTCTTGGCGTCTCCTGAGAAGACAACTTCGAACTTGTCAAAGATGCTGTCGTTCTCGTATGTGTCGCAGAGACGGGGGCGCAAATGTTCGTGGATAGGAATCGTCTTGACGGGCTGGCGCTCCATGTTGATATCCCAAATCTTCACCGTCAGATAGTCACGAGACAGAATGTAGCGGCCGTCGTAGGAGAAACGAACGTCCGAAATTGACGAGATAATTTCGGAGAAGAATGATCTCGAAGACGGGTCTTCTTCTTGTTCGAAGACTGGAACGTGTCAGACTACATCAGCTGTGAGCAAATGGGGACAAAAAGCAATACGTACGCTTTGCATGACTGTCGCACAGAGCGCTCTGGCGCATGTCGGCAAGCTTGATGGTGCCCTTGGAGCTTGCATACATGAACCAATTACAGCTCAGGGGGTGGAATTCGGCGGCAGTTATCACCTCAGTCAGCTCCTCCATGTTGGCCGGCTTGATGTCGACAATGTTAAAGCTCTGGTCCTGGATGTTAAGATTCCACAGGTTGATACGGAGGTCGTCGCTGCTGATAAATGTCTCGCCATCGCTGTTGACTGATATACTGTTGATGTGGTATGCATGGGCATTGGCGTAGGTCCGGCGGGGGACAGCGGCGACGACGGTGTCGTGGTGGGTGAGGCGGGGCATAATGAGGTCCTCGGCGTTCTTGAAGCGATGCGCAGGCGACTGTTTTGGGGCGCCTCCGCCGCCGGCGAGGTTTGCGGGAGTTAGATCGTCAGACAAGTTGTTCTCGGCAACGACCTTGAGCGACTTCTCAAAAACCTTCCATAACTTGATCGTCTTGTCATTTGTTGAAAGCAGGTAGTGGGATGCATTCTGTCGGCGGCACCACTTGATCTTGTTAATCTTCTCCTCGATCTCCAAAGATTTCAGGTAGTCGAATTCGGGCTCGTGAGACTGGAACTCCGTGTGGAACTTGTACTCGCATGTCTTTTTCTGGTCGGGGGCATCAGCAAGAGCCGTACAGCAAGCGGCCGATGTAGATCGATGGGCCAGGTCCGACTCACCGTCTCGTTCCGTTCGAACAGCACGACTCGGCCACCTTTATCTCCCGTCGCTAGGTAGTTACCCGTGTGATCGAACTCGACCGTCGAGATAATATCAGCTAGACAAGAAGATGTCAGGTATACGCAACGAACGATATGGGCAGGCCATGGGGTTTCACCCCAAGGCGGCGGCGGGGGCGGCAACGGTAGACAGAGGTGTACGGTTTACTAACCTTCGGTGATGTCCTCCACATCGCCCTTGTCTCCAAAGCACCTGTTGCGTCGCGTGAGCAGTCGGTCAACCAAGGGCGGGGCAGCCAAGCTAGAGATGAAAAGATGACATGGAGCAAGCTGGTGAGCACATACTGGGTGAACTTCCACGTAGGGGAGTTCGTTTCACTGTCCACCATGATTGCTGACCAGCTCTGAGACGGCTTAGACGTGGACTCGTAGACGTTGAGATGGGCGAAGGAAGAAGCGAGGTGGCGGGGCAGGTCGAGAACGAGGGGCGAGCTCTAGTCGTGCGGCGAAAGGGAAGCTATCTTTCAGCACGGGGCGAGACGGATAGGGCTGGAATGAGCCACACGAGAGTCGCAATTCAGGAGGCGTAAAGGTTGTGTTGGGTGATAGCTGCGGCGATGTGCGAAGTCGACGTAAAAACACGCAGGCGAGATGGAGGAAGACAGCGAGGGGCAATTGCGGCGACGTACGGCCAAGGGTTTTCTTGTTTCTCTTTGGGATAAGGTAGGTCCGCCGGGTCGAAATTGGCGGAGAGGATGCGGGAAGGGAGGTCCGTAGCTCGAGGAGATGGATTCCTTGAAGGTAGGGAGGCGTATGCGTATGCGTGTGCAGGATTGGAGAAAGCGTCTGGGGATTGCTAAAGCTGAGTATTTCGTCGGATGCAGCGACGGGCGAGGTTTCTGGCGACCTAGGGGTGTTGGTCGGGAGTTGCACGTTATTTCTTGGGGGGGGTATCGCGGCGCGGGTAGCGGGCAGACCAGATACAGGGTGCAGGAATGCGCAAGGTTGAGGTTGGGGGGGGTGTAGGTGTGTGTGAGAGTGGGAAAGTGGTGGTGCGGTGATGGATGTGATAGAAAGAGGTGACGCTAGGAAGGTCGATGGATGTTGCGCTGCGGTTGCTGCTGTCCCGACCGATCGACTGCCCTGCTGCTGTCTGCGGTGTGCTCTGCTTGGTGTGCGCTGTGCCGCAATGGGACTGGGACCAGGACTGGAAGCGGGATGGGAATGGGAATGAGGTGGGAGTGAATGGGACAGCGTCCAGGCAAACTGGGCGAGAGAGTGAGGTACTTCCGTCAGAGTAGGCGGGAGGTACCGCATCCAGCTTAGGTAATGCAGCTGAGAGGTAGGTGAGAAGAGTGAAGTGAGGTAAGGTGAGCGAGCGGGCAGGGACTCCGATTGTGTGCAGCTGCTGCCCTGGACAAGAGGTGGACACCTAAGATAATACATACGTCTCACACCACGAAATCTCATCCATAGGCAGCTGTGGCTACTCTGCGTGCCGCTGCCCCTCCGGTACCTATCCTATTACACCAGATCTTATCCAAAATCATGAAGTCTTCCATCCGAAACAATGAATAAGGCGAGCAGGGTGAAGTATGATAGTTGATGAGGTCTTGTTATGTAAGTTTGATCATGTACCACCCCTCGGTTCACCAAACCCATCCACTCGTCTCACCCACCTACCTGCCTTTGATCAATCAGCGAGGGGCTTCCAGCCGTGTCCAACAACCAGGTGTAAGCTGGAGCAAAATACACTTGGAGGGTAAAGGTGGGGTAAGGAATCCTGCTGGGCGGCCTGAAATCCGGAACCGTCCAGCAGGCGACCCAAGCACAGTGAGGGGTGCCATACGTACCGATCGCATCCACAACTCTGAAGCTTAAGCTGCGCTACCAGACCAAGCTGATCTCACTCGTGCCCTCAAAATTTTACACGGCAAACAGAACAATAAGTCTATCTCATATAAGACCAGAGCATAAACAAACAGACAGACAGACTCAAGATGCCAAAGAAACCCCCCATCTTTTCCGCCATACCAGTCATCGAATACCTAACCCATCAATATATATATGTTCTGACAACAAAAAGTCGACAACAGCAGGGTTCGAACCTACGCGGCCGAAGCCATCAGATAAAGAGAGGTTTAATTCAAGTCTGACTCCTTAACCACTCGGACATGTTGTCTTCATAATGATGTAAATTACCGCTGAGGTTTGTCAACATGTCGGCTAGCTGCAGGACGCACTCGTGCGGTTGCGGATATGCCAGGAAGAAAACAGCGACAACTCCACCAACCCTCACCCCCACTACTCGTGACACCTCTTTCCACTTGGTAATATCTACCGGGCTTGTTTGACCCGATTGTAAACGGGACCAAGTCTCTGAGATTGGTGTATGCTGGTCACCCGCTGTTTCTGGCAGTGTGAGAAGCCTTTGTGAGCCAGGCATTATTAAGGTCCTTCGAAGTCTACACGATCCTTGTTGCGAGGCCTGAGTGGCTTGGGGCCCATGATACATGCCCCTTGCAAATATGAAGATGCGTTTGACAATGACAGAACAGTTTAGGGATATCGCATTATTCATTGCCAAAGACCAGACCGATCCTTGCTACCTAAGTCCCAAAAGGACTTGAGCACGAATTTGTCGACAGACCAAGTGTACACCCTTCATGCCTCCTCTGCAGTCTACTCTTTATATTTGTTGACTTCCTTCTTACTCTCGTCCCTCCATCCTCTCCAACTTTTTTTTACATTTTCGTCAGGGTTTAGGCTATGCATTTGCAACATAACAACAGGAGGCTGATGTTCATAGGGTCGGATACCATTGAATCAGAGCCGTCAGGTCGGTGAAGTTCTTGCTTAGGGCTACTTCGCAATACATTTTCAGCTTGTTAAACCTCGCTCATCCAGAGCCCAGCATTTCGCTGGGAGATTTCCGGCCAAATGGAGTGGTCGGCGACCGATGAGGAGCTCTCCGTTCGGGTCCTTTCGGGTACTTGCCAACTCGCCCACTAACGGACATGCAAAGCCACGGGCAAAGACCTCGGTTTCCTGACATTCCTCCAGCCTAAGCTTTGCCGAATGTTTACTGCAGCGTCCTATCCTGGAATTAGAATCGTGACTTTTTCTCCCGCGAAACATACGACCCATTGCTTCTGGCCGCCGATATCATGGATCCACACGACGGCTACGACGCCGACCCAAAGCGCAAAGGCAAGGGAAAAGCAGCTTCCGATGCTGCGCCTACCAGGGTTGACAGTGCAAACAACCCTCGACATCAGCAAGGAGACGGCGATGCACAATCTGAGCCTTCGCTTGCAAACCGCCTTGTAACATCAGCAGCTAACCTTTCTCGAGCTGCTCTGGCAGGCCGCCCTGTTGCCGAGGGCATCCGAAGCGGAATTTCTGCAAAGCCGTACGCACAGGCCGAGGCCAGCACCAGCTCTGCCCAAGACTCCGTACGCCAGGGACAGACGACTGCTACCTATCGTGGCGCAGATGGCCATGGAAGTGGTGTTGGGTCCTTCTCGTCATCACTACACTCAACCACAGCTGGCGAAAAGCAGTACGACAGTTTTATGGGTGCCCAAGCAGCGCTTGACAGCTCGGTCCAGCTACAGACACCAGACCATGCCCCGCCAGGCCTCGCTGATCCAGCGAGCACGCGGCACAACTTTCGTTTCTTAGGAAGCCAGTCTGATGTCAAAGACCAAGAAGCCAGGGATGGCCAGCAGGTCATTGACTTGCTAACTGCCCCAGGAGAGTTGGCCGATTTCCAAGACATTGACGACAGCCTCCAAACCTTCATTTCACAGGAAGAAGAAGACTCGTTGAGAAAGGCGCTCTTTAGTGGCAGGGGGGATGGCCCTACCTCCAACTGGACTCCCCTCCTCGACTTCCAGCCCGACTTCCTTCAAGGAGGCGAAGTCACCGAATTGTTACAGCATTTTGGCGTTGCCGACCTTCGGCAAGCCAGAGCCATGTGGATGGACAGCTGGAACGACGTGCTCGCAAGCTATACAGACCAAGTTTGGGGCGACCTCGGCCCCTTAGCCCGAGAAGCGCAGAGAGAAATCCAAGAGGCGCGTGAGCAGGGGACGACGGCGACTATGGACCCCGGCGGGATGCAGGCGCTTCAACGACTGCGACAGATTCTAGCGCACGTCCGGGGTCATTAATTAACGCGGACGATGCTATCTGGAGGTCATGGATCGAGAGCCCGGCGGTGTGAGTGCGGGGTTGCTGTGCCAACTCTTCCCTTTGCCCAATGACATCATGTGATTGCAGCTGTTCACTGCCCACTTGGCCAGCAAAGCCCAGCCACCTCATCCATCCTGCGCACCCTTGGCCTAGCTAATCCGAGAGAGAGGAGAGTGCTCGCATGCATGCAACCCACACCAAAGAGACGTGGGCGGGGCTGGCTGTCTTACGCTTACTTTCTAGTACGCACATGTGCTACGGGACACCGGTCCACGAGCAGGGAAAAGGAGTAATGGGGTGGAAGCAACGGCCGTGGCTGGCAGCAAAGCAGACTGACAGCTGAGGCCTTGCCGTCGCATTGGACCAGTCACGAACCGAAATAAAATGTTACTTCTCTAGCTCCGTGCCCCCTCACTTCCTCCTGTTGCTGTTTTTGCTGCTGCTGCTGCTGTTGCTCCTCCCCAAGTCTGATTCGACTCCAGGTACGGTCAGACTGCTCAGAACGCCTACACGACACCTTCTGGCCTCAGAGGAGGTGTCTGTTTCTTGTAGCGCAACATTGAAGCCTCTCTGCCTACGCCGCTTCGTTTCGGGCTTCGAGCAAGAGCGGGAGAAGGAACATTTACCTTGGATCTGCGCCATTGGGCCACAGGGACCATGAAGTTTCCACTCTGGACGAGATGCCTGGCATTGCTTGTAACGACAGACACGTTCTTCACAGCCGCGGAGCTGACGCCGACACCGACCCAGACCAAAGCGCCGATCCCGACCGCGGCCTATATAGCAGGCGGATCGCCGTTGCAGCTCTTCAGGCGTCAAGACTGCCCGGTCGGCACTTCTATGTGTTCAGATTCGCTCGGTACGAACTTCGAGGGTGTCTGTTGCGCAACAGGGCAGCTCTGCGAACTTGATGACAACAACCGGCCAGCATGCTGCCCTTCAGGGTATGGATAGCCCCTCCACGCAAGGAGTGGACAGCTGCACGTTATGATATCGGAGAAGCTAACACATAATCTCAAATTGTAGAGCTGTATGCACCGGCACGGCTCCAACGACAGCGCCCAGCGCTGCTACGGCTGTCTCATACGTGTCGAATGAATACTTCCCTTTCCCGTACATCGCAACATCTCTCGACCGCGGCGAATGCTCCTCGGCTGTCAGCCAGTGCTCCCGGAATTACCAAAGCTGCGTCACCCAACTCGACGGAAACTCCGGCTTCGGCGTCACCGTTATTGTTCCCGGGGGAGGCGGCACCACAGTCGCTGCAACCCGGCCTGACGTCGGAAGCTCGGCCACACCCATCTGCTCCAGCCTTAGTTCTCGTGCCTGCTACGGATTGGAGAACGACCAGTGCGCGCAATCAACAACGGTTAATGGCGTTGTGATCAATGCTGCAGCACGTCCGACGGCGGCCTGCATAGCTGGTATCGCTGCCGGTGTGGGAGTAGCCGTACTTGGCGCCATGCGATGAGATGGAACAGCATGATGAGAATCCGCTGCGGTTACTTTGTAGAGGTTTAATGATCCCGGTGCATATGCTCTTTTTGTTCGGTTAACCTTCTTAACTATTATATACTACATGGGCGGGGCATGATATAACAGCGCCGGCGAGGTGTCCATCGAGCTGCCACAAGCCTGCCGGCCTATGGACATCTCATCGCTCATCTCTATCGTCATGTGTATTCCAGCCAGCGATACCGCTTGCCTTTCTCGAGACGGAATCGGCCCAATCTTCGAGAGTGTCGCTGACGATCTCCAACATACGGCTGAAGAAGAAGAGGCTGATGAAGGAAAGCCCGGCGATCACGGCGAAACAGATCCAGTACATCTTAGGCGTGTAATGCTCCACCAGGTCGGGGATCTCTACGGAGAAATAGCTGGTCATGAAGGTGATGGGAAGGAAGAAGACACTCAGTTTGGCGAGGAGGGTTGCGCTCCTGCTCAGGCGGGCAGTGGCTTGCGAATCCTTCTGGGCCGTAAGGCTGAAGTACTGTAACCTAGTGAGCGTCGGCAGCAACCAACAATGACGGCGAAATGCCTAGGCAGCAGCTTACCGTGTCTGACAAAGCCTTTTGCTCGTCCAAGCATTCTTGAATCGTGTTAAGCATCAACAGCTGCAGTCTGTCCCCAAGGCGCTCGAAGCGACTTCTAGCCGACGAGGATATACTAACCTCGCCGGGCATGCTTTCTGAGAGCTCGAAATGACCACATTTGCCCTCTTGATATGCGTCCACCGAGCGAGGCCAGCAGATACGCCGGATGAGAGTTTTGTAGCTCTCAAAAAGATGATGGAGTTGGCGGAGTTCCTTTCTCAACGTGTGCAGAGACTTGATAACATCGTCTGTCTTGACTTTGCTTCTTCGACTCTGTAGGCGGGTCAGGATTTCCATTCGCATGGCATGGCATGGCCGGCAGCGGGGTATATCTTTTTCTTACCTGGCTTCCGAATATCTGGTCACTCTGTTGGGCCACGCAAAAGCCGATTAGCAAGTGATTCGAGATGCCTGATGCCCACTTACCAGCTGTTCAAGCCGGAGTTTTGAAGCCTTCAATACAGGCATGGTCGATGAATAATCCTCAAACAAGTAATAAAACAGATTGCTTGAGCCTTCATATGCCGTGTCGCTTTTGGGTTCCGTGGCAGTCATCGCTTGTCTAACCCGCTTGAACGAAACAAGTCTATCGCTGAAATCTGCTATACCATGGTTGGAGAGTTGACATAGAACGCTTAGAGTGTTGGATCGCATGCTCTGCAATTCCTTTCTGGCCCAGTTCTCCCTTTCCGGCTGTTCTGTTGGCGGCGTCTCGTGGAATGACACAACAACGGCTGAGGCAATGTTTAGCTTATCACAGGTGCCACTGACAAAGCTAAACTTGGAGTTGCATATACGACGTACAGTCAGAGCAGAGAGTGATCCATGACCAGTGCCATGGCGGCAATACCCTCTGAAGCTTTTCGGTGTCACCAGTTGATGGTCGACGGTGCAACCAGTTGGCGCCGATGCAAAGAACTGCCATATGTTAAACGCCCGCGGTGAATACGTCCGTGTCAGTACCCACATTGTTTCCCCTGATCAATCGATGTGTAGTTAACGGTTTCCTTGACCAGCTGGTAAATCTCGAGGTCCTCTATGTTCTGCACAGTTGTTCGAGCTGAGGGCTGCGCCTTAGGCTCATCATACATCGACCCTGATTCGATGTCGCTCTGCTTGGCCAACTGTTTTTTGTCATTTTTCAGTACAGATGCTAGAGGAGAAGCCCTCATTATGGCCTGCAACCTCTGAGAGAACCCATAGCGGTTGCCGATTTGCTGTACGGTCGAGCTTTGCGTGCTTGGCGACCAAATGTTGATCCAGCGTACCGTGCCCTCGGGGGCCTTCTGACCAAGGATTACTATGAAGTCTTCCGGGCTGAGGTCGAATGCAATTCTAGCTTCATTTTGGTTGAACTCGACGACAAAGTTGCGAGTCTTGTCACTGGCAGCCTCGGCCTTGACGTGGTCGTATACATCCTTATCGTCGAGATTTAGGAACTTGTCCTCCAAGCTGACAGATGTATTCGGCGCCATGAATTTGCGTCCAACAGAAAAGGCTATAGACGTCTGGCTATTCAAAAGCTTTATGCGCGAAAGTCAGATCTGTGATGTTGAAGATGGAAGGTCGAGGTTGGACACGCAGCCTTGCAAGCGAAAGTCACGTCTGACATCAGGTTGGATATTAGGCGGCCCGAGGTGGGAACTCTGCGTACTTTAGGCAGGCTCGAAATGAGGCCAGACAAGGTACCATGCCGGAACATGCAGCCAGGCCCTCTGTCTCAACCCATTTACTGTCAGGGGCTGGGAAAGTTGCCTTCCGTTGGTTCGCAGCGCGGCTACACCCGTCAGCGCTTAACTTCGAGAGGTAACAGCAACATGCAAGTTTGAACAGGGGTCTTTAAACGAACCAATGGCCAATAGTATGTTTTTTTCCATGAACTAAACGATGAACGCTCATCAAAACGACATATCGGACATGTGATATACTGGTTCTTATGCTTTTCTCTAGGTAAAGGCGAGCAAGCTGCTACTTTGCCAGATAAACACTCTTGGGCTGTCATGATGCATCCTTCTCTAGCTTGTCCCAGCCATATATACGGTTGGTGACTGAGTCAATCCTACTACCAATTCCAGCATATTGCTACGATCGTAGTGTTAACGCCCTTTTCTAGCTTCGTTAGACGCAAATCTCCACTTCCTTTCATTCGCAGGTCGTTATGGGTCGGTCTACCACCCATTTGGACGGGACTATACAGAACTATAAGACATGACATAATACGTAGTCGCACCATCTATTCAGCTGCTGACATTCGAGGTTAAGAGCTCCTTTAGAGTCGTCCGAATGGTGTCCTTATCATCGTTCGTCCCATGCTGCGGTTGAGTTACACTGGGATGCCCCAGAGAGAGCTGGAGAAACCCACGGGCGACTTTTTCAGCTTCTTCAAGCCGGGCCTCGTCTTGAAAATCCAGCTTAGCACATGCCGCCCCGAGGTCCTCGTTCCGAGACAGGAGGAGCATGATTGCCTCAGCTCGTTCTACCACTGCGGCATCAACCCCATTTAGAGCTGCACATCTACTGCCGAAACTCGACATGCTTCTTCCAGGAACCAGTTGGTAAAGAAAGACTACCTGGTCTTCCATGTGCTCTGTCTCGAGGTCAAGGCGGACGTTCATGTGTGTAAGAAATATCTCTGGTCGACTCTCCAGTTGACCCCCTTCAAAAATCTCATGACAGTGCGTTGTCATGAGAATTTTGGGAGTCTGTGAGCCGAGAATGGCGAAATGATCAATGAGAGCAGTCATGAGTCCGCACTCATCGTCGGCTGCTGTTCCCTTGCCAAACTCGTCTATTGCAATCAGAGTACGGCGGGTGGCGTACTTCAACAGGAATGCAACTTGCTTCAGGTCAGTGCCATAAGAGCTCTCTGCTAGCGACACGCTTTCTCTTGTCGAGATGCGAGTTAGAATCCGATCAGTGATGCCGATGGTAGCGCAAGCGGCGGGCACAAAGCTGCCTATATGGGCCAGGTAAACAATCAAGGCGACTTGCTTGATGTATACACTCTTCCCAGAGTGATTAGGTCCTGTGACGATGAGCATGTTGACTTCTGAATCCTCATTAGCCGGTGATACCATCCGTCTCTCCAACTCGCCGCCAGACCCGCCGACGAGGTAGCAATCATTGGGGATGAATGCCGGTACAGCCAACTCTTGGAGCGGATGACGCCCTCTTTGAATCGACACAACATTGTCGGTGGTCATCTGTGGGCCAGTCCAGCCATACTTAAGTGCACCTTTCGCTAGGGCCACTAAACAGTCAAGTTCACCGCAAGCATCAGACGCACGACTAAGCATAGAAGCGTGCTCGAGGACCTTACAGGCTAGATCGTGCAGGATCTCGACTTCCAGATCTAAGGAAGCTTAGCAAACGCCTATACCACGAGGAGAAGGTATTTACGAACCGACAATTCTGCTGTATGTGTCGCCAATTTGAGTGTCTAATTCCAGCATGCTTTTGTTCTTGTAATATACGTTTCCGTTAGCAACAAATCGTTGCTCCCACCGGTCACCCTCAATTCCTTGCCCTTCGTATCCTGCCTCGCCAGTTTCAGAAAGCAAAGGCACTACCGTGAGGAAACCTAGCTGAGGCCAGAAGACGCAGCCTGTCACGTACTTACGGGCCCATTCTGGAAGTTCACGAGTCAATGATGTGCTGACCTCACCCAGGAAAGAATCCAGTCCGTGATATGTTCGCTTGAGCTTGTCCAGCCTGGGATTGATATTCCACCTTACAGCAATGCGTGAGCTTGCCTTGGTTTCTTCGAAATCGACAGTCGCTCCAACTAGTTCTCCAACATTTTTTATTATGGCCACAGGAGTGGCTTCGATGATCTATGTGAGCACATTAGCCAGACAACCCGTGATTGGAACGTCAACGCGTGTTACCTGTCGAAAGACTACAACATCGTGCCCTTCTCGCAGTTCAAGCACGGCGTCTCTGAGCCGCAATACGGAGATCGAAAACTGGCTCAAGGTCCACCACACGCCACGCTCGACCGACGCACTGCTGCTGGGGGATTCTACGCCCTTTTCCAGTTGAGCCAGAGCTTTTTTTATGTCCTTGACCTTCTTCAAGGTCTGCGAAATGTTCTCAAAGGCTATCTCGTTACCGGATTGCAGGAGTACTGATATGGACTTATGCCTTTCCTGAATAATGTCAATGTTGACCAGTGGGCGCAGGAACAGCTGCCTTAGCCTTGACCTTCCCTGAGCTGTGCCCGCAAGCGGATGAAAGATGCCATAGAGAGATAGACTCTCTTTCAGTCCAGCGGCGGCTGTACCTGTGCCCGACACCAGACTGGTGGGATGCAGCTCTGACTGAAACACCTGGAGAGACGATAGTGTATCGGCGTTGACAAGCATGTAATGATCCAGGGCGAACATTCGAAGTGAGGTGACAAAGAATCCTCCTGCACTTCCCGAACCTTGCTCTGTCTTTTGCAACCGCATGGTTTCCCACAGGACGGCGCCAGCACATCCAATCTGATTTTTGTCAGAGCTTTAAAGTAGATGTCACTCATACTGCACGATAGCTCACCGACATGGTGCTGTCAAGGTCTATGAAAGAGCCTAGACGCATGATTTTGACGTTCTGACATTCTTCCCAATGGCCGTTCACGTCATGTTGTGGAGATAGGTTGCCGGCAGCTGTCACGAGGGCATGTTCTGGGTAGACCAATGGCAAGCTGGCCAGCTTGTCCAGGGAGGCCGCGTGACTAAACTCATTCGAACCAAGTAAACGGATGATATAGCGTTCTGTCTCGGAACCTGAAAGAAAACTCCATCAGTGCTCACATCGTAGCCCAGCGGTAAACCAACCCACCTTGGTCCACGGTAGTTTTGTGCTGCTCAAAAAAGCGAAGCACTGGATCCGGTGTTTTGAGGGGCAGTAAAATTGTTGTGGGCTGGACATGGACCATGATTGTCTCAATAAGCTGCAGCGGCTCAGCACACGACATCTCTTGAAGCAGAAATAGGTTGCCTTCGTCGGAGTTGTAGTAGGCGCAGCCGAGCTTGCCCTTCTCCCTAACAAAAACTGCCATCACGACTTCATTCGTCTGCTCAGCTTGATCCGTGGCACGTCTGTCAACGACTGAAATCTCTCGAAGCTCGCTCGATAGGGGGGCAGGGACCCATCATGAGGTAGGTCTCGAGCCAGCGTAGAGAACAAACGGTCATTTTCGGCAGGCAGTGTCAGTCGATGAACTCTGTCATGTGGATGCCATCGAGTCTCTGAATCATTGCTGTGCTCTGTTTCAGACGTCGAGTTCATCTGCATTGTGGGTGAATGCTGATGGGGGCCACTGGGAATCGAGAAGATAGGCGAAGTATGTGTTGGGCCGATGAAACTGGAAGCGCCTTGAGTCTCGCGAGATGCACGAGTAGAGCGAATCACTGACTGATAAGGCGCCCTCGAGGTTCTCCTCGAAGTGCTCTCCGAACTGCTCCAAGGGCCCCTTCGCGAGTCAACCCTTAGGCCAAGGCTCGAGCCTCCCCTGGAACGAGATCGACCCCCCAAGACCGAAAATTTCCATTGCCTCGACCCGACATATTGAGGTGCAAATAGACTGAGACTGATCGGGGGGCTGAGAAAGAGAGGGCTACGCTGAGAAGTAACGCGATCCTAAGCTTTTCGAGTCGAGACAAGTTGATAAAATCAAAGTCAGGTACAAGAGTGGTGGTTCAATGGAAGCTAGAAATCGAAAGACGAAAAACCAAATACTCCGAGGCAGGTGCAGGTCTTGCCACAGAGGTTCCTACCTATACAGTCGGCCTGGACCAATGGTCATCTTAATGTCACGCTGATGGCAATCGTGCTTCCATATCTGAACCAGCGCACCTGCCTTGTCAGCAGGGGCAGAGGAAGTGGGTGAAAGAGAAGAAGAAAAAGACGAAGTAGATGAAGGTCAACATCAAGTCACAGAAAGGTTCAACAATCCGACAGGCAAAACACATCAGTCGGGTGTGACCCATAGCTCGCACGTGTAGCCTTTTGGTCAGACGTATAATTTTCATGTTCGTACCGTGTGGAAATCAATTGGCAGTCCACATCGCAACTTTGTTCATTCGACTACACAAAAGAGTCTGGACCAAGTGATATGAGGCATCGAGGACGATAGGCTTGGTGGTTGGGGGTGTTACCAATGGCAGGTAGACTGGCACCGATCAATCCATCCCAAGGCTTTCTGGCTCAGCAAGATGCTCAGAAACCATACAGAAGGGGCTAGTCTGGCCCAAGGACCTGGCTCTTGTGTCTTCTTTGCGCGGTTGGCTTTTCGAGGAATATCTTAGAAATACCAGCGCCGGGCTTCATCGACGGAGACTTACAAGGAGACTTGGCCCCAGATTAGACGAATCTTCCATAATAGTCCCCGAGGGCCGATCGACTTCCATCAAGTATTGCATGGTTGCCATTCCCCTTCGGACCTTATTATAAGCGAACCGTAAGTAGGATCCTGCACCAAGGTGTAGATATAGTATATTATGTTGGCTATGATACGTCGCATCTTCATCACAGGCGATTGTTTTCTCGCCCTCAGTGCGAAGCAGCCGCATTTCCAGTCTTCTCGCCAGACTTGATCCAGTTGGTGAAGTCGCGTCTCTGTTTCCGAACATCGGCAAAGCCCGGTCGGCTCTCAAGAATCCGGAACGGATTGCCAATATAGTCCTTCTCCACTTCTCCGCTGCCCGTCAGGAAACCGACCTCGCCTTCCCTCTCAATCTTCCCAGCCCATACGCGCCACTGAATCGGTCGTAGGTTCGGAGCACCCAGCACAAGACCAAGAACGATGACCACCGTTGCTATAGCCGTCTCAATGGTGATGTCTGCCGGTAAGGATGTTGTGGCTGCCGGCGTGGATGTTGCCAAGTGTGACGCGGCTCGGAAGGATTGCAGCGCGGAATGCTCTTGTGCCGAGTAGCAGCTAGGTCATCAATCGGAAGTTAGCAAGATCGTTCGCGCGGCATTATAGCTGGACTTACGCGTGGCCGAGCAGCATAAGGCCAATGGCCGTGATGGAGCGCGAGATCCAGGTCATAGTGTGTATTTAGGTTGATGGGTTAGAGGAGACAGTTCCTGTCTGATCCGGTGCGCAAGCTGTTTCTATATCGGTCGTACGACGTTGAACACTCGGCTTGTCAGCAGCGAGGTGGCTTAGGCGAATGGCAAGGTACTCTGGGATTAACGAGGCTAGGTAAGCTCGAGAGCAAGAAGCGTGATTGCTTTGGTGGGGGGTCTGTTGTTCGTATCCGTGCTATAGCGGATGTGAAACTCCACCTCGATAGCGCCAGTTGCCTTGCTTCTACCATAGTTAGCCTAATAAGCAGCTTAATGGCTCAAGTGGAGTGTGCTTTCTGTCAACTCATTGTACATAGTACGCATAACTCCCCGTCCCCCCAAAAATGAGGAATGTGAGGTAAGCTACTATGGAATTGGTGTTACAATAACACCAATTGAGCGCCGTGAATGTCCGGATTCATTTATCCAACGCCGCTGCATTGCAACCAACCAAGCACAACCAACCAACCCCCCCGCTCTCTAGGACTTGACAGCAGAACATAACCGAGTCAAGAGTTTAGCCCTCGTTCCCAGAGTCGCATTGGCCGTTCCTTCATGCGGCGCCGAGCCGATTGCGCGGTTCGTCCCTGTCTTCGCTTGTTTCCCTGGTTTACTTCACTACAACTTCATGCTCCGAAAGCCAAACCTGTTATATCTACTCCCACAACAGCGCTGGTTTTAACACTCGCTGAACAAGCCAATCACCAAGAACACGTGATTCCAGGCACAGTTGATTAACTTCGTATAAGTAGACTTGCTTCTATTGTCGAGAGGATTTGGCTCCTAAGTCTTCTCTGCCCGACGTCGGACAGGATGGCACATCTGCTTCTTCATCCATCTACTGACCCACCGTCCGCCCGTCCGGTCTCAATAATTGTATTCATCTCCAGTCTCAACAAAATCAGAACCAAACGAAGAATTCCGCCAACGTTCTACAGAACCTATTACTCCTGACTCCCGTATTCAATAACATAGCGTGGGGCAAATCTCAGAGCAAATCCGAAATCGAGCCGCCTTGGGTGTCCCTCACTCTGGGTCTATCCAGTTATTGAAGTGGCTGCCCTCAAGTTCCTCCACCCTCCAGCTGCTTTCCTGTCCCCTCAGGATCTGAAGCTGGGGATCGTGCATGAGATTCTCGTCGTAACCAGACAAGCCGTCGAGGAGGTCCTGTCTCCCGTCGCCGAAACCGAGAGGATTCGTCCATCTCGGCTCCAGCATGGGATCACCGTATGGGTCTCCATACGGATGACCTCCGTGGCCCATTAAGCCCGGATCAATCATCGGCTCGAGACCATCATGATGCGACATGGGTCCATACTGGCCCATTCCATCGTAACGATTGTCCATCGACGCTGCCGCATAACCCATCGCTGGTGATGGCGTCTTTCGGATCAGCACGTCCTCAACGAAACCGGTTGCGTCCTGCCGCTGATGGACGCTTTGCTGGTAATACTGGCCACCTCCGAGACCATTCTGACTATATGGAGCCGGCAAGGGCTTTCCTGGGTTGCTGTAGTGGTACATGGACTGCGTCTGCACACCGAGACCCATCGGGCTGGTCTGGAGCGGTGGGTAGTTGTGGAAGATGGATGCCGGTGCCTCATTTCTGCCGTGTGCAGGCTTTCTCAGCTGCCTGCTCCTTGAGCTTGCTCGGCTGTGACCCCACTCCATATCGTCCAAGTCACCCTGATCCGACTCTTCTTCTTCCCTCGCCTTGGGTCTCGGTTTTGACGGCGTAAACTTGTACCCTGGGTGTGCTTTCTGGTGATTCGCTCGCTCTTCCTTGGCCCAATCGTTGAACTGATCACGAATATGTTCGGGCTCCAGGGGCCAGCCGCTGCCGCAGACCTGGGACACCACTTGGTGGTTATTCTGTGTGCAGAGGCCTTTGGCAAGATTCTGGTAGGCCTTGCGGTAAAGCATGAAGGCGTTCATCGGCCGCTTGATCCTGCCGGGTGTTTTGCTCTCCTCCACCTCCTTCATTCGTACCTCTGCAGACCGTTGAACGTAAGCACCAATGTCTGCCACTGGAATGTGCGGTTGTTCCTTGGCCAACTCGCTCAGAGGTTTGGTCACGCCATCGACCTTTTTGGACGACTTGGCTCTCTCTTTCTTCTTTCTGGGCGTTGACTTCTCGATACGGTTTGCCCGAGCCGCGAGCGGCTTGATTGTCGATGATCCCTTGTGGATGCTGAGTCCACTGCGAGTGGTTAACACATCTGACGCCCGCGAAGGTGTAGGCGGTGATGTGTCCGGGGTACTGTATGGCTATGCGGGAAATTTGTGAGTGGCCGTTCCATCATCAAGTCTCAGGAGGTTGCTTACCTGATGACTCAGTTCTCCAGACATTGGCCCATATATGGAGCCAGCGCTTGTGTCATAGCCATGGTGGTAGGACTGTAGCACCACGTAAGTTGGAGCTCATGCGCACGAGGATCCGGTTCAATGAGGGATTTCTTACCATCTGACTATCATTTGCGCGGTGCGAGTATGGGGAGTGGTGATCGTAAGGCATACCTTGTTGAGGTCCAGGTGTGCCGTATCGAGAAGGAGTCTGCAAGCCTCCCATATCATTCGGGTGCAAGTGATCTCTTGGGTAAGATGTGGATCCGTTCGGGCGTATCAAGTGATGCAGTCCGTTTGGGTAGATATCATCGTTTGAGGAAGCTGGGGACGGAGGGCCGTTATGTTCCATTCCCAGGACCTGATGACACTTAACTTGTGTCTGAAGTTCTCAGTCGCCAGACGTAAACCGGTGTGACTGACGGGGGAAATGATAGCGACGAGGGCGAAGCAGAAACAGTCCAACAGGTTGTCAATGCAGCCTGGATCGTCGACCGTGCAGGTTGGTTGGGATCTCTGCTTTTTTTTCTCTCTTCCTTTTTTCGTTTTTGGTTTTATTGGCGCTTGTCTCGGTATTTGTGGATGAATAAGGTAGACGTTGAGTTATGGGCCAGTGATGGTATTCGATGGTGGCACAAGCCTAGGCCTAAGCCAGGCGATGATTGTGTATGGCAACGGCCACAGGCTTTCGGGGTCGTTGAATGCTTAAGTGAAGGGAACAAGCAGAAGCTGCGGAATGGCAAAAAGCTTGAAAGAGGCAGCTGCACCCGCGGATTATCTACATTCAGTAGATGTTGGGTAGCCGATGGTGGTGGTGGTGGCCAGGGGTGGTGTGTGCATGAGAGAGAGGGAGAGGGCAGGTTGTGAGAAGGAAAGGAAGAGGAGTGGCAGTCCTAGTGACCAGAGTAAGAGGCGGTGGCGGACACGCAGAAGGACAGGCAGAGGGCTCTTGATCTTGCTATCCAGAAAGTATCCGAGGTGCTCTCTCTCTCTCTTTCTCTCTCTCTCTTACTCACTCTATATCTGTGTCCCGTATGCCTGTTGCAGTCGCAGCTGCAGGTATGCAATGTGGTGCAGTGAAGTGCTGCAAGGACCAGGAAGGGTCGGGAAGGGGACGAGTGAACGAGGTTGCAAGCAGCCGAAGAGCAGGGATCAGCGGTGACCTGGGACCGTTCCCCTGGGATATGGGTTGCAATGACAATGTCCAGCTGGGAGGGCCAGATGGGCTTGCCAAGGGGGCGGCGATATGTTGTTGGCCAAGCACAAGAAGCTCTATGAATAGCTTCCGGTCCCCTTCTTCGTCTGTCACGATAGGCGAGAAAGGCAGTTGAATGTGCAGCTTTGACGATACTGGCGATATTCTTTCCTGTTGCTTTGGTTGCACTTATTGCCATCCAAGTTGTCGTCCAGAGGGCTTGGTTCTTGTCGTTCGGCCTCCCTTTTCTCTGTTTTTCTCTCGATCGTGCTGGTTGTGCTTCTGGCTCTCCCTTCTTTCCACTCGGGAACGTAATGTTGAATGGGACAAATATCCTTTCTTCTACCTTTCTGCTTTCTTGGTCTTCCTTTGGGTGTGGTCACTTCGATCATGCACACGCCTGGCGGGAGGGCGATGGTGTTGCAGAGCAAAAGATGGGCTCGAGCTGGGTTGAGTTGACAACGTGAGGCAAGGATGAGTTGAGTTGGTAAGAGAGAAGGTGGCAGATGGGAACCTGAGAGTCTGAGCCTGGATCTCAGGTGGATGTGATGGTATCCTTAGTGGTGGTTAAAGAAAATCAGAGGCAGGCGATGAAAGCCAAGGGGGTATCGCCTTTGTCACCAAGAGGAAGGGGAATCCATTCATTCAACTTTTGGATAACGGGGGAGGGGCGAGATGGGAGTGAAAGAAAAGCGTCCGGCCGGGCTGGGTGGTTTTATGTGTACATGTTACGCATGTGCATCTTGCAATATGGGCCCTTCTGCTTCTTTTGCCTTAGTCTCCCTTCGATGCCGTCGCTGGCTTCTCTGCGTCCGAAAGAGCATCTAGCTGATTGCCGCATTCGGACACAGGTTTGAAAGCGGCGCCGGGCGGCCGTACACCATCTTTACCAAGGCCTCTCTACCGCTAGCTGACGACTCATATGCTGACCTTGCTGTTATGTCTGGTTGGCCGCCTTTGGTTAGAGCGAGCGAGGAGCCCGACGTTGATGCTCAGTGCTGGACTCTGCCGCTGCTGGACCGACCGGCCGATGGATGGATGCCGTCTGCTGTCATGGCCACAATCTGTGCCAGGTGGCCAATGACCATTGTTATGCCATATAATTATCCTGCTGCTTGGCGTGTACACGAGACCGGCGGCTGTTCAGGTAGGCAACAGAATCGCACACGCACACTCCCATACTCACCTACCCATACACAGAGCCGCCAGCGGACAGAGGGAGGGAACGAGGGAGAAGGAACACATGGAGTTGCTTGCTAACAACCGATAGAGCATTTGGAGCAAATATTCAAACCGTTGACTGGTCGAGAGATCTGCCAGTGTGACGATGCTTGCTGCCGCAATGACAACGTAGGGGGGGGGGGGGGGGGGGGGGGTTCGTTGCATGTGCTTCTTTTGGGTTTGATAGCAGCCCCACGCCCAGATGAGGACAAGATGTGCCGGGTCCCCTTGACGGACCGCATCACTCTCTTTCGACATGGATTCGTGTTTCTCTTCTATCTATCTACCAAATTCATCGTCCCCCACTGGTTCACGCTAGTAGCCGGATAATTGGATATCTTTTCAATCAAGTGAGGACGAGAGCACAATATTAGGTAGCCTGAATGCTGTGTTTCCTCCTTGTCTCTCACCCTGCCCATGTCTCTCTTATTTGTAAATACTGATCCCTAAGGTTTTGGCAATGTCTATTCTCTCGTTATTCCTTCTCGGTCCACCCCTTCCCACGGTTAAGCCACGCCTCGTCTCGTCACTTGTCTGTGCACGTCTTCCGTCTTCCTTTAATGCCCGAGACGCATGGGGTTATTTTATTATTTCCTTTTCATGTTATTCAGAACAAACAGTGACGGAAGGAAAGGCACAGGGCAAAACGGCAAAGCAGAGGATATTGAAATAGGTGGGGGAAGACCCACACCAAAGCAAGGAGCCATGACATATGTCGAGAGCAAGGCCGAGGTCAAGCGCCTGATTCGATAATGGGGTGGGATAGCAGTAAGAGTAGTAGCCGAAGAAGAAACGGCAGGAAAAGGTAAGCCAAAGAAGGAGGAGAAAAAAAGAAAGAAGATGAAGGAGTCGGGTTGAGGGGACTGACGCGTGGGTAGCTAGAACCTCCCCTTCGCAGTGAGCTGGAATGTTTGTTTGCTCGCCCTGCTGCCGGAATCGTTGGTGGCGTCTTCCGTGATTGGCCTTTCCCAGAAACAGACCGTGGCGCATTCCACATCTCTTGTCCTTTGACTCTGGTCCTGACAGGGTGTATGAGATGCGGGGATCGGTGGATGTCTCTCTAGTGCTGTCGCTGCTGGTGCTCATATTTCCCTTCGTCGTCTCATATCTCCAATGTCGTCCCATCCCGTCCCGTCTCTGGTTATCCTCTCGGCCACTTTCAAAGTTGACGACATTCAAACTCAATGCCCGTTCTGTATCTTGGCCAAGTATTCATGAGCTGCCATACTCGGCCCTTCTCTGCATGTCAGCCAAACTTGTCCAAAGTTGTAGGCTTGTCAAATTACCCAAACCAACAGGTCGCACTGCAAACATTGCACGCATTACCTTACCGTTCATCCGGGATTTACCAGAGTGACCTTCCAGCGCCCTCACAAGACACCCTGGCCTCTGCTCCTAGGCCCTGATGCCTTTCGTGAATGCAGCAGGCTTTTTGAATGTTTCCTATTCAAAGCCACATGAATGGGAAACAGTGTCGAATCATCGCCTCGGCGCCTAAGCTTTCTCAGGCACAAACAACACCCAGCACGCAGCAGATTACCAGGGTCTGAACTTGATCTTACGTGAATCATCTACTACCTTTCGTAGCGCTTTTCACATACAATCTCACCCAATGGCCATCTCTCCAAGCTGTAAGTGCTGTTTGGTTTCGTTCTTTCGCGACCGCAGCCTCCAGCCCAGACCCAGGTCTAGGAATAATAACCGAGCGAGAGGGTACCATCAAATTTCACTGGCAGATTTTGCAGATGTGGGTGCGAAGACGAGCAAATCCTACCAGAAAGTTGAGTCTTCGGACCATACGGATAGCCCGTCGCCGTCTTACGCTGTAGCTGCATAGGGAGAGTACGGGAGAGCTGCCTCCCAGTCCAGCTCAGTCCAGTCCAGTCCAGCTCAGTCAGCCTCGTACCATACTCTCTAGCCCTAGTCCAGCTTTATCCATCTTCAGCATAAGTCGTGCTTCGGAACGCCACAGGAAGTCGCCCAAGACGTCCCGCATGCCGTGTCGTCTGCACACCCTCCGGCCCGCTCTCACCTCACTCGTCCGTCGCCCTGCGCTTGCGGCTTACTTCTGCAAGATGGACTACGCCACGTCTTCGTCCGTGCCACTTAGCTCTTGATCTGACACTAGAGCTGGTTCAGATATTCCCCTAGTCAGCTTCCTAGTGCCTGGCCCTAACTCTCTACGGCGCCTCCGTTCGCTTTCTTCGCTCCACACGCACAAATACACACGCAGGGCAGCGACGACGTGGCGGCATTGGTTGTTTGCTGGCGACTGAATCCTCAGCTCCACGCCTGCGCGAAATGAGATAGATGGCTTCGAGGCAGAACATGCATGACCTCCCACCAAGCCCTGCCTCTGAGCCCTCATCTCCTGCCACCGCATACATATGCCCATCAACTCACGTTCCATTCATGCAAGGCACCAGTTCTTGCAGCAGCCATGCGTACATCAGTCTGTAACGGCCATCCACCCGGCCTTTTGACCCGACAAACCCGACACTTGACACCTCAATGACACTTGCTGGGGGATGTTCAGGTATTGGCCATCGTCTCCTCCGCCACCGTCGTCGCTGCTGCCGCCGACCTCCGCTGCCCCCGCTAGACCGTGTTGGTGTTTACCTCAGGCTCAAGGCGACCGAATGTTGTTCCGACATCAAACAAGTCCATGTCTATGTCAACATGTTCCGTTCTGGGCCGGTGCCGCGCCACGCCCAGCCTCCACACCCCCTCCCGCAAGGACATGCATAGACAGGCGTGCAGTCATCTCTCCTCCCGTTTGGTCCTCATCTCAAGCCTTGCATGGGCAAAGCAGGCCAAATATGCGCTGCGTTTCGCGAAATGAGCCCCGACTGCTTTCAGGTGTTGTTGAATTTGCAATTGCCAAGACCCCAAGCTAGTGGGTATGTACTCTATCAATGACAACCGGCGGGCACGGCCGGATGAGGCCTGTCATGAAACGATAGTGGCAGCGTGCCGTTGGTGACGTTCCTCATCTTCGTAACCGTCGCGTCGATGAAGTCGTCCAAAGTCTCTGCAAGGGAGACATCCTTGGGACCCCTGAACATGAAATGTCACGAACTTGATCTAGCTGAGCCTGTGTGTACGGCCAGGCAAGCAATCCGATCCATGTCTTTTCCTTCTCATTACCGTCATCAGCGTGCGAAACATGAGGCAATCGCTGAAACCCCTCTTGCCAAAACCCACGCTTCAGCGTGTCTTAAGCTTAGGCCATTGGTTCGTGGAGATAATGGCCAGGGCGACAACTCACATCGACTTCTCTCATCCCTCTACCCATGAGCCCGTCATGGCAGCCAATTGGCATGTGAACGCCGATACAAACTATGCGGCCAGCCCTGTTGCAGCCAGGTTTATTCTCGCCGAAGGCGGGACACTACCGAGACATGCGACAGCAGGTTTGGATCCTGTTAATCTCACAAACAGATCATATACACGGCCAGAATTGCCTCGTTTGTGACGGTGTGTGCTGGCTCTGCATGCGTGCAGTCTCGCACTGTTAATGGCTGCAACACTTCCAGCAAATATCCCTCGTGGCAGCGCACCTATCATTATCCCCTCGGGTCTCCTGAAAAGAAAAAGAAATTTCCCCCATCAATGGCCAGTTGACGTAGAAGGTCTATGCCGCGTAGACTCAGGCGTGTACATCTTCTAGTCATTACTAGTCTAAGTCGTTCATCGTACAATTATCCATACATATCCAAGAGCATCATGCACGGGCTGTTGAGAGACTTTCTTGTGAATGTCAAGCCCACAGGACAGTGACCCTCTCATTGCAATTCCCAGGCAATACCTTTGCGGCAGCCCTAGAAAATGTCGATTGCAATTCCGAGCCCCTGGATTACCGTTACGCCTCAGATCGCTCCAGGGCTTGTCCTTGATGGTTGCGGTCTTCGAACAGGCTCAGTGGGCTTGATCGGCGGCGTCAAGATTTGTTGCCGCGGGGATGGTGAAAGTGTCGCCACAGGCGGCAGGACAGCCGGTAGAGCAGGGGTCTTGACGCTGGGTGGCTGTGGACGTGGCATGGGAGGAGAATGTTTGATTGGGGATAGACCGCCCTCTGGAGCTGGCAGCGTGAAAGATGAGTGTGCTGAGCCGGGAATGCCATGCTCTCGGCTGATGATGGGCGTGGCCATCAAACTTGAGTTTCCGTACCTGGGTGATGTAGGGTCCGTGGGGCCAGGCGTCTTTTCGACACGGGTCGGGCTTGACGGCACCTTGTCGCCATCGTTCGTGGGCGCCCTGATACCGTTGGAAAGCTGTTGAGATCTACCGTGGTCTTCACCGTTCTCGCCCTTTGGGGTTGTCGGCCTGGGGCTGCTCTCGCTGGCTAGCCGTGTTCCATTCATTTTGCCCAGGGGCCCAGAGGAGCCAGCAACAAAAGAAAGATCGTTCGGAGTCCCGTTCCCTTTCTTCAGAAGATTCGAACCAGCAGGTTCCGTCGGTGGGTGAACCTCTGCTATAGCTTGATCATACCCTGGCCTACCAGTTTCGAGCGCTTGACCTGCCATTGCTTTCACAGCTGGACTTTCCACTGCCAGCCCTGATGATGCTGGACGGGAGTTGCTTTCACCAAGGGGGCGATTCGAAGGCGAGGACAACGCGTCGGCTGAACGATGAACCTTGAGCTTGATGGTGGTCTTGGGCCTCGCCGCCGCCGCCTCAACCTCACGCCGCTTGCAGGACTGGCATATCAAATGGAACTCTGGTTTCTCAGCCTCATTCTCGCTTATGCCGAGACACTTGCTGTGTTGCCAGACGTTGCACTTCTCGCACGCCACACTATGTGTGCCATCGTCAACTTGGCCGTAGACACCGCATATGCAGTCAAAGATCCAGTCGTCCTCTTCATCTTCAAGCTCTTCAAGTGCGCGCTTGTTTTTCTCAATCTCAGCTTGCAGCCGCCGTTCTGATATGCGGCCCGAACCACTGCGGTTGTCCTCTGACAACTGGGAGAGCTCGCGTTCGTGTTGTAAACGGCGTGTTTCTCGATCTTGGAGTCGCTTTTCTCGGGACATCAGTCTCGAGTCCCGCTCCTTCTCAAGTTTGGCCCGTTGCTGCTCTTCCTTCTTTGCAGCTGCTCGTTGAGCCTGCATGAGTTTTGCCTCTTCTTGAGCCTTTTCCTCTTGCTTCTGCTGCTCAGCCTTGTTCGCAATTCGGCTGGATCGCTTCGCATTCGCCATCTTAGCCAGATTCAGGAGCTCCCTCTCCCGCTGTTGCTCCTTGCGTTTTCTCGATTCCTCCTGCTTTTCTAGAATGGGAAGCAGGTGCTCCTGGAGCTGATCTCGAAGAATCTTTTCGTTGTCGTCCTTGGTCTTGTGGAACGAAGCGATGATGCCCTGTACATCCTCCAAGCTCACGGCGAGGCATTCCCACTTCATGCCGCCAAGACCATCATCTTCTGGTGCTGTAGAAGCAACTTCATCAGCCGGCTCGTTGACAGAATGCTCTGCTTCACCTGTGCCGTTTGTTCCAGAGACGCGTCGTCTCTTGTTCGATCGGGAACCGTACTTGGTTACTTTTGACTTCTTCTTGGGTGTCGCCGGCTTGGGGGGTGGCTCGGTCATACGGTAGACTCTGTTGTCATCAAGGACGAAGTACGTTCGGTCGTCCTTGTCCCAGCCAATGGGTTCTATCCTCTATTCAGAAATATCAGAAAACCGCTTTCGATTCAACGAATCCTGTACTTACCCAGCTCGCTTGGTCAACGTCCTTCTGCTCCTCCATCTTCTCTCTGATGCGCTCAGGGCGGACCATGATCCATTGTGTCATTTGTTGGAGGATTTGGATCTGTGATGGGTCAGTGGCGCACACAGACTTCAAGCTTCCAATGAATAGTACCTTGGTCAGTACATCGAAATCTGCAAATTTGGCCGCAGTCTCTTCTGTTCCGAATGGATTCTTCTCAGGAGCCCTTGCCAAATATTGCCGCCGCGTGTACTCATCGAACAGCTCGTGCCTGAAACGTCTTAGTAATTGGGATGAATGTGTGTACGAGGGTCCCGCTTGACAACATACGTTAAACCGCGATGCGAAGAGATAAACTTCAGCAAAGCAAGTCCTATGTCCTGAAGGACGGGTGCATTCGGCTTCAGGCATTCGGCCTCAATATCCTGAAAGAGATCCCGTCAGTAAATGAGGGCGCCAGCAAAACAAAAATAGGGGAACTGCTCACCTCTGTATCCAGGTTGTCATCGATCTTGACGACTTTGCCGAATAGGTAGATCCACTGACACAGGTTGGCGAATTGCCATTGGTTTCGAATGCGATGAAGCAGCGATGGCTCATCGTGGGTGGCATCTTCAGCCTCCTGCAATGTCCGTTTGCGCGAGGACACCATGGTTGTAGTTGCGATATATTGGGGGCACTCAAGAAGGTAAAGCGACAAGCCGATGGAGGCAAGGGCTCAGGGGGGCAGTCTCGTCAGTCAGACGTCGCCGGCAGCGGCGGTGGATCTCGTGTGGTTCGTTCTGAACAGCCGCGTCATTGACACTGTCGTCGCGGAGGAAGACGGCCGGTGAGGCTGCGAGACGAAGGTCTCGTAGCAGAAGGATTGGAAGGGAGCAGGCGGTCGGTCTGCAGCAGGCCAAGGCAGATGTTCAAGTCGAGCTGTACAGGTCGCACTCGGGAGGTGAGACGAGAGTCGGAAGAAAATAAAAATAGTCGAACTCAACGTCGAAGGGCAAAGGGTCGAAGGTAGTAGTGGCTAAAGATGGAATAAAGTCGATTGGTGAGACGCAATGGAAGTTTGCTACCAGGGCGTCGTGGGATTGATCGTAGTGCAAGAAAAGGTAAAGCAGTGTCAAAAGGTACGTAGCGGATGTAATCCAATAACCTTCAGCGTGGACGGGCATTGGCTCCGGCTATCAATGCACCTTGATCTTACCAGAACTGGACGCGTTTTGGGCCGCGGCGTCTGCGTGTGGGCGTCTGACTGGCGGGTGGCATCGAAAACGGGCCCGTGCTGCACGCGCCGCGCTAGAAAAGCGTGGACCGGTTGGATTACATAAGGCAGTATTTCCCGAAAGTGTAGAGTGGGCGGGGCACCCGACGGGACCCGTGAACGGAGAAAATGCCGGGATTTGGGAGGAGAGACTCCGAAAAACCCGGCCCTTTTCTGCAATGGGGTTGCTGCTGCTGTTGTTGTTGCTTGGTTTTCGTTGCTCTCCTCTGACTCGCTCTCCGCCCTCATAGGTGCCAGCCGATAGTTGTCGTCAAACGAGAAATCCGACACTTTGAAGTGCAATGCACGCGTAAAGTTGTCATGGTACTACACTACAATCACATAGTGTTTGATCCCAAGTTAGCCAACCACTTCAGTTGACCGGTGTAAGATACAGGGTGAGGCCGATCTTTGATGGAGACTTCCAGAAAAACAGAAAGTAATTACGTAGTCGGCTTCCCAGGGACAGAATGATGTATCCGACGCGGGCTGGGCGTCTGTTGGGTTGCGTGCTCTCTGGGTATTCTGCCTCTAATTCATAGGCTCTTCGGTTATTGGATCCGTCTGGAGAAGATGAGATGGAGAACACTAAACCCCTAAAAGTCTGCTGCAGTCATCCCCAAAAGGCTGCCCTGAATTGGCACGGGCCATTGGCTTGTCGTTCCCCTGCCTGCCCAACAGCTAGGAAACAACAACTGTCTTCTGTAAGTTTTGTGGCTTACGTACGAGCCTGCGGCATGCCGTTCATGCGTGTGCCGTTCTTCCATACCACCCTATGTAGGCTGCCGTCTCATCCCCGTCCCGTCGTCTCAGCCCAGGAAAAACGCCAGGGAATGCCAGGGGACATTTCTCCACAGCCCGCTTGGCCCGGCAGGACACACACAGCCAAAGACAGGGGTCCCTCTGAGCCTGGCAGTTTCGAGACTGGGTGGAGACAGTGAAACACGCTTCCATTACACACTGTCAGTGGACCTGCCGGGCCCTGATGTCAGCTCCTACTCTTGGACCACTGTCCCATCATTACCGTGCTTGCGGAGTAGGGCCGCTGCTCTTAGTGCCGGTGCTAGTGCTGCCCTGCCGCCTCAACAGCCCTGGAGTCTGAAACTGGAAATAGAACCTCTCCGATTGCCCTATGGAGGCCCCCATCTCTAAGTTACTGTACAGTGCTAATATGATCCCACACCGTAAATACTAGCCATGGATGGTCAAGTCAGCCTCCCTCTGTGCCTCTCAGCTGGCCGCGGACATCAATACGAAGACTCAATTGCCAGCATTGCCGGTACGCTTTCTCCCATCACATCGCTCTTTTCCGCACCTCAACCCCCCGGACTGACCAGGACGGTAATCGCAAACACTTTGCCCCGCCCATTCCAGAAACACGGCACCCAGACCGATTTGCTTTGGTGGCGTTCGAGTTTACATCCATCACTGACCGCTGTCTCTGTCGACGACTTGTCATCACCAAAACCTTCGACTCTTCTCTCGTTGCACGAGGGGGCTGATACTCTCCATACACACGGTCTGCTACGCCAAACGATCGGCGCCGGCCTCATCCCGAGCAGTGCGATCCCCGAACCGAACCCGTTCCTTCGCATACCACAAGAGCTCTGCGCCTCGACATGCGCGCAATCGTGTTTCTTCGATAATCTTGGTTGGACATGCGATCCGTGTTTTTCGCTGCTCTTCGACCGGTATAGAGCCAACCACGTACCCGCTCGCGTGCCCCGGCCCTGGTCGTTCCTCCCACCCACCGTATATTTTAGACGGAAATAGAAGCAGCAGTTTTGACGTTGGCTCGAACCTCGGCCTCGATGCAGAACAACACACCATACTCTTACGAGATGAGTTCGCGGCAGGACGAGTACTCAGGTTCCGACAGGGAGCGTCTGCAGGCAGACTCCCAAACCGAATCCCAGCGCGGCCGGGCAGGCCACCCGTCGTCGACAGCACCGCAGACGCAAACCTCTGCCAACGGACTTGGCCTTTCAACATACTGGGAGCAACCCTATGCGCAGTCCAACAGCTCTGGTGGTCCCGAATCCCCGATTGACCCTTCGGCACTGCAATTCGCCCTTCCGCCGGATATCAACCAACCCCCACCGATACCGCGCTTGAACTCACCGTCTCTTGACTCTCTCGACCGGCCATCGCCGTACTTCGACGAGGCCACGAACCCGGACTACTACGAGGATAGGGTGCCGCTCACCTCTAGAGCACAGCCCATATCTGGGTCGCTCAGCGCAGACATAGGGGAGGCTCAACGGAGAGACAGCTTTCAGACCGTATCCGACATCGACAACACCCCTTCAAGAACGCGAGATGCCAGATCGCTCGGCTACAATTTGGAACCTGGTGGTCGGCGCCCGAGTTATGGAGCAACACTCAGTCCTGGCGGGGAGCGTAGGCGCTCTCGCTCGCCCTCCACTGCCGGCGCACTCTACAGAGCAGGCTCAATCATGCGAGCCATGTCGCAGCGTGTCGTCAACATCAGCGGTGAGGGTGAGCTCGTGGACCATAGGTTATCAAGGAGCCGCTCTCCGTCGCCGGCGTCAGATCGTCGCCAGCAGCTACACAACTCTGCTCAGATGTTCACCGATCCTTCTTACCACTCTCATGCCTCCCATGTCCCCGAGAAGGCCCCCGAGCCGGAGAACGTATTCGCTGACCCCCCACCACCTATTCAGCCACGAGTGCCAATGGAGAATCCGCTGAAGGGGAAGTCATTGGGCATCTTCCCTCCTGACCACCCGATCCGAACCAAGCTCTGCGATCTTCTAGTGCATCCTTTCACTGAGCCCTTCATTCTCGTACTCATCATACTACAAGCCATCCTCCTGGCCATAGAATCAGCACCAGATGTCTTTATTCATCCACGGCCCGCAACATGGGGAGTCACATGGATTGACTGGGCAATGCTAGTTCTCTTCATCATCTTCACCCTTGAGTTGATCGCCCGCATATTGGTCTCAGGCTTCCTGTTGAATGCCTCGGAGTACAGCACCATTGATCGCCAGAAGGGCGTACGAGCGGCGGTTGTCGACCAGTATAGGAACATCTTCCAACCTCAGCGACAGAAGTCCGTTAAGGCTCCGCGACAAATCCATCTTGGCCCCTCTGCCTTTCAGCGATCATTCACTATCATGCAAGGCCAAACACTACCCCAGACGGTCGAGGAGCAGCAGAGGTTCCAGCTCGCCCGCAGAGCGTTTCTGCGACACTCTTTCAACCGACTGGATTTCCTTGCCGTGGTCGCCTACTGGATCTCCTTCGCGCTTAGAATCACCGGAATTGAAAGCGAGAAACATTTATACGTATTCCGGATGATTGCCTGCTTGCGCATCTTGAGATTGCTGGCTTTAACTAATGGAACGGCGGTGAGGACCTCAGTGCCCCCTATCCAAACATGGTTTTTACTAATGTCCCTGCTAGATAATTCTGAGAAGTCTAAAGAAGGCAGCGCCGCTGCTTGTCCGAGTAGCTTTCCTCATCGCCTTCTTTTGGATTTTGTTTGCCATCATAGGAGTGCAAAGCTTCAAAGCTAGTTTGAGTCGCCAGTGTGTTTGGCTTGACCCGACAGACCCAACCAACAAGGAGAAGTCATTCACGAATGAAATGCAATTCTGCGGGGGTTACCTCGATAACGTGACGGGGAAAAGCATGCCTTGGGTTCTCATGTCAGACGACAATGTCCTGGACAATTTCAGAAACGGGAGCAAAACTGGCAAAGGCTTCCTTTGCCCCCGTGGCTCGATTTGCCTACAACAAGGCAACCCATACAACGGCACAGTCAGCTTCGACAACATTGCCCAATCGCTGGAGATGGTTTTTGTTATCATCAGTTCCAACACTTTCAGCGATGTCATGTACTACACGACCAACTCCGACTACCTGCCTGCCGCTCTCTTCTTCGGCGCGGGCATCATGATCCTTATGTTGTGGCTCGTGAACTTGCTTATTGCTGTTATTACATCCTCTTTCCAGGTTATTAGGGAAGAGAGCAGGGCGAGTGCGTTTACAGCGACAGAGGAGCCGCTGATATCCGAATCCGTGGATGAACCACCCCCAAAAGTGTCTTCGCTGCAGCGAATATGTGACAAGACATCGGTAATCTGGAATGCTCTCATTGCTTTCGGCTTGTTGGCTCAATGCTTCAGGAGCTCCAGAATGTCGGATAGTCGTGGACGTTTTATTGACTCTGTCGAAGTTGCTGTCACACTCTTGTTGGATGTTGAGATTATCCTCCGCATTGCTGCTGGCTGGCGCACTTTCCACAGGAGCAAACGCAATCTCATCGACCTGGGTCTCGCGGTGATCACAACTATCATTCTAATACCGACAATCCGCAACTCCGGAGAGACCTACGCCTGGTTGACGGTCTTCCAGATTGTGCGAGTCTACCGCCTCGTTTTGGCTGTGCCGATGACCAGGAAGCTGATTGTCATGGTCCTTGGAAATTCCAACGGTATTGCGAACCTGATGCTTTTTGTGTTTCTCATTGCGTTTCTCATGGCCATTCTCGCAGCTCAACTTTTCAGGGGCGAAATACCGAAGCATAACGACGATGGCGACCTCAATGAGGTCTCCTTCTTCACCATCTATAACTCATTTCTCGGCATGTATCAGATCTTGTCGAGCGAGAACTGGACCGGGATACTTTACAACGTTACTTCTCATATGAATGAACACGACACGGGCTGGATTGGCGCAGTTTTCTTGGTTGGCTGGTTCATTTTGTCATTCTTGATTCTCGTCAACATGTTCATTGCTGTCATCCAAGAAAACTTTGACGTATCAGAAGACGAGAAGCGCCTCGAGCAGGTCAAGGCTTTCCTACAAAGGAAAGAATTGGGCAAATCATCCAGCAGCCTTACTTTGTCAAACATCTTTACTTTTGGCAAAGCGAGACGGAGAAAAGACCCCCTGGATTACGGACCTGCCATGATGGAAATGCTTCTGAAGGACGCTGTGGTTCACGAGTTTCTTGACGACGCCGCCGACGTACCGCAGGACAGTCCTAACGAAGAACAGTCGCCTACAAGAGCTCAAACCCACCATGTCGGCGAAGTCAGACCTGGCTTCTTGTCGTCCATGTGGGGGAAGTTCAAGTCAGCGTTCAGCAGCAAAGACCCAAACCCGTTTTACTCGAACATCCGCTTCGACGGACCAAACGACACTCTTGACCCCCGCCAAATGGCACGACAAGCCGTATCGGCTACGTCTGCACGCAAGAAAGCCCAGCGTGATTATCTTGCGAGGCACCCCAACTACAACAACTCCCTGTTCGTTTTCACACCTAATAACCCTATTCGGCGGTTCTGCCAACGAATCGTGGGGCCGGGCAGAGGAAATGAGCGGTTTGAGGGCGTCGAGCCGAATAAGATTGCCTGGTACGCTTCTTCTGCGTTCATTTACGCGTGTATCGTCGCCATGGTCGTCATTGCATGTGTCACAACACCACTTTACCAGAAGCAATATCAGGCAGATCACCCCGAGTTCAGCATAACATTTTGGTATGTCTGGACAGATCTGGCTTTCGCCATTGTCTTCTCAGTTGAAGCTGTTATCAAGGTCATCGCCGATGGCTTCTTCTTCACGCCCAACGCCTACTACCGCAGCTCGTGGGGCTTCATTGACGGCATCGTCCTCATCACCTTGCTGGTCAATGTCGGCACTCTGCTCGCTAACGATGGCGCTGTTTCTAGAGCCATCGGAGCTTTCAAGGCGCTTCGTGCTCTGCGCCTGCTCAATGTCAGTGACAGCGCCAGGGACACTTTCCACTCGCTCATCATTGTGGGCGGCTGGAAGATCCTTAGTGTAAGTTGCAAACTTTGTTGTGTAGCATGTGGGCTTGTCTCTAATCTCACTCACAGGCTGCATTTGTCTCTATATCGCTGCTGATCCCCTTCGCTATATATGGGCTCAACCTCTTCAACGGCCAAATGGTGTCCTGCAACGATGGCGACGACTCAATCGTGCGCATTTCCGACTGCTTTGGCGAGTACAACAGTACACCCTTCAATGATGACTGGCCAATGTTGGCGCCTCGCGTTCCAGCCAACGCCTATTTCAGCTTCGATGACTTTGCGTCTTCCCTGTTCATTCTCTTCCAGATCGTCAGCCAGGAAGGATGGACTGATGTCATGTTTGCTGCGCAGGCAGTTACGGGGCGTGGACTCCAACCAAAGGAACTTAACCGCCAGGGTAACGCTATGTTCTTTGTTGTATTCAACCTGTTGGCCACCGTTTTCGTCCTCACGCTGTTCATCTCAGTCTTCATGCGCAACTACACTGAGCAGACGGGTGTCGCCTTTCTGACCGCGGAGCAGAGATCTTGGCTCGAATTGCGGAAGCTGTTGCGACAAATTTCTCCGTCTAAAAGCTCCTACAACGAGTCAGAAAAGACGTGGAAGAAGTGGTGCCATAAGCGGGCCATCGAAAAAAGGGGTAAATGGTACACAGCTGTTACCTATGTCTTGATCTGCCATCTGCTGCTGCTTCTCCTCGAATACCACGGCGAGCCGCAGTGGTGGACAGACTCCCGAGACGGAATTTTCTTGGCATTCACCCTCGTCTACATGGCTAACATCACAATCCGCATCACCGGTCTTGGCTGGGCGCGTTTTCGGAGGAGCTCTTGGGACTTATACTCGCTGGTGGTCGTCACGGGCGCGTTCGTCTCTACGTCTGTTCTCATCATCAGTAGAACCAGCGACACCTATGTGCAGCTTCACAAGTTTTTCCTTGTCGCCATCCTTTTGCTGCTCATTCCCCGCAACGACGCCCTGGATCAGCTTTTCAAGACAGCCGCGGCTAGTTTGACGACGATTGGCAATTTGCTCGCTACCTGGCTCGTCTTTTTTCTCGTATTTGCCATCGCCCTGACGCAAGCATTCAGCCTGACACGCTTCGGCGAGAACGAGGAAGCCAACATCAACTTCCGCAGCGTGCCCAATGCACTGATTCTGCTGTTCCGAATGAGTTGCGGTGAAGGCTGGAACCAGGTCATGGAGGACTACGCTACCATTGAGCCTCCGCTGTGCGTTGACAATCCCGACTTCTTCGACAGTGACTGCGGCAGCAAGCCCTGGGCTCGCTTCCTGTTCGTTGCGTGGAATATCTTGAGCATGTACATCTTTGTCAATCTCTTTGTGTCTCTCATTTATGAGAGTTTCAGTTACGTCTACCAACGGTCTAGTGGACTGGCAGCTGTGGACCGTGACGAGATTCGGCGCTTCAAGGAAGCCTGGCGAAGCGTCGATCCCGCCGGAACCGGGTTCATCAGCAAGGAAGCGTTTCCAAGGCTCCTGGGAGAACTTTCCGGGGTCTTCGAGATGCGCATCTACGATGCCGATGACTCGGTGAGGCAAATTCTGGAAGATGTTCGCAACGATGCCGCAACATCAGGAGCACGCCACATGTCCATTGCTTCTGCGAGCAACTACAGCACCGGCGTTGACATTCAACGTCTCAACAGACGACTGGCTCAGATTGACGTTGTCAAGGTCCGCGAGCGCCGTCGACGGTTCAACATTTTCTTCGAGGAAGTCATGGTTTCCGCGGATCCTGATAAGGGAATCTCCTTTACTTCCGTTCTCATGATCCTAGCTCACTACAACATCATCAATGATAGCAAGAGTTTGAAGTAAGTCTTCATGTTGCACTTGACGAATAGCTCCACTAACGAGTTCGCAGGTTAGAAGAGTTCTTGCGAAGACGTGCCAGACTTCAGAGGGTGGAAGAAGAAGTTCGTCGCCGAGTCGTACTTGGCTTCTTTGACACTTTGTAGGTTCTTTCAGGCAGACACGGCGCATGAACCGATGACTGACATACTTTCCTCCAGGTATTGGACACGCAAGTTCAAGAAGCATGTCGACATGAGGAAGTCGGCGAGAATGACGGCTATCCCCCAACTTGACATTCCTCATATTCTCGTAGACGATGACGAGCTTCGACGCAAGTCTTCGCCGGTGGCAGGAACCGGCCAGACACGGTCAGCGTTGCTGACGGTGGATGATGCTAACAAATCACTTCACAAGAGTTGGTCGGGACCGGGACTGTCGGACATGCCATCTGACGACTATCAACACCCTCTCAGTCTGGCAAGGTCCGGCCCAACAACACCGGGCCACCAATCAACACATTCCGCCTTCAGCTTCGAGTTGCAAGAGGGAGGGCAGACTTCGGCCCAGAGCAGTCGGCGGGGCAGTGCTGTCAGTCCAGTACAGAGCCCCGTCAGCCCTGCACAAGTCAACAACATGCTGGATGACTCCATCTGGCTCGAGAGTATTCGGAGAACTGCAACAGTCCGAAAATCGGTCCGAAAGTCCGATTGGGGTAGATAAACGCGCCAAGACGTTGTGCGTTGTGTGATTTTTATTCTGCAAGCGACGGCGTTTGGGTTCAAGAGCGAGTATCATAGAATCTGGGCACAGCGCCTGGACTATTTTTGTTCCATGGCAGGCATGAGCCCAAAGGACTTTCACCCCCCTTTTTTCCTGGCTGGTAGATAGATAGAGAGAAGCCTATAGGGCCACGGCTCTGGTTACTTGCCACTCTGTGGCGAGACATCTTTAGGGCGATACTGTAGACTAGAACATAATAATGACAAGGACACCGACAGCAAAAGACCGCTTGTCAAAGGTGCGTGTAGGGTGTTGGATGCCTAAGAAACAAGTGTATAGAATCAATTGGGTCATCATGAATCACTGACGTTACCTTGCATCAGTCGCTCGATCCGTCATGGGTTTGTACTCGGATCAAGCAATCATCCAACACCGCTTAGACGTTGCGATCGGACATCGAGGCTTGTGGTATTAAAAGAGCAGTTATTTGTTCGTCTAATAATCAAATAGAAATAATGAAACTTCCCATCCCTATATCTCTTTTGTCAGGTGTTGCAGAGACCACGATAGTCCTTTTCCCCCCTCATCTTTGGTCAACTCGAGACGAGAAAAGGCAAGCCGAGGTACAAAGCCTCCCGCATCATACTCTCAGAATCGAGAGGACCTGCACGCTTTGTCCGGTGTTCTCGAGACCTCGTCCGTACTTCCTAGACAGTAACTTTTTCTTGGCAGCCGCCAAAGAGAGGTAAAAAGCTGGTGCATAACCCGAGTATCAGAGCAAGCACAGCCTCTGCGAGGAAAATCAAGGTCCTGGTAGAGACGTTTGTGAAAAAGCCAAGACATATCAGGGGGAGGAAGCGGAAGCGTGTCTGCGATTTCAAGCTTTGGGGCCGCGTCGGTAGCATTTGCAAGTATCTGAGAGGTTCTCCTCGCTCTTGTTCTTGTCGCCCCTAATTTTTAATTTTTTTATCCTCAAACAAAGGAGAAAAAGGTGGGCGGGCAGATGAACTCTTCTTCTTAAGTGGTATTCGCAAGTGTCGCTCCAAGCCAGGGACACGCTTGATTCTCGAAGTCGTGTTGGCGATGGGGAGAGCGGTACCGCCTTTGGCTCCCACTCTTTCATGGCTCGGGAAATTTCCCTCCCACTACATTGTTTTACTTCATCTTTGCTTATGCCTTCCCTTATCTTGGGAATCGATGGTGGAAGATGAGATGGGACGACCCATGAGGAGGAACAGGCAGACATCGGTGTCGTCGTTCTTCCGGCCTGGCCTTCGGAGAATTGTTGAAGTCCAGTCCAATCAGACATGTGCTCGTATTTCATGGCCCTCGTCTTGTCTCGTCCGGTGTATGTCCCGGTCTGGTCTGGTCTAGTCTGGTCTTGTCCGCGTCTCGTCCTCGCTCGGCTCTTCCTCGTTTCACTCTCACGAATGTTTCAACATGCCCCTCCTTTTCCGTGTTCCAGCAGGGGGTGGGAGGCATCAAGGAGACAAGAGTCTACCAGCACTTTCACGCTCTGCTGGCATGGCGAGTTGGGAGGATATGGATGGGAGAGAGTCTTGTTTCCAGTGTTGGCGGGTGCCCCTTGTTCCCCTGTTGCTTCATGACATCCTTCCCTTTGTGTGTCAGTGGGATCGACACAAGCCCTGCGGCATAGAGGGCACATGGGCCACTATCGACGGAATATCAGTTGGCGATGCGACAGTGAAAGATGATCAAGAGGATAGGGACCCAAGAACCCTTGATCTGGGGCGAGTTTGATGTGTGTGACGGTGTTTGTGATTCAGATAGCTTTGGGGAAGGGGCGCTAGCATCGTGGCTGCGGTACACCACCAACGCGGCCCGTAGTTGAAGATGGAAGTGGAAGTGGAAGTGGCTGAGGAAAATGGCCTTTCCGAGGTTGCATGACCGGACCGCCTATGTCTCCAACTGCTACACTCAAACACACAGTCGATAATCTATTCTATTCTCATATCTAGTGTACCGTTGGGGCGTGCCATGTTGATTTCACCTCTCATTTACAGCATTATGGAAGATGGGCCATGAATAGATGGGCAATGTCTCCCGTAGATGAGCAGGCCATTATTTTCGGCATGTTGCAAACGAGCGCTCGCCTCCAGGGCAGGCCCCGGCTTAGCCTCGTCGATGAGGGTTTGCCTTTTCTTGTCTTTCCTTTCCAGAAGGCTTCGATTCCCACATCACGGGCTCTTTTTCGGATCAGAGGAGCCAAGAGGGCCCAAGGGAAGACTTGCTGGTGCGAGCAAGTGGCACGAGCGCCGCGCTATGGGCCGCGTAGGGCACATTATGCGTACCCATCGTCGGTCCCCCTTCCCCTTAGTCAGGACACCATGGGCATGCGCATCCAACCAACTACCCATGGTTTTCACTTGGTTGCGCTTTGCCAAGGGGTTGCGTAGGTTTATTAGCGAGTGCGTGGATGGGTGGCCAAGCTACTCAGTGCAGATAGTATGTGGCGAAGTCGTCTTCATCGACAAATGTCGAGTCCACGTACCGAAGACAAGTCCAGTTACAGAAGCGCCATGTTGCCCAAGGGACAAAAGTGTTGACGAGAGCATAGTCACGCACATGAGATGAAATAGTGAGTAGGGACTGGAGAGGATGGAGAGAGAAGATGCAGAACACGCCGGGTAAGAGACTAGTGGGCACTTGTAAGGGCCCGGCAGAGCCGTCAGCGTCGGCCACGAAGCATGACATCGGCAATTTCGCTGGCGGGTGCTCTTGAAACAGCCGTGTGTTCTTTGTCTGCATCGCTAAGGGCATGTCGCGCCGTCTGTGGTTGGCGGTTACCCCTGACGGCCACCCATTGTAGTGTACCTGTTAATGCGCAGCCCGTATCTTATCGGGCTGTCGTCCCGCACCAGGAACGCCATGTATGTATCTTTACACCAGAGCAAGCAAGCCAAGATACCCAAGATACGTCGAGGTGAGTGGCAGCTCTGTGCGTCAACAGGCCTTTTGGCAGTGGTAAGCAAAGACAAGCCAAGCCGAGGTGGCGGCCCCGTACCGGTCCGTATCCTGCGCATACTTTTCCCGCAGGAACGGTACCTCCTAGGATACATCCAGAGAACGGATCCCTGGTACCGTCGCTACCTTGGGCCTGTCCCTGCCTTCTCCCCCACCCCAACGACGATCACACAATGCAGCCGTTGGGGGCTGACGGAGCTTGAGGCTGCTACAGACCTCAGACTGCCCTGCACCGGCTCCTGGACGCCACTTTTCAGTTTCTCTTTCTTCTGCCTCCCAGCTCTCGCATTGCCATCGATGCTCTGTATGTCGTCTTCTACGCTGCACATTCTCTGTGTACGTCTCCTTGCCTCTCCGCCATGTCTCTTAGGGGCATACTCGGCCATCTTATGTTTATGTTCAAGGCGACGCCTCGCCCACGGTCTTTGAGCCTTCGTAAGGTAGCGATCCGTTGAAGACAGAGGCCGCGTTGTTTCCAAGGCAAGGAGGATGAGGTAAGGTTCTATCCAGGGGGGAAAGCCAAGGAATGGACAGACTGGACGCCCGATTTGGTCTCCTCGTCGACGCTAATTCCATGTCTCTGTCTATCTTCCCTCTGCGTCCCTCACAACCAGACATATCTACCACCGTAATCTTGTCCGATGTGTCTCATTCCTTGGCTCCGTGCTTCCCGTTCTTGCCTTGGTCACTTGCAATAGATTTCTTTTCACTCCATTTCGGGTTTTCTCAAAAAGATACGTGCAGCACAAAGAACAAACTCCTGCGTCGTCTGAACAACACGCCATCCATCCCTTGAACACACACACCCCTCCCCCCAAAAAAAGGTTGCCATCTGCCTCACGCTATCAAATGTCCCTGCTTTTCTCGTCAGACCATCTCGAAGACGTCTCTTCCTCCGCCGCCGCCGCATTGCTCGTTACCCCCAAAAAGGGCAGCGTCCTGAGGGCTCCTCTCGCATTGATGCCGTCTGCGTCACACCCCTGAAGTACGAACCCGCTTCTCCATACTGCCTCTTAACCCTCCACATCCTCCCTCACTCCCCTGTCCTCGACCTTCCACCTCCTCACCCATTCCTTTCCCTTTCTGTCCACCTCCCGCACCCCCTTGTTCGCTCTCTGCCACTTCGCTTCGCCTGCGATTGAATCCGTACCAGGGTGCCTATTTGCTCGTCATTGCCAGGCTACTGCTTGTTAGTGTTGCAGCTGCTGCTGGGCTACACTCTACGCTACTGACTAGCCTGTTCATTCTCCCCTCTCAACCCTCCGGACTCTCCAAGACTTGATATAATCCAACCCATTCCCACCCTCAACTCCCACTTGCACACGCGACTTAATTCACTCACCCTCCTTTCTCTTATTCAGTTTATCCTCATTGGACTCGGCCCTCCCCGGTGGTTGACTCCTGTTCATTCCATGCTCCTTTCGTGGAACCAGCTGTCCTGCCTAAACTCTTCAGTTATCGTCATTCGTTCGTCCACCTTTACAACTTAGGCTGCGCCTCTCCATACAACCACAAACCCCCACAAGCAACATCTCCAGGCGCTTCCTCGTCGGTCGAATTATTACCTTCTCTCTCTCTCTCTCTCTCTCTCTCTCTCAATACGACAATATTCAGAGAATCACCGCCTCACCTACCAAAACATCAACGAGCCGAAACCCTCGAACAACAACTCGCCCATTATGCAGTCCTCCCGCTTCCAGTCCATCACCTCTCGCTTCTCTCCGAGCACACTGCGCACTACCTTCCGCCGCTCGTCATCCGCCTCCTCCCGTGCCAGCAGCGACCGGGGCTCATACGCCACCACCTCGTCATCTCCTGTAAGCACCATCAACAGCATCGTCTTCCGTCAGCCCTCGATGCTTGACCTCGAAGAAGAGCGCAAGAGCTTCGGTAGTGAGCTTAGCATCCTCGAGCCGCGCCCCGTTGTCTACTTCGGCAGCGTCGAGGAGCGTATCGGATCACTGTAGAAGCCAATACTCTTTGGCATGTGTCACAAACGCAGGAGATGACGGGATACGAAATGGATCATGTTTACGAGTCTTCGAGCTCTTGGTTTTGGTTTTGGCTTTGATTAGACTGGGTTTTGGACGGGAATGCTTGATAACAGACACAAGCGGCGTATCTTGGAGTTGTGGTTTGAATTCGGACGGGCTTACTGGAGCCGGAATGTTGGTTCAGGGCCTAGAACAGGCGTACTGAGAGAGAGGAAGAATGACATAGCCTGGCCTACCAGGGGCAATGTCGATGCTGATGTTGTGATTCGCCAACGTACGACTCATACAAAAGTCGGCTACAAAAGCTATGCTATATATATATATTTCCAATTCAAGACAGCCTTGAACGAACTTGTGTGTCAGATGGATACCGTTGGTGAACATAAATGGCGCACGTCACCTTACTGTCTGTTACTACTCAAGTCGAGGTATGGCAACTGTGATGAGCTGTTGGTCTTGTAGTGTGAATACACCCCCGGCTATCCTTGCTCTGAATCGCCACGACCAGTGACTGAGGCATTGGCATCTCAGTCACTACAGCTTCACAAGCCACTTGCTGGCTAGATCTCAACCGCAATGGACAAGTCGATGGCAACCAAACTACCAAGCGCCCTTGACCGCATCGGTTCGACCAGAAACGCCACGAAGATAATATTCGCGCTCAACGTTAGCCCGGGCAACGCATGAGACTACCTGACTCATAACGATCCATCGGCCCAGCATTAGCCCGAAACAGGCCTAAGTCGTTTCCCTCAGACGACTCTCCAATGCATTTGGGGAAGTAGATCAATCGGATCCAAACCAAATACCAAACATACCCCACGGAGGTAAAGATGCCCAAGCAACCCGTCTCCGGGGAGGACCCCGTCCCGAAATTGTTCTGGTTGATGGTCGGCGGGAACTTTCTCACCCCGCCGCCGACGTGGGACCGTTTCTTACTGGTGATGGATAAGCGCAACAAAGCAGAGCGGGAGACAAAGGCCGAAAGGAGGGAGTTCAAAAAGGCCAAGGAGCAGGCCGAGAAAGAGCTAAAGGCGCTGAAGCAGGCGAACAAGGACGCCTTCAAGGGCGGGTTGGCAGCCTGGAGACAACAGAAGCGCGATGCAAAAACGAACAGTGACGAGGGAAATGAAAATGGGACCGGCCGGGAGGATCGACAGCCAGAGAACGACCCCGGCGGCAACGGTGGCGAGATAGATGGATGAACATGCCTTGAGCCCGTGCCGGAGCAAGTAGTAACTAGGCCATCCGGGATGAATAGTGGCACGTTATGCACATCGTCTGGCGTGTAAGCTGACGAAGGATCGGAAGAAAATAGCCATGAGAAGAAAGTGATGTTACAGTGAGTCCAGTCACGGCATCTTGACAGAGTGCGCCTTCAGTCAACAGCTCAGCGCAAAGAGCTCTATGATACAAATACTATGGCATACATTTACAACAAGCATATCAAGCTTTCTCCCTGGGCTCGATAGGGATGTTTTGTTGTTTCTTGGCTTGGTACTCTTCTTCGTCGTCTACAGTCGGCATGCGCCAGCAGTTTAAGAGCTGCTCTTGTCTCTCCTCCGGCCCATGTTGCGTACTCTGGGCTCGACAACCCACTTGTTGAAGTTGTGCTTGCGGCGGGTCTTGAACCCACCCTTGGCCTACATGTCATTTAGCTTAGCAATGTCCCGAATCGAACAGCAGGTTCGTGATGACTTACCGGTGTGCCCCAAGGACTGGTGGGATGACGGTTACCCTTGGACTTACCACGTCCACCTCCGTGAGGATGGTCGACTGAAAAGTAACGGTTAGCACGGTAATTCCAAAGCATAACGAAATGTAATGATGCAAAGAGGGATCACGTACCAGAGTTCATGGCAAGACCACGAACGGTCGGGCGAATGTTCAGCCATCTACTTCTGCCGGCTTTGCCCAGCTGCCTGTACTGGTGGTGTGGGTTGCTGGCAACTCCGATGGTTGCGCAGGCGTCCTTACTGACTCTGCGGATTTCACCGCTCTGAAGACGGACGTTAACGTACTTGCCCGTCATGACCTTTGTACCATCATCTCTCGTCTCTTCCTCCTTGGAGACAACGATCGCGTAGGTACCAGCACTGCGGCAGAACACAGCACCGCCCTTGGCCCTCGAGCCGACGTTGAAGACAACGGTGCCAATGGGAATCATATGCATAGGAAGGCAGTTGCCTCTCCAGGCAGTCTTGGCGGCCAAGATACCGGGATCGACAACACCACCCATACTGTCGAGGAGGTCCTTAGGAATGCCTGAACGGTAGCTGTGGACGACATCGCCAGCGCGCATACCCTCAGCAGCAACAATGTAGCTCTTGCGCCCGGTAGACTTGTTCGTGAGCAGCGCAATGTGGGCACTGCGACCCGGATCATACTCGATGCGATCGACCAGATGCGGGCCGGCCTGCCAGCGGTCAAAGTCGACGGTCCGTATTCTCCTCTTGGCACCACCTCCGCGATGTCTGACAGTAACCTTTCCAGAGGAGTTACGGCCACCTTTACCGTGACCCTTCTTGGGGAAGGTCAACGGCAGAAAGGGGCGGCCCTTCCATAGGTGGTCGTTGATGGGGCGTTTGAGATGGCGGACACCGGGGGTTCGCGGCTTGTAGGTGCGCATGATGACGGAGTCGTTGCTTTTGGTCGGTGCGGTCCCAGGTGCGGCGAACTCGCTGGCCGTCGATGCCGGTTTCTCAGGGGTAGACTTCTCGGCAGACTTTCTCGTGGCAGTAGCATATTGTCTGATGACGAGCCCACGAAGAGTGGCCGAGCCCAGAAGGCTTTTGCAGCTCCTCTGGGCCGACATCAGCATTCGCGGTTGCGACATATCGGGGTGGATGCGTTTTCGAGACTCAAGGAGTCTGTCCTCACTGCTCGAATTGGTTGATTGATGTCAGGAGAGGCCAGTCAGCGCGACATGGCGTGGGAGAAGGCGAACTCGACGGGTTTGGGGTGCGGCGACACCGGACGGGAAGGACAACGGCGAAAAGATGACGAAGTCGTCAATTGAATTAGCTGTGCCCGAGGTTATCCCCAATTGCCTTGTTGTCCTCGAAAAAGAACCCCTAGTCGTGGTTGGGAATGGCTTCGAACCCAGGTCGGATGGGATTAGCTCAGTGCAGATTTCGAGCTCTGGGAAATAATTATTCTGCCGACGCCGATGTAACGGCACGCGAATTGGGTACGTACCGCTCTCCCTTCTTCTGCGTCAGAGATGCTTCAGCCACAGGCGCGGTCAGTACAGTGGGAACATGTGGCTGAGAGAGCCAGCTGAGCCTCAGACGCCTCGACACGTCCGGCCTCTGGGGAGCGTGACGGGACTGATGGGGACGTGGTCGGGAAGGCAGCCAATGATGGGTCAGTTGCCCCGCGGTTGCTACTGTTGATTGCTATTGTGACCGGGGTAATGCTCCATTTCCCAGTTCTTTTTCACAGTGTTCCCCATCAGACCTCACAGCTTTCTTCGCGTGCAGCCGGGGCAATCGCGTAGCTACTCTCGCTTGACGACGACCGCGGCCACGACCTGCCACGACCCTCGTCTTTCCTCATAAGCCGCCAGCATCTCCGAGCCTGGTAGACAGTTCCTGCTACACTCCATATCGAGGTACCTTCAATTGCACTCAAGCCATACACGACAGACGGTTGACAGAAACCCGTTTTCTTACGAAAGCGACACGACCTCTTTTTGTTTCTCTTTCACCAGCACAAAGCTTCCTCACCGTCACCTTCAACCCGCATTCAACAGTCCCCGCCTCATACTCATCCTCAGCGCTTTCCAGCGACTTGATCTCATCCTGCTGCAACAGCCGTTCATCACTTTTCGGTACCGCCAGCTCCTGTGTATCATTCAGAGATACGCGCATCCCCATCACATCAGTCCGATATCAGGATCCTCCAAATCACCTTCATCACTACCCGTACGCTAGAGCCCTGTTCTAGCCGTATATCTCTGGGCTTTCCCTCTCTTCACGTTTCTCGCACACACACAAAGGGAATCGAAACACGCCCTCTGGTGCGAAAACCGCCATCCAAGTCGCGACTAAACAGGACCCTCCGTCATCAGTCACGACAAAGACACCCCCGACACCTGACGCGCGCGACTTTCCTTTAGCGAGTGTCAAGAAGCCACTCCCTGTCCGTCGTTCGCGTGTGCTGCAACTGCACACACCTACCAACCTTACCCTTACTCCAAGGGCCGACGTGCGCTACTGTGGTGACCAGACCCAGACCAGACCAGGGCCACCGCGAGCAAGCCGCGACTTGAAAAATTCGGTACGTACCCCCATCGGCGCCCCGGTTCACAATACCCACTCCATACCACATCACGTCCTCGGGTTCCCACTACCTCAGCAAAACACATCACACATCGCCTTTGCACCTCCTCTTCACACATAAACACTCTCGTATTTCCCCCGAGTCTCTGTCTCCTAATTCCCCTACCATTTCCTCCACGATACCCTCAGCTCTCCGCCACCCTCCGAAGCTCTACACCATTGCCAATTGGCCTTGACAACGCGACTAATTCTTCCTCGTCTTTCCACAGAGCCCTACCCGTGTTTTGGCGTCGAACCTGAGCAAACATTTTGCCCGCGTTCAGGTCGCCCGTCATCATCATTCCCCAAGGTACGCATGTCTCGAATTCCGTTCCGTTCTCAATCTCTCTCTTCCCAAGCAACCGACCTGCCTGTCTGCCCAAACCTCGGTGGCGTACCCTTTTTTTATTACATTGTCTCTGCCGCAGTAGCGCTCCATCCTCGACGCGTCTAAATGCTAACCTCGTCCTCTTAGATTTCTACATCCTAGATACCCAACTTCACATAACCAGTCTACAAGATGCCACCAGTAAGTACTATCCTGCACTATCCTGCCTGGACACCCTCTGCGCCTCTTGTCGGCTCTCGTCGCGTCGACATGTCGCTCACCAGTGCCTGCAGGCTACCCGTCCGACGCGTGCACGTATCGTGTCAAACGAGAATGATGAGAACAGTGGATCAATGCGCATGACGCGTGCCAAGGCAGCTGCGCTGAACGTTGATGAGCTTGTTGCTCCTGGAAAGGCTGCCCTCGCCACGAAGAAGTCTGCAGTCAACGCGAACCCAGCAGGGCAGCGAAAGCGCGCCGCCCTCGGCGATGTCAGCAACGTCAACAAGACAGAGACTGTCCCGGGAAAGAAGATTGCAAGCAAGGGCGGCCTCGTCTCCAAGGCTGCTCAACCCACTGGCATCACGAAGAAGTCAAGCAGCGCCACCACCAGAAATGCTGTACCCAAAGAGAAGAAGGCACCCGGCTCAGGATCCGGCGCGATTCCCAAGAGGAAGCCACTCAATCCCTCGAACACAAACCCTACTAAGGACGACAACCTCCTCGCTGAGGGCGAACCCCTGCGCAAGAAGCACCATCCTATCCAGCCTGCTGAGAAGCGTCGAACCAAACCTGAGCCTGAGCCCGCTGCCTCAAAGACTCCTGTTGAGTCTGTGCCCGTCGATGCCCAAAACCCAGACACTTACCCGCCCGATGTCAAAAACTTGGATGAGGAGGATCTTGATGATCCGTTGATGGTGGCCGAGTATGCTAACGAGATCTTCGAATACCTTCGCGATCTTGAGTGCAATTCTATCCCCAATCCCAACTACATGGAGCACCAGGACGATTTGGAGTGGAAGACGCGTGGAATACTGGTCGATTGGCTGATTGAGGTGCACACTCGCTTCCACCTCCTCCCCGAGACTCTCTTCTTGGCCATCAACATCATTGATCGCTTCCTCTCGGAGAAGGTCGTTCAGCTCGACCGACTGCAGCTCGTTGGGATCACCGCTATGTTCATCGCTTCCAAGTACGAAGAGGTTCTGTCTCCTCACGTCGCCAACTTCCGCCACGTTGCGGACGACGGTTTCAGTGAAGCCGAGATTCTTAGCGCGGAGCGCTTCGTCCTCGGAACATTGAACTACGACCTGAGCTACCCCAACCCCATGAACTTCCTTCGCCGCATCAGCAAGGCTGACAACTACGACATTCAATGCCGTACCATCGGCAAATACCTCATGGAGATCAGCCTCCTCGATCATCGATTCATGCCTTACCGCCCCAGCCATGTTGCGGCCGGCGCTATGTACCTGGCTCGCCTCATCCTGGATCGCGGTGACTGGGTATGTTCTTGATATCGTCTCAGCCCGATATTACATTAACTGACAAACGAATAGGACGCTACCATCGCATTCTACGCTGGCTACACCGAGGATGAGATTGAGCCCGTTGTCCGTCTCATGGTTGACTACCTTGCGCGCCCCGTCGTTCACGAAGCCTTCTTCAAGAAGTACGCCAGCAAGAAGTTCCTCAAGGGTAAGAACATTCCGCGAAGCTCTCATACGTTGCCAAGTTAACATTTTTTAGCTTCCATCCTCACGCGTCAATGGGCGAAGAAGAGTGCTGAACATTTTGGTATTGTCGACATGCACCTCTCTTTGGATCAGATCTCTACTCGGGAAGAGGACAATTACCCCGAGGAGGAGGAAGAACAAGACGACTACTAGCGACACCACACTCGACGTGCGTGTCTTAGAAAGTACTGTGGAATTACAGAATATCCTGGACCGGAGAAGTTGGATGAGCATCAGCGTTTACGGCCACTGTTATGAATGCATATATCGACGACCCGCACGCTCATAGTGCAGCATCATCCTATCGTCGCACTCACCAGGTTCCCACACAACGGCGACCCACGCAGGTTAGTGAGAGGGAAAAGGTTGATTGGGCCTATTGCTTTTTCTGTCTGAACTACATGGTTCAGACTTGGTTGTCAGATTACGGCAACTGTTTTGTGCTGCTTATTTTTGTCGGTTATACATCTTTCCAGTGCATTGGGACTTCGTTGCTCTTGTCTCATGAACGGCGCATGGAGTCGGAGGTCAAGGATATCACGAAAGCGGACGGTTTGGCTGGAGTTCGTTGACTCTATCTTCCACTGGGCTGGCAAGACATGAGATCCATTAGTTTTGCGTATTCGAGGCTCGCTGTCTAACTGTGTCTCCAATTCGGGGTGTTGGGGCGATGGACATTGGAGGATTTGTCCTTGTCGGGACGGGTACACACATGGAGAGGGTCGGGGTTGTAGGCGACAGCAATCGTGCAAAAAAAAAACTGTACATACATCTGTTCGGAGAATCAGGTTCATGGAAAGGTAAATACACTACATTGCGTTTTTCTGTTCAAACGTCGAGTATTCCGTCACTTTCAATGACATGATCTAGTCACGTAGAGCGGCTGGATCACAAGATGGGATGAACGGGCTCGAGTGAGGACGCGTTCTTCATCTCGGGTTAGGCTCGAGGAATTCTGGCTGTGCTAGGACTGGTCTGACCCCGTCGCTCCTCTCCGGGACACCAACGGCTAGTCAGTCCTTTATGCGTTGAGTTTTTTGCCGTGTTCGTCCTATCCACTTTTCTTAATCCTGCGCGCCGCGATTTGTTTTGGTTCAATGCTTTTTTTTTTTCCTACCCAAATAAAAATCAATGTTTTTACCCTCTGTTTGGTCGACGGCCCGGCAACGCTTCAACTCGCACGACCTGCATCCTGGTAGCTTTCAAAGGCGCATGGCACACCCATGGGCGCGCGTCTCGATGGCTCTCGCGCCCGTGGACTTCTAATAATAATGAGAGGTTTTTTTAAACGTGTATGTAGTATGAGTCCAGAGACAGGAGCAGCTAATGGCAAGAACGAGGTTGTCCAATCACATGTCATTAAGATTGTGGGCACTTGAGACCAGTGAATAATATGTTTGCTGAATTACATACTATATAATATGCAGTATACACTATGTTACAAGATGTCGACACTTGGACCTAACCGGCAGCAGGCCTGTCAACGCGTACGAAAAATAGGGACAGCGCCGCTACTCCTTGTGAAAGGGATCTTTTCTTGGGTCAATTTCCATCGGCACGAGATGCGCCTCAACCAAGCGTGGTGCGGGCATCACTGCGATACCAGTTCTCCTTGGGGTCGCCGAGGCACTCGCCAACGGTCACCATCTTCTTACCCTGGAACTTCTGGAGCATGTACTCAGTGAGGTTGTAAACCGTCTGCTGGTGTATGTCATGGCCGATGACGAGGAAATTATCGCTAGCGGCGGGCTTGGCGGCAATAGACTGGTCGACAATGTCTTTGGACTGTTGGATCTCGGTCGGGCTGTCGTGTAGGTAGTCGGCCGTGTCAAGGTCGAAGTAGATGACCGAGTAGCCCAGGGCCTTCATGTCGTCCTCACAACCGCACTCAGCCGTGCAGGAGGAGTAGGGGGGTCTTGAAGGGAAGTTAGCCAAGGTCGGAGTGTTGTTATTCTGGAGACCGGGGAAGCTGACCTCATATAAGTAGGAATGACGCCGATGATGTTGCGGAGAGCCTTAGGACCAGTCAGCAATGATACCTAGGTGTAGATCCGACGGCACAACAAACCATTTCCAGCTTATACATTTCATCCTTGCGCTGAGCCGAAGTGATCTTGCACTTGAAGAAGAATTAGGATGGTACGCCACAACTTGGACAGGGAGACAAACCAGATCGGCGTGAGACCAGGTATGGCTAGCGATTTGATGGCCATCGGCGTACATCCGCCTATCATTGGGTGTGACGTTAGCCATGATACAAGGGGCAATGTGAAGCAGGCAGGGAGCGTACTTGATGGTGTTGACCCAGGGGAACGTCGCATTGTCAATCTCGCCCTTGGCGTTATTGTTGCCCGTAATCATGAACGTCGCCGTGGCGTTGTACCTCTTGAGGAGATCCAGCAAGTCGTTGGTGTACGAAGCCGGACCGTCGTCGTACGTCAGGGCAACATCACCGGGGTTGATACAGCTGTATACGCCAGGACCACCATAATCGACCTGACCGAGCTTGGGTCGGGCGATACTGGAGGTGTTGAGACCCGGCGGAATCTTGTTGGCATCGCATGCCGGCCCGAACCGAAAGAGGCAGTCTGGGGCCCTGCAGTGGTCTAAACGTGTCAGTGGGAAGAGTGGTTCGAAGATCACCAACGAGGCGAGGCAATGTCTAACCTGGGGTTGTTCCGCAGTATCTGGCAGCATGTCAGTGAGGAGACTCAATAACAATTAACGCTAGTCACCTACCCAGCAGCAGAACAGCATTCGTTCGCGGCGCAGCTGGCGTTCCCATTGTCTGGGCCACAGAGCCCAGTGCCTGAATTGCCATTATCACCCGAACTCGTTGGCGGACTGCCGTCCTGCTGACACGTCCCGAACCCGGTCTGGCAGCCGTTGGACGTCAAGCAGTACGCATCGGTAGAGCCACACCAGCCATAGATCGAGCAGCACGGCAAGTCTGTTGGGCAGGTGTATGCCGATGGGCTACCCCCGTTTCCAGTCGTGCCGCAACTGTTATCAGGAGAGATGTCCCTTGAGAGGAGAGAGGGTGAGGCCGCTACAGTGCCAGCGAGGGCAAACACAAGAAACTCGAGCGCGGGCATTTTGGATGCCAGAATCAGGGAATAAACGCACTAGACTGCCAAGGAGAAACCAGGATAGAACAAGCGTAACGTGGACTACAAAAAACGGCCGAATGCTACGAAGTCTTTGGGGATGAAATGTCAAGTCAGATCTCGCCAAGTAACGCGGCGGCGGGAGGCGTCTTAAAAGATCGAGACTTGCCCGTGAAGAGCGGTAGATGCAGATCGACAGAACGGTGAGTCGTGAGACCCTATCCGAAGGCTCGAGGGGTGGCATCTTTTGTCATGGCGCGGTTGGGAGGGGGACGCTTATGTTTGAGAGTCAGTTCGATGCCAGGTCAGCTTTGGGAATAAGCCACCGTCTACCATTTCTGCTACATCGTATACGATGGAGGCGTTCTAGGATGTGTGGAGGGCTCTAGTTCCGTAACGAATTTTGGTGTCGGCACAACGAATGAGAGCTGAGGGGGACGGAATGATGGACGGGCAGAAAGTAGCGTAGGCTTTGACGAGAATCAAGTGCCCTTCCACAGGGTGGGATGCAGCTAGTGGGTGCTCCTTGAGAGGACCGTGTGTCGAGGTCCAAGTCCTCCAGAAGCGATGCTACCATGCGATTACATGGAAAAATGGAGGCTAAGCAAAGCATCAGAATTTGGCAGAAACAAATTTATAGAAGTGATGATACCTAACATGGGGTCTGGACATAGTCAAGTAGGCGAGAAACGTTTCGATCAAAACAAATAACTCATGAGCGTTGAAGTTGGTCGAACACAAGTACCTGATACGCAACAGCCACGGCTGAAAGGGACGTGGAATTTCAAATAGAGATCAACAGGACCGAGTTGTACTTAGGGCTGCACCTTGCTGATGGTGGCTGTTTTTTTTTCGCTACACAAGAACGGTCATTGTCAAGGAGACCTGTCGGCTTCACGGCACGTTGAAGAGCAAGCGCGGGAGGACGTCGGAAGCTTTTCTACCAAGGCATAGAGGCTCCGGGACGCAGCTAGCGGTGGTAACCAAAGCATTGGCCGACGTGCGGACTTAATGTCAAGCCGGGCTGGGCTGCTAGACGGGAATATGCCTCCATAGAGGCCCGGGGCCGGAGGATGCAGTAAGGCAAACCGGCCGGTTCACGGAGGATGCGGGGCCGACAGTATCGGGGATGATGCCTTATCGGTTGTGCTCGACAGATGGCGACTTGCAGCCTTGACTTGGCTGCAGTGCCAATCTCCCAAGCCAAGGCACTGAGCGCATGCGTACAAGTACAGTCAAGTCTTGTTGCCAATTATACAGCCTTTGGGTTTCAGTGTATGTGCTGGCGAATCGCCAATGGTCGATGCAGCTGAGACGATCGGAAGTTTCCTGCCGCAGGTGTGACCCTGTCGCGGACGGGATACCTACTGGAACAGCCCATTCAAGTCCTCAAGGGTCACCGTTTCGGGAGGCAAGGGTGATTTGAGTGAGGACCGTAAAGTAAAAGCCGAGATCTGCAGAGCCAATAGAAACCCCGAGAAATACAGGGCAAGGGGTCGTTGGGGTCGTTGAATCGGGGGTCTCGAGGCCAAGGTGACGGCGCGACTTATGAGCAACATTTCAAAAGATGTCGACGGGTGACGAGTCGGAGGTGAGGATTCCGAGAGTAAAGGCGTTTGAACCAAGAGGAAGAGTCTAGTCAGTCGTCATAGTGGCGGCTGTCTCCTTCGCCTAGCGTTGGCAAATTCGTATGCGCGTCGGACGAGTCCAAGAAGCGCAGAGAGAAACGAAAGAACATGGCGCTGATGGCGCCGGCATGTTTTTGCATCGCCACGACCATCGAATGGAGTGGAGAATCGGGATTGGGACCATTGCGGCCTCCGTCGCGACGGCGCCCGAGGAAACCGCCGTATCATGGTCGGCACCCACGGAATGTCATCTGCCCAGTCGAACCAGTCTCGCAAGTGATATGGTTTGTCCGGCGTCGTGGCCGCCATATGCCAAGAGCATCTAAGCCCTCTAGGCTGGTCAAAAGTGTAAGCAAAACTGGCACGGTTGGGGCAAGTACCTTTGTAGGTCCCATCCCTATGATGCCAGCCACTCTATGGGACGAGAGGCCCGCTCGTGTTCGTAAACATCCAAGAGTGAGAAGTCGACTGGCCACAACGAGAATGTCGCGTCGGCTCGGACGGGGTAGCATTGAATGAGTATTGTGATATCAATGAAGGCCACGTGTTTAGGCATTGGCGAGGTTTTGTGATGCCGTATTGCCGATGAATCCGGGCCGAAGTACGGACCAAGACGGAAGCGCTCTGCATCCCAGAGCGACGAGAGGAGAACGCAACCACGGTTGGCTCATGGAGACGACGTCAAGTCGGAGAAGGACCATAGGAGGCACGAGGTCCAGAAGCGTGTGAGTGCGTTGTGAGTTGATCGCAGGCATGAGTACCGTTCAGCCCTGGCGTTCGTGCCTTTCTAGAGGTCAGATCTCGAACCCGCTAGGTCAGATTACTGAGATCCAACTGGAGGCAGTAGTAAGACATACCCTGTAGTGTTGTCGGGCTTGATCGTAACATCGCCTGGTGGTCTACTCAGGTGACGCTACAGCCTTGGCAGAACTGGACGTCCATCAACAGCGTTTCATTGCGCAATCTTGTGTCCTTGGCTCTCGGACACAGCACAGGAGAGCGGTGGGCGCAAACGGCAGCAGTTGCAAGTCGAACCAGCGTCAAGGAGTGAGTGAAGCCGCCGACAAGGCCCTTGGCAAAGTCAGAAAGTGACAGGATCGACTGTTGCTCCTGGCCCACAGCCAAGACCCAAGCCACGCTGTGCTGACCAACGAGAAGCATTCTTTGCGGCGCTTTATGTGGGACAGCGACGACATATCAGCCACTGGTGAAGGAGGAAACCTCAGCAATTGGGATTGGGACGGCACTCAGGTACTCAGGTACCGCAGTCCATCCCCCCCTTTTTTTTTCTGGGACCATTTCGTCCCTTCTCCTTTTCCCTTCCTTTCCAGGCTCGTCACGAAACGAGCTCCCTCAGGCGCCTTCTCAAACACTTGGTGGTGGGGGTGGGGGGTTAGGGGGTGGTGGTTTGTCTTGGTACCTCTAGACGCTTTGCAATGTTCCCTCCCTGTCTGTCCAGCCAGCTGTCCCTAGAGTCCCTTTTGCCAACGGTGAGAGAGGCTCCATCAACTCAAGGATTGAAGAGGCTCTACGTAAACTTTGAACCAGCTCTCCACAGCGAGCTAAATAGTGCACCATACGTCAGTGAGGAGGACCAGCATGTCCTTTGCAACGCTTCGTGCTCGCGCTCGTGCAGCGCCGCCCATCTTTTGATGCTTTGCGCCGCCGTCAATCGTCTGCAAATCGCCCCATCCATAGAGGTTCGCGCGCAAGTACGGGACGAACGAGCCCTGCCGTGACCAAAAGGCAATTTGACATGTTGCTGCGCGTTGCCGTTGCCATTCGATGCGACTGCTCAGAGCTAGCACCTTGCAATAGGTATCCTGTTTCTACTGTACGTATCTTTTTATTTATAAAGATGGAGTCTGTACGTCGCTATGTGTGCGCGTCTGTCCTTAGGTTATCCAGGGACATCCCCCCCTTCGTGTTCCCTTGTGCTCTTCGCCCTGAATTGCCGCCGCCGTCGCGCAGCACTGCCCGCACTGCCACGCGACTGCTTACTACTTTCGTCACCTCCTTGCTTGTCTCAAAGTATTAGTCCAGTGCCATTGCCAGCCAGCCCAACCAGCCTCATTCTCGCCTCCTGTGCACACTGCAGCTCCATTTCTTCTGCATCCCGACTCCCGTGTCTGCCGCACCTTGCCTGTCTTCTTTTTCCAGCTGCACATCCACAGCTTGCCCCTCGATCACCCAACGCTTGCCGAACGAATTCCATCTTCTCGTCCATCCATACCTGCCTGACTTGCCAATTGTGTCTTCTGGTAAAAACATCAGGCTATTTACACACGCAGCATCCACACATCAAACAGACTGAATGCCGGCTCCTTGTCCGTTTCTGCCTCCACCACACCACCACGCGGGCTAGCCGTCAAACTACCGGTACACTCAACCACTCTCTTTCTCTCTCGGTGCCCGGAAACTTTTTTTCTTTTTGTCTGATGTTTTCTTCGCATCTCGACTCAGACACTTGCTCGCCTCCCACCTAGGCTTCGGTATATTCACCATACCACACACACACACACACACACACACACACTCGTGCCTTACCTTACTCAGGATACCTGCCCATTACGTACCTACTACCTAGACCTCAATCGTCCACCCTCATCCCCCTAGCCGGCCACTAACGCATCCCGCGCGCCTGTGCCTTCATCATCTGTGTGCGGATCCCCTCCCCATTCCCACCCCCGTAACGCTAAAACTCTCTTTCTCCTTCTACTTCCTTTACCTCTCTCGTTCGTTCACCTGAAGTAGCTTGGAGCCACCCTTCTCCCGGATGACCTCCTACTTCTTGTCTTCCCTCTCCCTCTTTCATATCTCCTCCCCTCATGTCCTCATCCATACCTCTCGCAAACCTGTCGCCCTCGTCGAGGCCCTCGTACTACAAGATGCCCGAATCACCAGCGTCCTACGCTAGGCGCTCTACACGTTCGCGCCGCGGTCACTGGACGCCCTCCCTAATCGGCTCCTACGTCTTCGACTGGTTCATTCTCGCCGTTGTTGGAGGCATTTCGATTGTGTTGGGTATCGTCGAGCCGAACAAGCGGCCCTTTTCCGTTCTCGACCCTAATATCTCGTAAGACTGACTCCCTCATCGTGCATCTAATACGCCTTGTCACTAACATCATCTCGCAGCTTCCCCTTCACCGAGCATGAGACGGTGCCTATGTGGCTGGCCGCCATCATTGCAGTCGCCATCCCCATCATCATCATCGCCCTCGTATGCCTGCTCCTTGTTCCCGGAAATACGGTTCCCAAGGGAACCCCCAAGTCGCTCATCTGGAAACGTAAGCTGTGGGAGTTGCATGTTGGCTGGCTCGGCCTTGCTCTCGCCCACGTCGGCGCATTCTTCATCACGAACGGCATGAAGAACATGTTTGGAAAGCCCAGGCCCGATCTTCTCTCCCGATGCCAGCCCGACTTGTCCAACATTCAGGACTATATTGTTGGCGGCACCAGCGCCAGCATAGCTGGCTTGACCGGCGCAACTGGCTTCGGTCAGCTCGTCTCTGCAAACATTTGCAAGAACACCGACACGCACACACTTAACGACGGCTTCCGCAGCTATCCATCCGGTCATTCGAGCTCTGCCGCCGCCGGCTTGATCTATCTGTCTCTTTTCCTCGCCAGCAAGTTCGCCGTTACTATGCCTTTCGTGGCTTCGGACAACGGCGCAGAGTCTCATTCGGCCTTCCCCTCTCGTCTACAAAAGTCCGGCGCCGATTACGAAGAAGTAGTGTCTGGTGAAGGTGGCTCTCTGAACCCCGACTCGGCAGGCGCTGCCAGGAACTTGGCTGAGCACAACAAGATCGTGACAGCCGTCCGTCGTCAGGCCGCCGCCCCTCCAATATACCTCCTGACTATCGTGGTCATCCCATGGTTCGCATCGATCTTCATTGCTGGCTCTCGCTGGTTCGACTTCCGCCATCACGGTTTCGACATTCTCTTCGGCTACATGATTGGCATCTTCACCTCTATCTTCGCATTCCGCTACTACCATCTTCCAATTCGCCAGGGTGCTGGCTGGGCCTGGGGCCCTCGGAGCCATGATAAGGCTTGGTGGTCTGGTGTTGGGTCGTATAGTTATGCGACTGAGAAGGGCGACTTTGTCAGAGCAGGAGATGAGGAGGAAGCATACATGAGCAGGCCGGCCTTGGGTCAAGCATCTTCAACTCAGTATATCAGTAAGGCCGGCTCCAACGAAGGGCCGGAGCCTGAAAGCCGCTTCTAATGACCTTGTCATGGTTATGGTGTGTCACGTCAGTATCCATTGCATTTTCACACTGGGCACATTGGGCATGAATGGAGTTTTACGGTATACCACCCGCCTGGAAAAAGACCGGCGGCCTAGGGCAATGTTGCTTTTTCTTTTTTTCGGGAGGGGGCCAGGCATGGCATACAGATACGACTGTTACGGAATAGAATTGTGGTTATGACTACCCGTCTTGTTGCCTTGAACTCTGTCCATCGTGAAAAGGACTTCTATCATAGGTGTGATTGGCTCATTACAAGAGTGTCGTACTTGTAATGACACGTGTGGCGTTCATTTGGCGACTCGAATAAACCACAGCATGCATGCATGCCAAACTGATCAGCTAACCTCATTTCATTGCAAATCGTAGGAATGCGATTAAGCACGTGAATAGATCGTGAAAGCCATCATATCATTATTCCGGAGGCCATAGTCTACCAAAGCAAGAGAAGATCAAACCAAGAAAAGCGAGGTGAACCGGTAAGCCGTCACCGAGCCTATTGAATGGCAATAACAGGGCACGAGACGTCCACCTCCCTTTGCAAGCTCACCAGAGTGCAATATCAGTAGGCCCTATAGCCACCATGTCCAGTAAGTAGTGGCACGCTCAGAAAAAGCGCCGCGCATTCCGTAGGCCATATATCACCCGGCCCCTTCACGCCATGGCGATGCCCTCGTCGGCGCCTGCTGGGCGTGTGGTATCTATGCCCTCGAATTCGACGTCGTCCTCCTCCTCAAGCACGTCCTCGTCGCGGAAACCGCTGTCGACCTCCATCTTGCGCAGGCGCCGACGCATCGTGTCTTTTTTCTGGTGTTGCCACCGGATGAGGGCGGCCGGGGCGTGGACCTTGAAGCCGTAGACGCGCGGGACGTAACGCTCGGCGCTCTTGGTGGGGATGAGAGCCGGGTAGGCCTGGAAGATGATGTTGTGGAACGAGGTGCCGAAGTAGGCACCATCGATGGCCGCGTGGCGCGACGACTTTGGGTTGTAGATATCCTCACAGCGGGCGCAGTAGAGCTTGACGGGCTTCATGTTGGGGATGTCGGCGAGACCCATGGGCAGCAGAGGATGCGAGTGGCACATGACGCGGGGACATTTCCCAAAGTCGGCCTTCTTGTACTTTTCGAGCTGTAGTGTGCATGTCAGCCATGCTGTTCGCTCGAGACCCCATTGCTCTCTCTCTCTCCACCTTGCCTATGTAGACCTGAAGAGAAAGAGACACAACTAAGAAATGTGTAACATACCATCTTTGCAAGGCCTCTTGTCGTGACAATGAAGCGGGCGTGTACAAGACCGTACAGGTGTCTCGCGGACTTCTCGATCGTCTCCCTCATCTCATCATCGCAGTCCAGGTCGAAGACGTCGGTGATGAGGTCTAGCGCATACTGGTAGTATTGTACTTCCGTGTTCAACCCAGTCAAGTTGAATCGGTCCGTGAGGTAATCTTCGTCGATCTCGCAGAAGTATTCGTTGCCCCGAGAGGAAATAAACTAGACGGACGAGTTGGTTAGCAGGTACTTCTCCAGCGGTTGTTGGCAATCTGCGGCGATATTTGAGCCCCAATGAATATTGCGCGTGAGCGCGAAAGCGACAGCGTCGCTTCCTGCCCAGCCTCTCCACCCACTGGGAAGCCCCCTTCGCGCGCAGATTGCCGTCGGAATCCCGTTTCACGGATACACAGATCACTCACCCAGTCTCGCCAGTAGCTCGTGTAATCACTATCCGACTCGCTGACGAAGTCATCCATCATGGCAGAAGAAGGTGCGACTCGTGCCCGTGACGAGTCCTCAGATCATGGCCCAGGTCCGCCAAACGTTTCCGAGATCCACGAGAGCTATACACGCAGCGCTCGGTGTCTTTTCTTTGTCGTGGTGCAATAATATGCCCGAGTGGTCGATGGACGTTGGAGTGACGGGCCGGTAATAAATGTCTTCTTTTGTCGTTGGTGGTAGTTGATGCCGAATCTCTGCGCTCATCTGCAGGGCAGAAAGTGGTTGGCGGGGCTGTGGTGCGCCTGGCTGGCCAGGCCAGGGAGGGGGCGGGGGTTCGAGGAGGGTACGTACCTGCCTTTGTCCCTCCCAATCCTACAAGGTACACTAAATAGCACTGCATGAATAAATCCGCCATAGACACAATAAGCCTTGTACTCTGCACGAACAGTTTCAACAATCTGGATAGTATCTTGAAGATCGACCGCAAATTACATTGACTGTAGTTGTCTTTCCCGTCACGAAGTATTCATAACGTTCACTAGGGAATTATATAACCTTTCTTTTTCTTACACATGTCCACTTCCGCCTATATGTCAAGAAGCAAATGTGACTCAAGTCGAAGAACGAATTGTGTTTCTTTTGCTCACTATCATGACATCTAGCGACCATCCGAACTGAAGCTCGCAGCGTCGCTAACAGACTGGCCTTCTGACTCCATGTCGTCGCTCTGTTCTGCGTATTTTAGGCCCAGACCATTGACGCCCCTGCTATTCGGCACACCAAGCCGACTCATTATTCCAGTTTGGTCCTCGTTGCTCTTCAGTGTGATGTTCACCCCTTCCATAGCCTCGCGTAGTGTGTCGCCCGTCTCGTCCATGGCTGCTAAGAACCGTGCCAATTCCTTGCATAATTCCCAGTCGCCCTCCTTCATCGCCCTTGACAGCAATCGCACAGTTTGCTCCGAAGCAGATCCCAACTCGTCTAGTGTGTGTAAGATGATGAGATAGCCACCGGCAGTCTTGAGAGACCCTCGCTGAAGCGACTCTTCAAACAGCTCTTGCACCGGTGGGAGGTATGCAAACAGCGTCCGCCACTGTCTCACCTCTGTTTTCCTTGTACACTGTACCACAATATCCAGATACTGCTTGAAAGAAGACAGCAATGACAAAACCTTTGGTAGGATTGCCTCCTCCGGGCTTGGGCCAGAATCCACTTCGTCATCCAGAACCTTGTGAAGCAAGATTTCCAGCGCATGCGCAAAATACTCCAGGCTTTGATAGTGTTCTGATAGCTTGACCGCGTCTACAGTCCTGCCCTCAGTAAGAAGAAAGCGCAATACATCGGGCAAGAACAGATGTGTCTGTTGAGCGTTGTTAGCAATATTCTCATGTTCGAGAAAATGGCGAACCTACCCTGATAGCGAAGCGGAAAAATGAGAAACTGATGTCCCGCCTCTGTACAAGATCGGCTTCTACCCCGAGAATTATGCCCTTGCTAAGGAGTGTTGAAAGAGGATAGAAGTCTAGAGGGACTGATACTGTCTTCGGCAAATCGCGTTGCATCTCGGTCGATGCTGCTCGCAACACCTCTTGTATGTCTGGCCACAGCTTGAATTCCTGGCCATCGAATACCCATAGGGAGTTCCGCAAAGTGACGTCTGCTCCCGTTGACAGAGACTCTTCTGCTTGCGTAGCTATCGCGTCGAAATGCGGCTGGTCCCTCATGCTAACATGAAATTCCACGTTTTGGGCGATGACTTTCATGTCATACTTCAGATTCCCCTCGCTGTTGAACGACGGCTGAAGTAATACTAGTTTGGCATCAACTAAGAACAAGACTGACGCAACAGCGACATCCTGTGACGGATCACCGTCAACGAGTTGGTTATCCGGCAAAATCCAGCTCAGCCCACGAACTCTAGCGGGTGACCGCACTATGCCATGGAACGCAATTTGCCCAAGCTGAACCAGTCTAATCGAACCGCCGGTAGGCGCAAAAATGAAGTGGTAAAGGAGGTTTTCGTACGTGTATACAAGCAGTGAGTCTTCCCCCGATGTAGTCACTAGCACCACCGGTGCTGGTAATAGCTGAGTGTGTAGTACTTGAGAGTTGTCGAGGACCGTCTCTCTAGAATAGAGGCGAAGTTCATGCGTCTTGTTGGCCTCCACTGCAGCCACAAGGATGTGCTGATACCAACACATGCTGCCTCTGACCTGGAACTCGTTTTCCATGGCTTCGTTGGCAAACGTCTTCCAACGGCCACTGTTGACACTGTAGTGAGCCAAACCTCGGCGTCCAGCCACCGCGACATATCGCCCGTCTGGTGAAATCACGGTATGCCGGATCGGCCATTGTTGAAGAAGGTAGGTCGAAGGTACTTTTGTCGTATGCCACAAATGAGGCTCTGCAGAGATACTCGCCAGATCCGGCAGATCATACCCGCGGTATACCATGACATTGGTGCTCGTCTGCAATACCGTGCGCATGAGATTTGCCGCGTTGTAGTTGCCGACCACTGCACTCCTGGCCATTTCCAGAACCCAGATTGCCTCGTGCTGACGATGCGTGATGAGTACTTCTGAGCCACTTCCAAGCCAGACAGCATCCCCTACGCCAGCGATCCAGTTCTCACCGTTGGCCTTAATGATCGCATCATGCGCGCCAAAACTATGGCTGCCAGGCTTTCCATAGACACTCCAGGTAGCCCAGCCGTTTTCAAAGCCAGCGAATAGACAGTAGCCGTCAGGGGAGTAGCTCAAAGTGGTAATTGAGCCAGAAACTGTCGTCGACACCGGAGTAGTGTGCGTGTGCGAGGGCGGGATATTGCCTGCATAGTCTCGAGCGGAATAGACACGGATGCAGCCATCCGCGCATCCAACAGCGATCAAAGAAAATCTTGCATTAATAACAGCTCTTTTGGCAGCTTCTTCCGGTTTCATCGGGGCGTGGAAACAGTAACCCTTGAATAGCTTCTTGGGGTCCACACCTTCTGAATTTCCTTGAGACTGGTCGCGCGGATGTAGACGCTGGACTGCATAAACCTTGCCGTCACTGGTGGTCCAAGTTGACAGGTTCATAGGTCGATCATGGGTCATCTGAACGACGGTGATCTTCTTCTCCAGCCACCCCATTCGACTAATAATCTCCGTCTTAGTCTGATTGCCGCTTTGGTCCGGAGTCCAGCGTATGCACTGAATAGCTGCTGGTTTGCGCGTGGCCACAACCAGCTCGTCATCCAGTGCCAGAGCGCTCTCTATGCCGGCATCGACTTTGATAACCATTCTGAAGCGAACGCTCACGTCACGCACCCCTTGGCCTTCACCAGGACCCCAAAGATACTGATCGGGAGCTGTACTGCCGGGCCCACCGTGGTGGTTTTGGCGACGTCGCTGAATATTCGCGTAACTCGGGAAGTAAGGCTTGTAGACTTGGGCCTCAGAGTCGGTCGCCAAAGAATATGTGATGAGATAGCCCAGTGTTGTTCGAACCACAAAGATGGCAGAGTCGGGGCGCAGTAGAAGATCCACATTTTCGCCATAAGTTGACAGGGACGATTCTGAGCGGACAACCACGGCTAGGATGACCGTAGGCTTGGAGGGTATAAGCAAGATTCGCTGACAAGAGATCGTATTTGGCACGAGAACTGACCTTGGCTTGCCATATCGTCATTGATGTCGAGGTTATCACGGCAAAGAGATGACCGGGCCGGGAGATGCGCAGCGCAAGTACCGGATCTTTTAGGGGAATGTTGACGTTGAGCCGAGGTGACGGACGAGTTGTTTCTGAGCCGTGGGCATCGTCATGGTCGACAGATTGAATGGCAGGCGTGACTGGTGTAAGAGGAGTGGCGACCTCTATGTCGTCGTGTTGTTGGGAATGTTGCGACTGTGCATTGAGGTATGAAGAGGGCTCATCGGTTGGTCGGTTGTCGAATGGATTGGGCAGGCCATCGTGAGAGACGACGAGGTTGAACGCAGGACCAGACCTGCTACTCGTTGCGAAGATTCTGGGGGTTCCGATGGGCCAATACATCTCGGTAAGACCCTATATCGTTGGCCAACGAGGACGGCTCGATGCGGTGGTGCCGTCGCAATGGCAGTCTGTCGTCGGTTGCAGACGGGAGGCTCGTCGAGTCGGCAAGTGGATATCCTTTGTCGTCGGGCCGGGCAATGGTTTGGTCATGGCCACTGGTGAACTTCAAACAAGAAACGTCATGTTCTTTACTGATTGTGGCCCATTGATAAACCCCAGCATGCGGTGTGGAGTAGGGGGAGCGGCCGGTCGAGGGAAATTGGTGAAGCTGGTTGACAACCTGGGATGAGCATCATGGCCCCGAGGAGCTTCTGGCCGACGGGGAGCTTGGGAAGTTGTTAGCGTTTAGCGGATGACCCAATGCTACTGCCCGCTTCAGAGATTCCACCTGAAAGTACCCGCCTCACCAGTCGCTGGCACTCGTGGAACTCCAATCAGTGCCTGAGACCTGTGACCCTGAGGCAGGCATCCTAATCTCGCCCCAGTCAGACCAACCTACCCGACTCAACTTATGTAATCATCTGCACAGGGCACCTTCTTCCACAGGAACAACAGCCAAAGGACCCCACCAAACCCACCAAACGCGTCCACGTCCACGTCTGCGTCCGTCCCGTCTACCGCGGTGCAGCGTCTTTGTTCAAGCTTGGAAACAGCATAGACCCGTGACGACTGACCGGCATAGAGAAGCAGTATCCACCTAAAGGTGCCCTCTTTCCTCTCCGTCACATAAAACATTCGGCAACGGATCGTAGTTAAGCATAGAGGTTGGTGCAGATTTACATGAGCTTGTTTCTAATTGGACAAGTACCCAACATTCACCTCGAAAGCCGTGGATATACTTGGGTTCTTTGTCTTTTCTTCGGAGTCGGCCGAGTCGCAGTGTCGTTCAAACTAACTGACGAACTACTCTCCAACGAGTAGCTGCCACCAAGTAGCCCCTTTGCGCATCATCGTCTGAAGCCGAACAGTCGAGATCATACATCAATACGGGCCAATTACGAAGTCATCTGGTCCAGCCACAGTCATCAATATACGCTCCATCTTCCCCGGCTCTACTTGAGCTCACGCCGCCGCAACGACGGACACCCATCAACTAGCATTATGCCACCTCCTCGTACACGACTTAGCCTCTCCAAAGAGAGGTTCCCTGCCTACTTGGCCAATCTCAAGAGTCAGCCTTACCATGATCCAAGCTCGAGTTCTAGAGGACAGACGTATGCTACCACTACCCTATGAAGAGAAAACTCAAGGCGAGAGTCCTGATCATCAGCACAGCATACGATCGATTGCCTGGAACCCTTTGGGAACGCTGGTTGCGACGGGATCATCGGACAAAACCCTGCGTGTCTGTACGTAGCATTATGTGTTTTCATCAAGATGCATGAAGCGGCGAAACTGACTCTCTCTGTCTATGTAGGGAACCCGGAGAAGCCAAATGTACGTTTTTCGACCGACCTGAAGGGCCATTTGGCTGCCATTGAAAAGGTTGCTTTCAACCCAGTCAAGGATGCCGAGCTGTGCAGTGTCAGCAACGATGGAGTCGTCAAGTTTTGGGACGTTCGATCGAAGACCTGCACCAATGAGATCAAAGGCTTGGGAGACGCATTCACTCTCGTATGGGCACCCGACGGACAAACCCTGGTGGTTGGAAATAAGGTTTGTCGTGTCTTTTTTCCTGATATCGTAGGGTCCGATGCTCACACTTGGTTCAGGCGGACAACATCTTTGTACTGTCGCCGACCCGGTCGACACCCATCGCTTCGCATCAACAGCCCAGCCAGACAAACCAGATTGCATTCTGTTGGAGCGGCGAGAAGATATTCCTCACGACCGGGGAGGGCAGAACCCGGATCTTGACTTATCCAGACTTCAAACCTGCTTTTCAGTTCAACGTTGAAAATGAGTCCAAGGAGTTCACTCTCAACGGTCACACTTCATCTTGCCTATCAGTCGAGCTGCAGCCAACAGGACGCTATCTTGCTACCGGTGGTTCTGACTCCATCATTTCTCTGTGGGACACGACAGATTGGATTTGCCAACGGACGATTACTAGCATGATCGGTCCAGTACGGTCTATCAGTGGGTTTTCGACAGCTTTTTGGTTGCCCACAGAGTTCTGACTGCGGACTAGGTTTCACGTTCGACGGCAACTTCTTGGTAGGAGGCAGCGACGAAGGTGAGCAGAACAGCGTCGTCCTGTGGAGAAGAGATTGAAGCAACTAACTGTTTGTCGCTAGGCTCTGGACTGGACATTCGACATACTGAGTCAGGAGACCATGTCCATACCTTCAAGACAGCTGGGCCTTGTCCAGTTGTGTCTTGGGCGCCGACAAAGTACTGTCTAGCTTACAGCGATTTGGGCATTCTTCGCATCATCGGGGTGGATGCTGAGAAGAAGTAGCCCTACGCAATGTAACCGTCACCCAGCCCTTCGGAAGTGTTTGTTCAATGAACGATTAGAATCTGGCCAGGAGTCGGCAAGTGACCTCTTGATGGACCTGGTTGCAACGAGAGGCTGAAAACGCTTCTCTCGCTACATGGCCCAGACCTTCACTTGTTGGTATTGTGGATCATTCAACACTTGAAGTTCGAAAAAAGCTAACGATGTTTCCAGATAGGGGTGGTATGAGACGGTGGCCATGGTTTGGCAACAAGGATGGGATCGAAAAAGCCAAGAATGTGGACGCAAAGTCAGCGCGGCCCAACTTGAAGCCGAGTGATGTGAGTGAGCAGGCGAGGGTGTGACCTGGCGGCTGGTTGTCAACGATACCTGTGCCAGGCTATGTTATTTTCACAAGATGCTCGACGTGGATAGATGGCAGCATCAACATTGAACACCATGTTTTGATGAAGGAACGAGTGATCTTTGTCTCCAGTCGCCATCACAAGTGATGTCGATGATGCACTCGGAATATGTCCAATGGGCGGACGAGGAGTAGGGCAAACAGCCTTCAGCCTCGGGTACCCTTAGCGGGAGAAGGGAGCAGATGGAACTTCTTGTACATAAGATTTGTCGAGGGAAGATTTGTGAGGGGTGTGAGAGTGGTGTGTGTGGCTTGCATACGATGTACACGTAGCAGGATGGGACCAAACGGGATGGATGCGTCCATTCAGCGAAGGCAGCGGCCGGGGGCCGTGGACAGCCATACCAGGTTGATGGGCTTGGGTGGCCGTTGCACCTAGCGCAGTGTGGCTGTGGTGCATGAAGGAGTGAATGGGAGATGCGTGTTCAGACGTTTGCCTAGGACCTCAATACTACCATCGCATTTCTGCCCCGGGCCTTTCCACGCGTGCGATGATCAACTTTGGGGCATTCTGCAATGTCAGCAATGCCATCACGTTGACATGTCGGACGCCAAAAAAGTTGGGATAAGGGAGCATTAGGGTATGAGTCGTAACATACTTGACAATAAGCAGAAGGCATTCAATATGAGCGGAAAAGTTGTCGATGTGCTCTGTGTAAGTCGAGACCGGGAGTCATCCCTGAGTGGCTTCAGGTAACCGCTACGACGAGCCGGGAACAGGCAGGTCAGAATGCACTGGCGCAAAATAAAGTTTCTCAAGCGTGTGAGCATGTATGGCCCAGGAGAAGCTTCAACTAGTGGGCGGTAGATGCCCCTCCTTTCTAATAAATAAATGAAAGTCATTTCTTGGGGCGTTGTACTGGCGGGAGAACATCCGTACTCTGCGTATCGACTTGTGAAAGGCAGCATGTGCTTGATTGGACTGGCGGTAGGCACGGACGAGAGCCAAGGAGAAGTCCAGTATTAGATCAGATGTGCTGGTGAGTGAAAGACGTTGAGAAGCGGGGTGCAACGGGCTCATGGGCGACTCCGACAACCCACTTACTGGTGCCGCTAAGAATGGCAGCGGCCCAATTCCAGTTGTCAAAAGTTCGTGAGGCCACACAGGCAGCGTCTAGAGTCAAGCACCAAAGGCCATACGCCGGGGGGGGGGTGGCGCGGGGGCTTTCGCCCTCGTCCAGTGTGGTGCGACACTGACCGGTCTTCGCTTAGAAGGCAGGGTCTTCCATTGTCAGCAGCCGCCTTACGGAGTGGCAGAGCAGGCAGGTACAGTACTTCTCTTCCAAGTCCAGGAGGGAAGAAAGGGGGGTGGACGGATGGTAAGGTACCTTCCTCACATGAGATTCATGTATGCCTATCCGCAGGTTATCTGCCGTGTGCCACGCTGGGGATCCATGTCGATACTCTGTTATTAATCATATTCTCGGCTGCAAAGGGAATGGCGGCTAAGTCTATGCCGCTAGTGCTGTACCTGTACCACTCTCCATCTCGCCCATCCCATCCCATCCCGGATAGTCCCCAGCACCTGGTACTGATTCCACTGCGCTGCGCTTTGCTGCATTTGCACGGTACTTTGCTTGTGTTGTCGTGCTGGGTACCCGTCCACTTCCATTCTGTGTCTTCTCAATCCCAATCCTTTCCCGTTCACATCTTCTAGCTTTACTTGCCGTCACCCTCTTCTCCACCGCGCCAGACCGAATATCCGTCTCCTGGCGCCCCCCATTCTTCGTCCTTTCCGCCCTTGAGTGACTGCCTGGCCGACAAATACACTTTCTTCTTCGACTCGGCGACACGTACAACAACACAAAGACCCTCAACACACTTCCCCCGACGACTGCTCAATCTCGAGGGCCGCATGACGTTCAACACCCTTTGCGACGCCGAGCAGCCCCTCCTCCTGTAAGCGACCGCTGTAACTTTGCCCGCTGCGACACTTCCCGCAGTCCGCCCTGCCCAAGAAGAGGCTCGCGGCTCGCTCTTCGACCTCCGACAATAGTAACCCCGTCATCTCTGCGTCCTCTTGCAAACCTTGTACGCCATCAACCCTTTTGATCACCCACTCTCGACTCGTACTTGAAATCATTACAGACCCGACATCATCTGTCAATTTTAATATGTCGTCAAGTACACCCACGCCGCCAGATACGAACGGCGCCAGCTCCCATAAGCGGGCCCGAAGCCCAGGCACCGATTCCAACGGCAGAGAAGCCGCCGCCGACAACAACAGTGTACCCAAGCCGAAGCGCCTAGCATGCATGATCTGCCGGAAGCGCAAGTTGAAGTGCGACGGTGTCAGGCCGAGTTGCAGCACATGCGCCAGGCTGGGCCATTCTTGCGCGTACGATGAAGTTCGCAGGAAAAGCGGCCCCAAGCGGGGATATGTCAAGGCTCTCGAGGAACGATTGAGTGAGCACTCCCATCTTGCGCCTTGCTCTTCTCTACTTTGCGCTGTTACCAAGCCTGCTCGTCCAATCTCTTCTCTCCCGTGCCTCCTGACTGACTGAACGTGTTTGCGCCCCTCCGTAGAACAGGTTGAAACGCTTCTCAAGACTCAAGACCCTCCAGCGGCACCTGCCGACCCGTCTAGAAACACACCTCAAAGCCTAGATGCCGCTGCTCCGAACCGCAACCACAACGCTGCTGCCCCAACGAGCTACAGCATTCCTAACCCCTCTACTCTCGGTCTCGGCGCCGACCATGATGTGGACCGATGGCGCTTCAACGGCGAATCTTCTCCCCAGACTCAGAATGTTGCTGCTCCGCCCATGGAAGACTTCAACTTCAACTCCAATATGTCAATGGGCATGAACAATGCTGGAAGCAACTTTACTTGGGAGATGATTGGACTGGGCCTTGAGGAGCCTCTCCCGCCCCAGGAAACAATCGATGAGCTGTTAGTGTTGAGAACATGCTGTATGTCATCTCGGACTAACATGCCCTTTGCAGCCATCAAATCTATTTCGAAAAGGTCCACCCCTCAGTGCCTATGATTCATAAATACAGATATCTAGCAGCCATGAACCTGTAGGATGACCATTACCCCAAAGCACTGCCCACGTTGGGTCGCACCTGGCGCATTAGCACGCCCACTAACACGCTTTACAGGGCCCCGAACCAACGTCCCCCAGTTGCGCTCAGGTACGCCATATGGACCCTGGCATGCTCCATCACAGAAAAGTACCTCGACCTCAAGGATCTCTTCTACCAAAGAGCCCGTAAATACGTCGAGGGAGACTACATCAAAGGTTATGGTGAGCATATGATTTCAGTAGCTCATGCTCAGACGCATGTGCTACTGGCCTCATACGAGTTCAAAATGATGTACTTCCCTCGAGCTTGGATGAATACCGGGTCTGCTGTGCGCCTCTGTCAAATGTGAGTCAATGACTGCTACACGCCGGGGTTCTGGAGGCGCAGCTAAATCTTGCCAGGATGGGTTTACACCGACTCGATGGAGCTGGCCTAGACGTAAAGCAGTGTCTCCCACCACCGAGAGATTGGACCGAGCGCGAGGAGAGGCGGCGTACCTTTTGGATGGCTTTTTGCGAGGACCGTTATGCAAGCATCGGAACCGGGTGGCCGATGACTGTCGATGAGAAGGACATTATGACGAACTTGCCTTGTTCAGAAGAGGCGTTTGAAATGAGCCGGCCTGAGCAGACGCAGTCTTTGCAGGACTGTATGAGCCCGTCTGGAGCTGGCAAGCTCTCTTCGTTCGGCGGCATCGTGCTTATGGCTTGCCTCTTCGGCCGAAACCTGATCCATCTGCATCGGCCCGACGTCGACGACCGAGATCACGACCTTAACGGCGAGTTCTGGAAGCGACATCGCAACATGGACAACATCCTGCTCAACACGTCCCTCTGCCTACCTTCGTACCTCAAGCTACCAATTGGCCTTGGCAACCCCAATATTGTCTTTACCAATATGAGCATTCACACGTCGACAATATGCCTCCACCAAGCTGCTATTTTCAAAGCCGACAAGAACAGACTACCTTCGTCAGTCAGCGCGGAAAGCAAGGTGCGATGTATTACGGCAGCCAACGAGATTGCGAGCATCATGAGGATGATCTCACATTTGGACCTTTCAGCAGTACGTTGATTTACGCGTTCAAGACCACTGCAGCTACTAATATTTTCCAGATGAACCCGTTCATATCCTTTTGTCTATATGTAGCCGCGAGAGTGTTCGTCCAGTATCTCAAAAGCCGCCCCGAAGACAGCCAAACGGCCGACTCGCTCAGATTCCTTCTCTCTGCCATGAATGCGCTCAAGAGAAGGAACCCCCTTACAGAATCTTTCCTCGTCCAACTGGATGTGGATTTGGAAGCTCTTGCGATGAGAATACCAAAACTCAAGGCAGCATTCCCACGAAGTGGTGAAAGCGTACGTATCCTCCGTCACGCTGACCTGCATCTGATCTGACTTGTTTATAGCCGGGCTCGAACGCTGGCGGAAGTAAGGGTCCCGTTTGTGACGACCCCGATGGTGTACAGGGCATCATGTCGTACCGCAACGAATGCCACTTCATGAAGACCGCGGGCGATGACGGCAACCTCGCCACAGCCCCAAATATTGTTGAGCCTGAACAAACCAGCGATGGTGCCCCGAACTCTGCATCGACTGGCTTTGGGGGCCAGGGTTGGCTGTCAGTGGAACACGGCATGCCATACGGTGCGAGCAATACACATAGTCTTCCTATGCACGGAAGTGCGTTGACGCCGAGCTCTAGCTCCATGTACGACAAGTCTGGGTCGAGTAGCGGGCGCATGACGGGGCTTGGACAGAGCGAAAGCAGTGGGGACAACAACATGTCGGGATCGCCCGACGGCGACAACTCCAATCGACCGACGCCGAACTCGAGTTCGTCAGAGCAGCGAGTGAACATGACGACGGGGGGTCTCGAGGGGTCCGGTCAGAACTCGTTCAACGCCAGCCCAGTGACAGCGCAACAGAGCATGAACCCACGGGGCAGCACAGACGGAAACGCAAATTATTTCAATGAAGCGGGTGCGTTCGATATTCGGACCGGGCTGACACCGAACCCGAGGTTTTCAATGCCTGAAACACCGGGGGCAGACTTTGGAATGCCGAGTGGCTGGAGTGACCTACAAGGGCAGGCTGGCATGACGCCTGGGGCTGAGGGAGTATTGCGATCACTGATGAACATGGGCCCGATGGACGCCATGGACCTTTCATCGTGGGATGCGGCGAATTGAGCCAGGGAAGGTTTGAATGGTGTATGGAGTTTAGGGATCTGCGGTCAACGAGCCGCATGGGGTGGGCACTTGTCATTGATCTTGAGAAATGTTTCTTCGACTGGCGCTCTACGGCTTTGAACATGTACAACACGCCGGCTGGACAAGCCTTCAGGTGGATATATATGTGAGATTGGGTCATAGAATTTCCATAGGGATTACGAACAAACCACACGACTCTTCTGAACTAGGGATCCGAAGGTTTGCGGCACTTGTTCTGTTAAGCGAGCTGTGCCCTGAACTTATTGCCTTTGCCCGCCCGTACCATCCAGTGTTGAGAGGTTCGTCCAGCAACTGTCACGATGCTACGTACCGCATTTGATGGCCAGAGCTTTCTGGGCCTCGTGGAATGGCCCGTGCACAAGTTGCCGCCTTGCCGCCCTTCGCAGCTCTCCAATGTCGCTGCCAAGCGCAAAACCACCCAACGTCCATCCACTTTTATCCCCCCCGCCCCGGCCACTGCTGGAGAGCCCAGCTGCACCGGCAGCCGTTCGTGGAATGCACGAAGCATTAAAGCAGCAACACAGCACCTCTAACCCCCCATTGCAGCAAATGCCACCGGAGGCTCCGGCGTCGCCCTTTGAAGCCCGTCCAGCCAGCAGCGGCACAGCCGTCTCCTCCTCCCCGCACGGTGGTCCCCACCCTGGCGCACCACAACACCAGCAGCAGCAGCAGGAGTTCGGCGTCCCGCCTCCGCCTGCGCCGCACGACGCTGCCGGTGACGGCACCGTGACCGTAACCCACTTCCGTCCCGGTCCCGGCTCCAACCCCGGTGTTGTGATCGACATGTCCGGAATGGAGGCCCCAGGGCCGGTCTTTCATTCGGATTCCCTGCGGGGCCAGGACGTGCACTTGCCGTCCACTGGGGACGAGCACGACGAGGAGCAGCAGCAGCAGCAGCAGCAGCAGCATGCCGTCGTGCCGGGTGTTATCGGGCCTCTCGGACAACTAGGTCGGCCGGTTCACGCGCAGCAGGCTGGTCATAGCCAGGTCATGCCGGTACCGGATCAACACGGCCAATTCGGCATCTTGACGCCGGGTCCCGCGATCCCTGATCAGAGTGCAGGCGGGATGGAGGAGTCGCTCATTGGGCCCAGCGGCTTTATCCCCATAGACGGCACTACCGCCCCCGGCTGGAGGCCACACGGCAGTCTCCTCAGCAGCAAATGGGTCATAGACCCTCCGAATCTCGAGGAGTGGCGCCAGAAGCTGTTTGATGCAGACGGCCTCATCATTCTTACCCACGAACAGTAAGCTCTCATCGTTCGCAGGCCTGCGAACTCATAGTCGGCGTACTTCAGCTGACGCGTGCCCAGGTTTGAGGCCTACTTCCCACACATAGACAACGTCTACTCCCACAGATCAACACAAACGTACAAGAAGAAGCCTTTCATCTCGCACTACTGGGACTGTCGCCTCAAGGGCCGGCCGCCGGGGACCAAGAAGTCGGACGACCCCAACAAGAAACGCCGCAACCGCGTGTCGCGCAAACTCAACCTCTGCGACGTCAAGATCAAGATCACGGAGTACTTCCCCGGCGCGACGCTCCATGACGTTGATGACGGCACCTACGTGCCGCTTAATGGGGGACAGGCCCTCAACGGCGCGCACACTGTCCTTGCGCCTCCTGGCGAGAGGGAACTGCGGGTCGCGCCCGCCACGCCGAATAACCTGCCGGCGCCGGGGCAGAAGTTCTGGACGATCCAGAGGGTGAATGGGCATATAAGCATCAGCGGTATCCCTGGGCCGCATCAGCATACCCTGGCGAAGAGTGACGAGGTGAAGAGGAATAGTATCCAGCGGTATCTGGCCAAACATAAGACCGAACTTACAAAGGTGGGACATCACATTTTGCACCTGAGAGACCGTAGCCTTGTGGACTGACTTGACGACTGTAGAACGACGGGCCCAAAAAGGCGACTGGAAAGGCGCACTGGACCGCCAAGAAACACGAAAAGGAGAGCGATCTTAAACTCTATTCGGCATGTTACTGGTTCGCCCCCCCCACGTACGTTGTTCTGGTTTGCAATGTCTCCCTACTGACTCGGGGCCTCGCCAGCCCCTTTTCTCAGCGCGTTTGGATCGCCCTCGAAGCAAAGGGGCTTCAGTATCAGTATTGCGAAGAAGATCCGTACAAGGTGCCCGCATCGCAGGAGTTGCTAGAAGCCAACCCGCGGGGAACAGTACCTGCCATACGGCAAGGCGACTGGGCTTGCGCGGAAAGTGGTGTCATACTGGAATATGTGAGTCCACTGCATCGTCTGGCGGCATGCCTACACTAACGGCTGACCACTTTGCTTGTAACAGCTCGAGGAAATGGACCGCAACACCCCACTCTTCCCTTCTGACGTAAAACTCCGCGCAAACTGCAGACAATGGATAGACCACGTTCGCCATCCCCTCCTCATCTTCCTGCCCCCCCCCCCCCCCCTTCTCCCTCTCGCTGAAACGAGTGAAACTCACCCAAGCCATAGATAAACTCCCGCCTAGTCCCGGCCTTCTACCGACTCCTGCGCAATCCGGACCCGACCCAACAGCCGCAAAACATTGAAAGGCTGCAGGAGGCCATCAAGGACCTCGTCCTCGCCGCCGACGAGGAGGGACCCCTTTTCCTCGGCAGCAGTCTGTCACTTGTCGACGTCCACTTCGCCCCGTTCGCTGTCCGCCTCTCGCGCATCCTGCAGCCCCGCTGTGGCTGGACGGCGCCCACGCCGGGATTACGCTGGGCTAGATGGCTCGACGCGCTGGAGAGCAACGTGCACGTCAAGGCTACGACGAGCGGGAGGGATGTTTATGTGGAAACCGTTGACCTTTTGCAAATTGCGCTGGACCCAGAGGGACACTTGTGTATTTGATGGTCTTTACAATGTAGAGATGTCAAGAGGATGTGGGGGGGCGCCATGGGATGGAGAAGTGAGCAATCTTAAAAGCGTATCTGCATTCGTCAAGTGATTGTAATGTGTCTACACCCCTGGAAATGGAAAATGACGAATCGTTTACAACCTCGCATGTACTTCACCTCGATGCCATTTTCTCATGGGTCCGTAGCCTGAGATGGCTCTGGCGACGCTCTCCTTCGCTTTAGATCATGCCACTTTTCTTTGACGGTGATTACCTCCCCCAGCTGCCGCGCTCTCTCGCGGCCCTCGCCCAGCTCCTCTAGCGTCTTTTGCTCCAGTACGCGGCGCCCCTCCTCGTTCACGACCCATCGCTGCGAATCGGGCAGGTATGCCCACGAGAAGACGGCGCCGACGGCGACGAAAGAGCCGAAGAGCAGGAAAATGAGCCCCTGGCGGTTTTCGGCTTTGTAGGACGAGTTGATCCCGTAGACGACGAGGAGGGCCACGATGCTGCCCAACTTTCCGGCGGCAGCGGAGATGCCGTGGCATGTACAGCGATAGCATGTTGGGAAGATTTCGGCTGGAATCATAAAGGTCAGAGTGTTCGCCCCTGGTGATGTTGTTAGCTATTGGCCCTCGCTAATTGACTGATAGATAAGACTCATGCGTGACCTACCAAAGTTGAACATGAAATGACACAACGCCACAAACACAACCGTCGCTGGTGCGGCAGAGGTACGGTTGACACCATAGTACACACAACCTGTAATTACGAACAATATAGCCAGAACGAAAAAGGAAACTGTCAGCCAAAGCCTGCGAGGGATACGGTTGGCGGCCATGACGAAGCAGGCGCTGCCCGCGATGGAAGGAATGGATACGGTCAGCAGGTACTGCTTCGCCTGCTCCAGGAGCACGTCGTAGATTGTGTTGCAGGGCAGTGTCGCGTCCGTCTGCCAGACAGGAAGCCCTGTCCGGCCCCAAACCCGTGCTGTTGCGTTCCCGTCCGGGAACTTGGAGTTCCAGCACGATAATCTATCATCGATTTTCGTCGGCCCTGTAGTCGCCCACATGTCGGATAGAGTACCTCTGTTGTCCAAACTGAGGCCATAGAAGCTTACATCGAGGAAGAACCATGTCGCAGCGGTGCCTATAGTGTCATCAGTGTTGGGGGTCATCCTTGAGATGCAACGGTGGCAGTGAGCTGCAAGCCTTTGACAGCAGCCGCACAACGCAGGGTAGCGAACTTACCCAGCAAGTAGTACCAGTTCCCATCCTCAATGAAATACTTGTACAAATCGTCTTTTGAGAACTGAATAGGCATGGGTTGCTGCGAATTTGTAGCATGCATGCCGTCGTTGGGGCTCATGGGATACCCCGCCGTTGTCCCAGGAGGAGCACCGTAGACCCTCTGTGTGTTTCTCAGGGCTATGCCAGGCTTATTCCTGACCTCAAGACTGTACAGTCCACAGTCGAACAAGAAGAAACGGAATATGATGGCCAGCAGAGCGGGAACAGCGCCAGAACCGATGACAATACGCCAGATACCATCCACGGTGCGGCGACATTCCTTGTCGAACTTCATATCGAGGCCACACTGCATAGCCTGCAGACCTTCACTCTTTTCACGGCCGAGAAGTACCCAGAGACCAACAAGCTGGGCGAGAGCTTGGCCGATGGGCTGCATCATGAACGTCTGACAACGCGGTGTCGGTCAATATTGAGTGGGAGTTAGGAACAAAGGACTGTTCAGCTAACTTACGGAAGAGATCATGGTTCCCCGAGACTGAGTGCTTGACCATTCTGAGGTAATGACAGCGCTAAGGGGATATTCGGCGCCGATGCCTGTGCTACCGCGTCAGTCGTGATATCCGGGTGCAAGATCCGCGTATAAGAACAGCTACTAACCAATTCCCATCACAAAGCGCCACTGTTGAGCCAGCATTCATTAGTAAGTTATGCTTGCAGGATGTAGAGAATGAGAGCCGCAGAATGGGCGAGGAAAAACAAGTACCCAAATAAACAGTCCCAGAAAGCTCATGTCGTCGAAACCATAGCTGCTGGTGGCTACACCAATGGTCGACACAATAACCAGTACGAGCTCAATGCCGTAGAGACGGGTCCGGCCGTAAAAGTCGGCGAGGAATCCGAACAGCAGCTGACCAATGACAGAACCGAGTAAAGTAAAGAAATTAATGAGCAACCCTTGCCATCTTGCACCGTGCGAAGGCCAGTACACAAAGGCTATAGAGGCGAGAATGACGTTGGTGGAAAAGAGGTTGTAGCTTGAATAAGGGGTCAGCCATGAACAGAGGAGGTTGAAAGCAGCAACGGGCTACGCCTACGAGTCTGTCAGGAAGCCTGAGGCGGCCACACCCCAAATACGAAGATTCCATGAGTTGAGGTCGAGCTCATAACGCAATTGGTCGCGGTCCTAGAGAGCCAATGAGCCAGTGACACATCCGGGAGGCCAACATGGATATAAGAGGATCAATGCGAGATGATGAGATGAGATGAAGGCGAAAACAGAAGACGGGTACGAGGTCTGAGATGCAGCTCATCGAAGTTACATCGGATGGAGTTAGGGATACAGACGGGGCGAGCGGACGTACCTGGCGGTCTCGGGCGGACAAAGCGGAGCTATCGCTGCCTAGGAAGCCCCGATTCCTCCTCACTAGAGGGTCGGGCAGAGCCGACATGGCTCCGGCGCAACTACCCCAGACTCGGCTCACTACCTCAGGTCAAGTCGAGCACGTTCGGCGGAAGTCGCTTCGTTTGGTGAGAAACAGTGACACGGTGAAGCGCTGGGGAGATGTAACCTACATGGACCGAAACCTAACCGGCGCCGGGTTACTGTATGGCAAGACAAGACAAAACCCTTCAGGTAGTGACTGGGAAGTGGTATGCGCAGATGCAGATGAGAAGGTCGGATAGTCGGATGAAGTGGGAAGATGGGTCGCGCTCAGCAAGGACCCGTTTCCAAGGGTACGTTAGTCGCGGTTGAAGAAAACCATTGGGCAATTGACGTGCAGTGTGGGCGGGTTTGTGAGTTGAACGGAAGACGAAGACGGGACGGGACACGCGCAGAGACGGCGGAAGTTGATCAGATGGGAACAAGCCAACAGTCGGATATGAGGGGCTGGCGACAATTAAAGTCTAGCTGGGCAAGGGAAGGCGGGCGAGAAGGAAAACCCAAGTTCGGTTCTGTCAGAGCAAGGAGAGGAAGGAAGAATTGGCAAACACAGGCGCGCAGAAAGGAAGCTAGAAGCAGGCAGCCCGGGGGTTGTCGCCAAGCGCAGATTGACTAGAAAAACGGCTGGCTCATCCCCTACCACGTACGGATTGAGCTTCCGCGTCTCCCTTTGCCTGGTTGACCACCTTGGCTTAATATTGGATAGCGAAGGCTCTCAGTTCAGCTGAGCGGAGGCGATGCACAGCCCAGTCTGGAAAGGGGACGAGACTGCCTGGTCTTCGCTTTTCAATGTTGCAACCCCCACCCCACTCTAAACCCAGACCACCGAGTTTTGATGGGATGTAATCTTCTTAAGAGGGGTTTGCCCCAACTTAGACATAATGCGACCAACGTAGGTATCAGCATCCAAGGTCAACCACCTCGTAGCTTTGCCATCTTGTTTTCACCTGCTGATGCATCAATCGCCTGGCTTACGCACGAAGCTCATGGATTGCCTCGAGCAACATTGGAAGTGGTTACGGATTGATGGTGAAACTGGAACAAAGCTAAGCTTCTCCTCCAGGCCCAGCCCTAACTACTGCTGCCAGGCGCCGCCTTGTCAGGAGACATGCAGGCCTTTTTCAAGCATTCAGGACGAGTGTTCCTGCTGAAGCCAAGGTCTTGGGTTGTCGACATCTACGTATCCACACCAAAGGACGTGGCCCGACAAGTTGTACTTGGTGTGCAGGCCTTTTAGCAAGCACCAGTCGGATGGCACGGTGTCGCAGCGTGAGTCCAGCCTGTCAGTCGACAGACAATGCGAGCTGTTCAGCAGGGCGTCGTTATCTCGCGAACGCAAGAGGAGCCATTGTGGGAAGCGGATGCGCAGGACCAACAAGCGGATAAGGCAACAGTAGGTTGCCAGGATTGACAGGGGGGCTAGAAGCACGGCGAGAAGCCCAGTCGCCAGTCGCTTGAGCATGCAGTCGCTTTTAGCACTGTCATTGGCTGACCCAACCCGGCGGCGGCGGCCAAGTCAAGCCATGGCATCGACCGTTGGTGTCCTTAGGTCGACTGGAACCCCACCTAAATGTTCTCGTTCTTGGGTGCTGCACTTTGAACTGAGGTGCCCTGTGGCCTGGAAGTTGGGCTTTAGTGAGGTGGACAACCTGCAAGTTACCGTACCTCGTCTCTTGATGTGTGGAGTATGGACTCTTGAGGCTCGTTCCAGCAAGAACGTGCTACAGCTACATCGGGGCTGGGGCACTTGGCCAAGTTGACGGGACTCTGCAAGACCCCCCCCCCCCCCGGGGATCGGGCTTCGGAGCAAGGCCTCCAGCAACCAGTGGTCACGTCCTACGGTAGCGTCATTGAAGATGAAGGCGCCATCCCGTCTCCCCACGCGCCTCCCCCACTCAAGATGGGAGGTTATCATTATAGTTATGGTTGGCGGTCATCTTCTACTATGAAGCAATCCTTGTTGGCTGGTGACTCTGGCCAACACTTGCTCCTCTGCCTTGACTGCTCAGGGCCCAAACTGCCATGGGGTTGCAGGTATGATCGTGGACTCTGAAAGGCTTAGTACCTCGCGGCCAATTGCTTTAGGCAGCATGAGCCGGATACACGCGTTGAGGTTTTCCCACCAGCAAGCATTGCATAGATCCAAGACATGTCACAGTTAAGCTAAGCGACTCTAACCCAAGATAACTGGGCTATCCCACCAGGGACCCTCTCCAGTCATGACTGATTGATCCTAGCAAATCCAGACCAGCCGGACAAGAGCAGGAGATGCACGTTCTTCTGTCCCCACGTTGGGCACGCCCAAAAGTCTCGAGGCAAGAGAAAACAGAAGACAGAACACAAGCCACCCGACTCTGCGTCGGACCCCCATCCGCACCGGCACTCGCTCAAGATTTGCACATCCCATTTGCACCGCCCCGGCTAAGCTTTCTTACCTTTTAATTCTTAATTTTTGTTTGTTTGCTTGAACTGTGGTGCTGTAGAATCCCGTCCTACCTCCGCACCTTCTTCACCACCACCACTACATTGTGACCCCGCTCCGTTGGTCTGGTCCCTCTCCCGTCCTCGCTCGACTTTTGGATGCCGCTCGCTGGCTGCCGCGTGCCGTCTTGTCTCGAGAAAAACATCCCACTCCACGCCTTCGGCCTCCAACTCCTACACGGCGCCGTGCTAGTCTTTACTCGAGGTCACGACGGCACCGGCACCTGAGGTCTTGCGGACGGACTTGCTGACGGATCGTCGGCTACAGAGCAAACAACGGCTCTCCGCGCACCGCCTCTTTCAAAACTCACAGCTCCGACCTGCTATCTGTCCAGCGCCTCGGCGCCCTTGCCCTGTCCGAGGTCGTACCGTATCGCCCTCCGTCCCAGCGTTCCGGAACACACGTCGTTCATGCCAAGCGACACATCTATCGTCGACGCCACGTCGTTTGAATGCATTCGTCCCAAGATTTCTGCCCGTATACGATACCTACGACGAGACGAACCGGCAATATACCCGACCGGCCAATACCATGTCATAATTGTGCTTTCGACTTTGCACAGCCTAGTTTGAATTGTTGACCAGAGTCGAGAGTCGAAAGCGACAAACAGGTAAAGGTCGTCTCAGCATGGCCGCCTCGTCCTCTTCCGGCTCTTCCTTCACTTCTTCTTCCCTAGGCCGCCCACCCTCGTACGGCCAGCCATACGCGAGCCCCCTCGACTCGACATGGACACCGACTTCGGGTGCCTCGACAATCTCAGCTCTCACATCAGAGGCCTCGGCACCCCATGCCTCCCTCCATCCGCTAGATCTCGGCCCTCCTGGTTATCAAGCCACCATGTACGATCTATCCGCCTGCCATCCTTGCTTTTTTTTTCTAGATACGCTTCACAAGCCCCATCTTCCTCTGCCATGGCCAAGACCGTACATGCTTCCTTTCTGACACGTCCCTTACTCCAGAATCCTCTTTGAAAACACCCCCAACGAACGCACCGTCTACCTTGGCCCTTGGGAAGTGGTCGGCTCTGAGCAGCGCCGCGTCCTCTGGCAATGCAGCTACCAGAGCGAGCTTCTAGAACATTTCCGTATATTGCCTCTGTCTTCCGTATGAGCGCCTGGCACGAGTCTAACCGCAGTCCAGTTCCATCCGACGTCCCAGCCGATATCTTCCCTCACACTCTCCACGCCCGTCATCGCCCCTATACAGATCCATGCGAGCTCGAACTTTTTGTCAGTTTCCGCGAGCCACACCGGGTCCGGTACACGACGGGCGAAGGCGTGGTGATCCACGACCATCTCATGGAGGTCAAGTACGAATTCACCACCGTCGAGAGCTCGATCCGCTTCCAAGGAGACGTCCGTCGGAAGGACTTGGTCGACTATTACGATGTTGATGTTGTATGGTCCGACGTGCACGGAAGAACAGACGGCTTTGGCAACATCAGAGGCATGGGACTGGTACAAAGGCTGAAATTTTGGAGGGACCGTTATTCGACTTACCACTCACTAACTGTATTCGCTAATCGCGCGGGCGGTCGCCAATATCGGGAATACGAGATACACAACTTCGACGGCGAGCTGCGCAACCGCGACGATCGGCATCGCCAAGTCCGCTTGACGGTGCGCGGAAGCCGGCGCAGTAGTGCCCCGGACAGCAGTGGCTCCTCCCGTTCGCGCTTCACCTTCTCACATCGCATGCGTCCGCGCGTAAGGTCGGGTTCCCAAGGAGGACAGACGAGCTCGGAAGCAGGCTCGTCATCTAGCACTCTTGATTTTCGGTATTTGGGTATCCAATTCAGTAAGCGTGAAGGTACGGCATAATCACCCATACAGCTAGCCCTGTCTTGGATTGTTCCTACCTATAACCGGTCAAAGGCTGATCTCACGTGCAATCAACAGACTATCGTAGGTTTCTCAGAAGTTGGGTTGTGGCGCACAGCTCTGACAGCGAGTTCAATGGGATACCATTCCCACCGCACCACATCGAGCTGCCATCACCGCAAATATTGCCAGGGGAGATGTCGGAACTTCCATCGCCAGATATCTCGAGAGGACTGGAGCCAGTCGTTGAGCCGCCGGATTCATACGACTCCGACTCGGCCCCCTGAGCCACAACAAGCCTCAGTAGTCAGGATATTTTCAAGGATACAGGCCGAAAGTCTGACGGGATGGCTGATAAGTTTGTGGACTGATTCACCTCCCGGTCGGGATCGTCCTCTGAGGTCCATCACTTCGGGCTTGGATCTTCAGGGCTAAGATATATCACGACGGACGAGTCCAGCAGCGCCAATGCCAAGTTTAGGACCCGAACTGGTGGTATCTTTTCAGGAAAGCTACAGGTGGGTAGTGGCTCCACGGAGGCTGCCTTGGAGGGCATTGCCTTGGCTCGATGGGGATGGGCAAGACTTTAAAAAAAAAAAGTGGTGTGTTGTGTGCATGGCACGAAGCCACTCCTCTGGATTCCTAGGTCCGGGCGTCGGACAGGATGACAGGTTTGACAGGGCCCCACAGGGAACCCACTCGCCGTTCTTTCAGGGATGCACTGACAAGGCCCGGTGCGGGGTTCCGGTGCTTGAGCCACCTGCTGAAGGTGGGGGGCTTCATCAACCCAATGCGGTGGTATTAACGTCACCACACACCTTCACGCTACAGCTCGGGAGCACCGCCCGCACCTTGCTTCAAACCATTCCACTGCCAACATCTGCTGATCCATATCCCGAAAGTCACCTCAGTCAACATCATTTAGCCGGTCATCTTCCCACGCCTTCTCCAGAGGTATCGGTCCGGAATTCTGTTACCCACTTTGCTCACGCCGTCGCTGTCAGGTGGCCATTGTTACGACTTGATATAAAACCAAATCTGCGGGCAGCATCGAGCCCCCGAACCAACACAGCATTGCCATAACGACGCTGACAATCCCCGCTCGGATTTTGGGACGAACCATTAGCACTATTTTCTATACCCCTCTATTTGCCCAGCATGAAGGTCATCCTTGCAATCAACTCGGGATCTAGCTCTGTCAAGATCTCGGTTTACTCCGCCGAGCCCAAACAGTCACCCCGGCAGATCGCAGAGACGGCCGTCAGTGGTCTGACGGCCCCACCTGCACAGGTCTCCTACACACGCGGCGGGGTTGAAGTCAAGAAGAACCAAGATCTCGAGGATAGTGTGACGACCCAGGACGACGCCTTCAAAGTGCTCCTCAAGACATTGATGGAGGACCCGGAACTACCGCAGATCAAGCAGAAGAGTGACATTGCTCTGACCTGTCACCGAATCGTCCATGGAGGCGACTACCCTTGCTCCCAGGTCATCACCCAGGACACATACCACCACCTGGAAGAGCTTAGTGACCTTGCGCCCCTGCATAATGGCCCCGCTCTCGATATCGTCAACTCGTGCGTGAAGCAGCTTCCCGACGCTGTCAACGTTGCCTGCTTTGACACGCAATTCCACACGACTATTCCCGCGCACATCCACACGTACCCCATCGATCAGGAAATTGCCAAGAAGAACCGCCTAAGAAAATACGGTTTCCATGGCGTCAGCTACTCTTTTATCACGCGCTCCGTCTCCGAGTTCCTCGGCAAGGATACCAAAGACCTCAACATCATCGCTCTCCACCTAGGCAGCGGAGCAAGCGCATGCGCCGTTCGCAACGGCCAGAGCTGGGACACCAGCATGGGATTGACTCCCGTTGCTGGCTTGCCTGGAGCCACCAGAAGCGGCAGTGTAGACCCCAGGTCGGTGATCGCAGTCACCACGCATCTACTTTATCAGAAGCTAACTCGCATGCGCACAGTCTCGTCTTCCATTACGCGAGTGACGTCGGCAAGCTGTCTCCCAACTCGACATCAAACCTGCACCTTACCCAGGCCGAAGAGATTCTCAACAAGCGTAGCGGATGGAAGTCACTCACGGGGACAACCGACTTTGGCATCATTGCTTCTTCCGACGAGCCGACCTGCAAGCTTGCCTTCGATATATTTGTTGATAGAATATGCGCCTTCATTGGCTCATACTTTGTCACCCTCAACGGAAACGTGGACGCATTGGTCTTCGCCGGGGGCATTGGTGAGAAGAGCGACAAGCTGCGGAAGCGGGTCGTCGAGCAATGCGCTTGCTTGGGCTTTACCATTGACGATGCCCTAAACGGCAAGAGAATAGTAGACACGGTCCAGGAGGTTGGCAAAGACGACGCCAAGTGCCGTACATTGGTTTGCCAGACGGACGAGCAATATGAGATGGCGAGGCTCTGCACCGAAGAGGAGGCGCTCTGGCAGGAGTAGGCGGCGTGTCGCAAGGGGAGACGGCAAATTCCTGAGCGGATCGTGATGACGGCTCGAGGTCACATTCCTCTATTTGTGGGATGGTGTTGAAGCCACCGCCATATGGGCTGATGGAACGGCGCTGGCTTGAGACGGGTGGACGAGGTGTCAGGGCCGGAGTTGGGAGGAGATACTAGCTAGGTTATAACATGCTCGAAGAAAAAAGAAGGAAGAAAAAAACACCCGGAAAAAAAGGAGACGAAAGCATCGAAATGAGCCGACATCAAGACTGTATCTGGCGACACGCCCCGACGGAGCATGTGCATGCTGTATTTTGACACCCCCTTCTCCCCCAAACCAAAAAAGTACAGCCGCCGCGCGCCGCGGCCTCGTGGGAATGCGACGACCGTTTGCACCACAATCCAGCGTACTCGGACCAACGAGTGACTGTCGATCGATGAGTAGGTCCCTTGTGCCGTTGATGTTCCCCAGCAACGCGCGGGGGGGGGGGGGGGGGGGGTTGATCAGGATGCATTCCGGCGGAGTGAGGCACGGCGAGCCCCAAGTTGCCGGGCATTCCTTTCCGGCCCTGGAGGGTTGAGAGACAAGGCAGAGGGCTGCGGTGGTGGCCCGCCGTTGACGTCGACGCCAATGCTCGGGCCGCGGTGGCTTTCCAGAGCTCTGGCACGGGATTTGTATGCGTGTCTTCTCTTCTGCCCATGTACATGTGGGTAAAACCACCGAGGAGGGGGGGGGAGGGATCTCGATCTCCAACGAAGATCCGAGATGGCCCTGAACATCACTCCATGCAAGGGGGGGGGGCGGTTCACTTGGGGCCGACGGACATGTTCTTCCCCCTTACCCAACCATCTTTCAGCTGATTTGACATTCACACCCTGACCCCTCCCCTCCTCTTATTCTTATTCTTCTTCTTCTCCTCCTCCTTCCGCTCGGCGGTCTCTCTGGAATTTTCCAGCCGCAAACCACATCGGAGGGTTTGATCGGGTCGATGATCGCCATCGGGTTCCTCAATGAAATTCTTTCTGAGGCCATGGTCAAACGCTAACGAGCCGTGTGAGGCTGACTGCTTGGAATTCGTTGGAAGACGTGAGGCGTGGCATAGAGACATTGGTGAGACAAATTTGCGACGAGATTTCACATGACACAGCTGTGAGAAGTAGCTTCTTGTTACTTTTGGAAACTTGTTCATAGATTTCGCCAAAATGGGCGGTTTGCGATGGACGCGTATGGTACCAAGATGGTGAGAGACTCTTGTCCTAGCCACCAGTCACCCATCGTTGGTATAGAATCGCCCACTGCCATGCGAGCGCGTCCTTTCATAGGAACTGCCTGCTCTTGTCCCTTGTGTTCTTTTTCAAGGGAAGTCCCCCCCTCTCTCTGAGATAGCCGTCGTGTATGTGTATCCCACTCCAACCCAGGAGTTGCCTTTCCTATCCCATAAACAAACAATCGCAGTGATGCGTCTGCCCCTCGAGTGGCCGATTGAATCGAGGATTCGGGTATGTGTACGAAACCGCGACAGAAAAAAAACGCCAATTCAGACAAATATCCGCCCCGGGGTAGTAACCTTGCAAGAACCAGAGAGAAAGAGAAAAAATAAAATAATACATCAACGCCGTTCCCTTTTGGTTGCCTGAGTCCCCCTCGTGTATGTGCAGGTGCGTCATTCGTATGCTTTGCGACCTTCTATTCCCAATACCCAATAAGAGGTATTAGTAAAAAATGAGAGAAATGTGGAAGCTCCCAGATAGCTTCCGACGTAAGAGGTAGCGTCAAATATGCTCAAACGCCGACCCTACAGAACCTCGTTGCTTCATCAATCATGAAGAAGAAGCGGGGGGCGATATAAAAAGTAGGGGTAATTAGAGAGGGTGCTCTGGAAAAGGATCGAGCTGTGCTGTGTCTTCGTGCGGTGGCAGTGTAGAAACTGTACAAGGGATGCCCAAATGAAACCCCGTCGGGAACCTCTTATGCGCCCTCTTGACACGCAACAGCCATAGCCAATGCGTCAAGTCCACTGCTGGGTGTCCTTGCAGCACTGGGGCGGTTGAGGAGAGGCAGGTTGAGGCCACGCATGTCCCACGCGCCGGTGGCAGCGGGTGACGGGAGCGGTGCCTGGCCGGGAGGGTACCCGTAAGGTGATTCTCCTTCCCACATTGGCTGGTCGCGAGTAGTGCGGCTGCTGGCAGCGGCCCTCGCTGAAGAAGATGAAGATCGTCGGCCCGAAGATGAGAGTCCACCAAGCGAAGAGCGAGCCGCGACCTTGGCCGAGGCGGTAGAGCGAGACTTGTCCTTGTAGTGAGTCTCGAGGTGTTGCTTCATGTTGTCGGCCCTGGTGAACTTCTTTTGGCAACCATGGAAGGTACACTGCACCGCCTTCTCAGCAGTGTGGATCTTGGAATGACGGGAAGCATGCCCGGAGGTGGTAAAGGTCTTCTCGCAGCCATGGCTGTCGCGGTAACGGCAAGGGTATCTCTTTCCTGGGCGCTCGGGCAAGGGCGATGTCGCTGAACTGTCCTCCTCATATGAGTTTGCGCGGCTGGTGTTCGCGTAGGTAGGGCGCTTCGAGGGCATGTCGTACTCGTCGTATGTGGGCTGTCCAGGGAATGCGCTGACTCTGCTCGGGTCGTATGAGGTGGGAGTCATGGGTGAGAGGGGATCGCTGCTCGCATTGGAGTCATATGAGTCTGAGCGAAGGAGCTCGGGAGTGTGGGGCGAGGAGGAGTTGCTGCGCGGCGCCGGGTGGAAAGGTTGTGAGATGACCTGGTTTGCTGTGTGGTAGCTGAGACGCTGGGGCATAGGCTGGACGGTGGGTTCGTCGTTCAAGAGGGAGACCTGACGGCCGGTGGCGTCTCGAACGTGCATTTTGAACAAGTTGGTTGTATATCGACGGGATATAAACTGTGTAAGTCAAGTTGGAACTGTATCCTCGTATTCCGCAGGTAGTAGTAGTAGTAGTTGTGTAGTGGTAGTAGTTGTGTAGTGGTAGTAGTTGTGTAGTGGTAGTAGTTGTGTAGTGGTAGTAGTTGTGTAGTGGCAGCAGGCGACGTCTAGGGGGCTCCCAACAGTGTCCAACGTAGAGATCAACGATGTGATGTGTCGGCCAGAATGATATGGTGTTATGTGGGAGGAGGAGTGGTTGTTGGTGGATGAGGCTGGACTGAACGTTGGTGAGGGAGGTGAGGGAGCAGAAGCAATGGTGCAGTGGACGAGGCGCGAGAGGGTGAGGCGCAAGTCAAGTATTATACCAGCTAGGCAGCTTCTTCACAGACGCAGCAGGCGTGGGCCATAAAGAGAGAGAGAGAAAGCTCGGAAGGGGTCAGCGGGTTGGGAGGGGGAGGGGGGTGGGCCGAAGCGAAGTATCTCAACGAGGGTAACTAAGGCTGGGTCGGCATGGAAGGACTAATCGTAGGGAACTGCGCAGGAGGAGGAGGAGGAGGAAGAAAAGCTGAATGGGGTGGGTAAATGTATGGGAGTGTTTTGGGGAGGGGAAAAGAATTGGGTATGGGTATGGGCATGGGCATGGGAAAGGAGAATTACGCACCTTTCGCACCTTTTGGTCCCTCACCGGGACGCCGTAAAAGGTACGTGGGCTGAGGTACCCGACTTGAGTTGTCCAAGGTTTAGATGCGCTAGAAAAAAAGGTACGTCCTCCATGTACCCGACCCGGCCTGTTGCGGTACGTGCTTTGCCATGTAGACAAGCAGGGGTCAAGCAGCAAGGAAAAACCGGGACCTCCAGGATTGAGGGTCCGGCCGAGGCGTGCGACACAACGCACATCACATTCGCTCACCCTCGCCCCCCCGCTGACGGGCCCCTTCTCTCCCCTTCCTCCTCCGTCCGTCCTTCCCCCCCTCTAGTCTCCAGTGTGTGCCAGTGTCCCCTCATCAGACCTCACTCTCACTTCACCCTCACGACACCCGTGGGTCATGCTCTGCCCACGTTACATCCACCCCTGGTTCCAACTCCCATGGTCTGCAGGGTAGCTCCCCGAGTCTTCGCGGCGGGCGGCTACGTACCCCGGGGTGGGGGAGAGGTGGACTCGGGGCCTGAGCTTGGGGCCTCTTGTTGTTGTTTTTTATTCTATTTTATTTTATCAGAGAACGGCGCACACGCACACATCACATCACATCTGGTTGCCGCCGTCTCCCTCAAACGCAGTGCACACGCACTCATCACGCCCATACGCCGTAGATGGAACAGTGACTAGCCTCGACTCAAGTAATTCTTCCGGAATGGAAGTGACAAGAAGATAAGGCGTGCAGTCACCTAGAAAATAGGGTCTTGGATGGCAAGGCAACAAGGAGGTTGAGTGGGTGATGTAGAACCAAGTTTTTCTCTCTGACTTTTGGCATGTCCCCATTCCTGAGCCACCCCAGTCCCCTCATTTGGTACTGTTCCTATTATTCTCTAATTTACAACCAATCATTTTATTCTGAAAATTTTCCCTTCTTAGGTTCCCCATCAATCGATCGGTCCCCCCTCCTCTGACGATGTACCCTCCTCATCTGTACGCACATGCAGACGCAGACTGACAATACTAAGACGGTTCTCGGGGCCGGCCCCATGTTTGCTCTTGCTGCGTACCTGGCAAGCCTGGTTCCCTTGGTCGTTCCATTCTGTTCTGGGCCCGTCCTCTTGTCGATTTCGATCACGGATTGCGCATCCCGTTGGCCTACTTCCTTGCTTTCTGACCTCGCTTGATGACAGGCCTTGACTTGTGGTCAGTCATTTCCTTCTTTTGGATGTGGCCAGCTCCACCCGTCTGAGGCGGTGGGAAACCCTATATCGTGGTATCCTTCCTTTTCATCGGTGATCGAACAACTGCTCGTGAGTCTAAACCAGCGCTTAGGAGCTGAAGCTCCGGCCGGCGGCGCATCAAGCCATACGTATCGCAGTGCCGGGTGTGTTCGTGACTCCATCGCGGCAATCGAGCATCGGGCGCATCGACGCATCGATACTTGCCTCGTGCGTCGACCTGATCCGCATAGTCACAGTTCATGTTAGACTTGGAACCACCATACAACCACCTCAAGCAACCGATCAGGTTAGGGCCAAGCCTCGTCGATGGTATGCACCACGCCAGCGTCCTTTGTTATTTGATTGAGACCTGCTTTCACAGAACCCTACGATGTGCGCTATTCGTCGTTCATGAACCCTGGATCAGCTCTTTTACACCCTAATTTTCAGGGTCATGCTAAACGTTTCCCGACTTCCTGGGAGGTGTCAAGGCTGTCCCGAGGTGATAGACCGCGATCATTGCCTTTTCGCGAACGAGGTGCTTGTCAGTCACATCTGCGGCGGAGCAGGCCGCCGGGCGTCCATCTGACCAGCATATACCTATGCTTCCACCAAGCATCATCTGTCCGCCAAACCTACAAGGTGTACCTACGTGGTGCCCCGGGAACGAATCGGTCAGTATCGTATCGCCAGAAGCACCAGAGGCAGATCGCGATCTCGAATCAAGTGGACGCACACCTGACTCGGCCGTAGTACTTTTAGCCCGGAAAAATATGTGAGACCCTGCACAAACCGAGGGTCCGCGAGTATGACGTCAGTGGCCGGTCAGGGCTGCGACGATGCTGCGAAAGTCCGACAAAGGTACTGCTGAGGCATGGCGGTGCCGAACCAGGCGTTCGAGGTTGTCCCTAAACAGAAAACAATCCACTTGTAGTGGGACTTCTGTTATGATGAGACTCTTGTCGGACCCAACCAGGCGGGAATACAGTCATCGTGGTGTTGGGGAAAATGCACAGGGCTCTGGGTATGAACAACACCGTACAAGGCCGTTGGCCGCGCCTTGTTGCTGTGGCCGCGACGCCATGAATATCGTCAGTCTTCTGCGGTGGTGGTTTCTTGATGAAGAGCAAATGGCCTGGGAAGAGGAGAGTAAGAGAGAGAGAGAGAGAGAGAGAGAGACTCCCAAACTCAACCTGGGGAGTGAGAGGGTACCTAACTCCTTGCGGCACCGGGGAGGTAGATACCACAACTGCACCCCCTACCTTGCCTATGCTGGCGCGAGGCACCAACAGCTGTAAAGGGCAGAAGAGAAGCGGCCGCGGTGTAAGACGCACCCCCCTCCCGGTCGCAGTCCCCGACCCTACGCACGCCCTGCAGGGCGCCGCAGTGCATGGTCTGGGAGGGAAAATTTCCTCCTACCAATGTCGTCATAGGTAGGTCAGGCTGATGAACGACATACACCCGACTGCGCCTGCCAGGGAGACATAGGCAGGTACATCCATCCCATTGCACAGAAGCTAGGAGATGACTGGAGTGAGTGATGGTTGGTACCTTAACCCTTGGCTGAGCCTCCTCCCCCAACCAGCACCAACTCCGGAGACAGGCGACTGTTTTGTTTCGCAACGTTCGTCCTCGGGTTGCGAGAGACTCTCATCGTTTCAACAAAGCTGGCCGAGTTGCCCGTTGCCGACGTGAATGGTTGCGCTTTGAAGCTCGATTCAACTCAATTCCACTCTTGCCGGCCCATCCGTAATTCGACCTTTTTTTTTTTTCTGAGAGAGAGAGAGAGAGAGAGAGAGAGAGAGGTTGGGAAGTCTAACGCCGTTTTTGTTTATGCTTTAACGACTTGAGTCTATGCGATTCCCAAAAGTAGGGACTCTTGGCCGCCATCGTGCGTAGCAACGACGGTCATCTGAGAGAGGCACGTAGCGTGAGTTGCTTCCCCTTGGGACGACTCACTGGGGCCCGAACTCCCCCGAGTGCAGGTGTCACCGGCCATCCTGCCCGAAATGGAAGTCTGCGCTGGGGCGGCGGGTAGCTTGTCAGGGTGCTGTAACGGATACCGTGCCTATGGATAATACTGCCGTCATCAAATCGGAGTCGCGGAGATCCCTCCATCCAGTCCGATGCTCCCATGAAATGACAGCCCCGGAGGGACAAGTTAGTTGGCCTGCAAGTGGTCGGCTGGCAGGCGGACCGGTCGATATTGGCTCCTGAACGAAAGGTTCCAGCCCAGCGGCAGCGGTGAGAAACACGTCCAAGTCCTCAATTGCGTGCGCAGGTTCGTTGCGATGGAGACGGGGCGAGTCGACATCCCGGGCGAGGGAGCCTTATCATGCTCGGACTGGAAGGTAACAAGGTCTTTCTCCCGAGTCCCAGGCCAGCCAGTCTGCAGCGAGAGGTAGTAAGTCTGAAGGGTCAATGACAGAGCCCGCTTCAAGGGTTTGACAAGGGCAACAAGGGGTCTCTTCTGGCGGCCTTGTGGCAGAAACGGGACCGGGGGGGGGGGGGGGGGGGGGGGGGGGGGGAGGAACCCAGGAGAGAAAGAATGGAAGGATGGAGGGGCCAGGGGATCGAACGGAAAGGCTCCCGATGAAGTGGAGACATGGTCATGCTGTGGCGTTGAAGGGTCGTTTGGTCTGCTTTGCCTTGCTCACTTGCCAGGCCGAGAAGAGAAAGAATCGACCTCGATCGAGATCTTTGTCTGTGGCTTGTGCGCAGGAAAAGGAAAAGAGAGTGTACGTATACAAGTCGGCAGACGTTTCTGTAGCGTTGTGGACATGCCAGCAAGCCTGGGCCAACCCCTTTCGGGCAAAGGACGGAGACCCGGCCTCGCCCTCTGGCAAAGATGATTGGCGGCCGCAGATTCCAGCGGTGCTGGTAGGCACGTGTTCTACTTTACCGTGCGCGGTTAGAGCAGACGTGGGAAAAGAGCGTGCGAAACTGAAGGCTCGTGAGTCCCTGCGGGGCGCCTTACCGTTTTGGTAGCAAATGATTCCCGTCCATCTGGTCGGTTCCAAGTCGGTAGCGCCGTTTCAACGCCGGCAGGGCAGTACGTATCCTTTCTCCTTCCCTGACATTGGATGAATTCCCCGTTGCCGGTCAGTCGGCGTTGAGCCATCTGG